TATATTATATAATTAAAAAAAGAAACGTGCAATAAATAATCTTTCAGTAAAAAAAAAGAAAATGCGTGCATGCACGCACATGTATAAGTATATGCATGTATGCGTATGAGTGTTTTAGCATGATTAGATTTTGACAACTTCAGTTGCAACATAGTATTATCTCTTTACTAAAATTAAATAAATGTGTATGTATATCGTACCATTTAGAACACCGCAAGCGACTGCAGTCTTTCTAAGCCAATAGCCCTTGAGTTATTGTAATATCAATTTTTTTTTTACATGCATATATTAATCTCTGATAATAATTGCTCGTTACAGCCAATTATAAAAATATTATTCAAGTGCGATATCTGAACAGATGTTAGTACTCTATTCTCATAGAATTTTACACAAAATATTAGAAACATGAATCGTGGACTCGTAGACTTCTAAATGTGTAAAAGTACTATGCTAATTAATTGCAACATGCTAATCCTTTGCGGTCTTTTGATTCTTTTGAAAAAAAAAAAAAAAGATAATATTGTCTCTATTAAAGTGACATTGCATAGTACATTACTTTCAATGTATGTAAACATAAAATATACATACTTAAAGCAACGTTGGTTTATAACATGATAAAATTAAAACCACAAAGGATTCATCAAATAACATCAACGATTGTGCGCAGTTAGTATCTTAACTTAGTTAATTATTTTAAAGCGTATTGCTTTAGAAATATCTGTTGAAGTTTAAGATAATATATCTGATTCTCGATAACGTAAACGAATTAAATATATTCATCTATGTTTTTTAAAAACTACATTATAATCATGATAAAGTCAAAAATAACAATCTTGTATAGAATAATTAAAACAACATCTCTGATTTTCAGTACCCTCATTAAATTAATGATATACTGAAATAATAAAAAGAAGTTAACATTAGAAATATATTTCTAATGTTAAAAAGAATAACATTCGTTAAATATATTATCAAGAATCGACACTATTTTTATAGTGACATTTTATAATTCCTCCGCATCTTCTACCTTCCCATTAATTATTTCTTCACTTTTTTCCTTTTTTTCCTCTGTTGAATTTATACTGATATTCATATTACTAATAGTATCCTCTGGATTTGTTTCACTGCAATTTACATCCTTCAAAATTTCATCGGACGATTCATTATTTTCATTTGTTTTTTCTTCTTGATGCTGTACTACTTCACTGTTGCATGCTAATTGATCATTAACTTCTATCACAGATTGAGTGTTAGTTTCCAATAGAGATACAGAATTATCTGTTGCTACTTCCACAGTTTGCTGTGTACTAACTTGATCTTCAGTATCCTTGCAATCGGCATGTACAAATTGTTTGACAACTTGTTCCAATGGTTGCTGATCATCTTTAGGTGAAAAAACTTCTTGTGATTTAACGATATCGTCGGAGACTTCATTATTTTCATTTAAGACAAGTACCTCTTTAAACTGAGCATTATTTATTTCGGAAGACGTATCATTATTTTCTGGTAAATTATTTGCAATTTTTTCTGAATTCACCCTTTCATTATCAGAATCATTTTTGTTGATACTATTGCTATCGTTATTTTCTTGGACATCTTCTGTTAAATGATTCGTAACTTCTTCTGAACTCTTCTTTTCATTATTAAAATCAGTTTTGTTCACATTACTATCCCTAGTTTCTGGTAAATCTTTTGTTGAAGTATTTGCAACTTCTTCTAAATCTTTGTTACCATTATCTTTGTCAACATGTTCAGTATTTTCTGTATTTGATGAAAGATTCAGAGAAGTTTCTTCTGATTCTTTTTTCAATATTATGTCATTTATAGTTTTGTTTTCAATATTTATTTCACTAGTCTCTGCGGTAGATATTTCTGTGTGATCAGCTTCAGTTAACTGTACCGATTCAGAGTTTTCTGTTTTAACATCATGTTCAACATCGTGTTCAACATTTGTCTCATCAGTAGTTAAACTTTCCTGCGCTACTGTTTTTTGCGAAACATTCACGTTTGAAGACTCGGATTTTATTATTTTTGTATTTCCTCTCATAGGTTTTGGTGATTTAGCAACATATGATTTCTGCTGATCCTTTTGCGAATAAGATCTAAATTCAGCTTCGTGATATTTATGGAAATTGGTATCATTGTCTTCTTTTCTTCCCTCCTTTCTTTGATAGTGCAGAGGTCTTGAGTCGCTCTTTCTTTGCGAATGAGACCTATTTATGTTAGAAAACTTTTGATTATTATTAAAGAAAGTCCCTTTCGATTTGTCTTCGAACGATTTTTGCCGGAAGAAGGATTCGTTTTCAGTCATAGGTGTATCAATGTCCGAATGACTGTATGTAACACGGGTTCTTTGACGTGGTCCAACCCTGCCTGTTCCAGCTATGCTTGGAGAATTCACTAAGAAGCGCAATAAATAAATTAAAATATAATGAAATTATACTATGAACGATAGTAATAAAAGTATACATAATTGTAATACCTTTAATACTCATAACTGGTCCTTTTGTTGCACTGCTTTGATTTACTGTAACCTTAATACTCTTGTCAGTTGCAATAACAGTTCTTTCTTCAGAAGTTAGAGATTCAGCAACTTTTGCTGATGCAGATACATTGTTTCTGTGCTGATTGTAAGTGAGATGAGACCGATTGTCACGATTACCATGAACATTTTTAGCCGAACCGCGGTAAGGACGAGGGTTTCCGCTTTGATTGTAATTGACGTGTTCATTATCTGTAACAAACATATTCTAGTAAAATAGTATGTTTCTAAAATGAAGAGATAAAATAACAATGAAACGTACTATTGTCATATCTTCTGCCAGAATCTTTATATTTTTTCTTGATACGAGAGAATGTAGGGAATGTTGTATTCTCCAGTCTGTCTGAATAGTATTGCGTAGGTGCATGCTCTCTATTCGGATCTCTTTCAAACTCGTCATTTCTACTATGCGATATGAACTAAGATAAATCATTTTCCATTAATACATATCTATTATATTAATGTTATTAAATTATAAAAGAAATTATAAAGAATTAAATTATAAAGAATTCTTATAAAAATATGCTAATACTTTATCATTATCCCATTCTCTGAGCCAATTGCCTTCTGCAGTTCTTTGTCTACTTATACGATCTTCGTCAATTCGATTCCTTTCTGCTCTCCAAGCATCATATCCTGACTGAGATTCATCTTTATAGTTTCCTTTATTTATTTTATTATCCTACATAAAATTAGAATTCTTAATACTTGATAAAAAAAAATGTACATAAACTCAATATTTTTTCATACTTTCTCCACATTCTCTCTTCCACCAATTTTTTTCCTGAAACTGCCTCTTGATCCTTTATTAGTAGATCTACTTCCAACAGTTTCTTTTGCATATTCCATAGGTTCTTCTCGCTCAGAATCTGCTAAAAAGTTGTATTTAGGATCTGGTGGTGGTCCTTCACCCTAAAAAAATATTTGATTTTTAAATTTCACATTATAAACAAGTTTATTATAACATTTCAAAACATACTTGAGCAAAAGAATGTATTTTCCTTCCTTCACCAGAATGAGACTGTGGTATGTATTCGTGTCTTTCTTTGGTTGATTTCTGTTTGGTTTTTGGTGAAATTGTAAATTCTGGTGGTTCTTTCCTTTCTGGCCAATCTGTTGACGGTACCATTTGTACTAAAGCATTTTGTTTTGCTGCATTTTTTTTATCTTCTTCTACTTCCTACCAAGGAAAATTATTTACAAAATAAACTTAAAAAAATTAGATAAATTTACAAATAAGAAAAATTAATGCCACTAAAATACTTGAGATTCTACATATTTTTTCAATTTTATTGCATTATCATACATACCTCGTGTCTTCTTTTAATTTCTTCATTCAGTTGCCGAATTTTATTAATTTTTTCTGTAAGTGCACTAGCTGCCATCTGAAATTTTATAAAATAGAAATTAACTTGATTATAATATAAATTTAATAGATTAACGATGGTAAGTTGAACGGCATTTAAAGTAGATTATTTCGTTCCATAAACAACTTCATTTCCGAATTCTTAAGTAATACGATCCGACCATATGTAATTTATTATGCTAAAATATTCAATCAGCAGAAAATACTACTCATGATATATAAAAATTAAAAAATAATTCATGAATGATCATTCAGAATCAATTTGAACACTTTCAAAGTAAAAAGTATATCATTTGAGTACAAAAATGTACTTTTTTTTTAGAAATCAGTGTGTCTATATTTAGATATACGAATATATATGTATACTCATTGCTTTATATAAATCAAAAAATGTAATGCAATCAAAAGTATGTTGCTGTATCAATTCGGCATACAATGAAACCATTCATCTAAAAATAGGTTACAGAAATATATAATGAGTTCTTTAAAATGCAGTTATTTCTATAAATCAATTATTCAGCCTAAAGTAGATTAATGATATTAACAAAGTACAACATACGATTGAAAGTAGACACAGACACTGTCGAGGGAAAGAAATTAGAACATCAAGGTAAAGTGTTACGTTGTTTAATTAAACTTTAGTCACATATGTCACTACTATTCAGCGCTATGCACCCTTGTTTTTTCAGAGCAGAGACACATTGGTACCATACAACAGTTGCGGATGTTCTCGATGTGAATAAGAAAATTACTGTAGTTCAGTGGTTTTCATTGTATAATTTATATGTCATATTAACGGAGCAATTCTGAAATTCAGAGATACCTATTAATAAAATTACAAGATAGAAACGTATACTTAGTTATTTAATAATTAAGCATTATACATATATGGAGGAACATCTGAAATAATGCTTTAACATTTTAAGTCTTTTGTACAATATTATTCTAATTATATTAGACAATAAAATTAGTTAGATTATTAATAATTAATTGATTTCATAAAATTTTAATCATTCTCTATATAAAATACCGTTTTCAACATGTTTGGTATTAATTAAATTAACTAATAAGTTGAACTACTTGATGAGCACCGCTATTGTGGAGTCAGCATGCGCAGAATGCAGTAGCTCTTTTACTTGACATTCTGCAATGATTCGGCGGTGTCTTTATTTTGATTGATAATTGGCAATTACATTGTAAAAAATGATAAAACTATGAAGAATCGAAATTCTAAATTGTCTTCCGGTTTCAATATACTGTGCCATTTCAGCTGTCATAGTCATCGTGAAGTATAACCTATCGCAGAATTGGTAAACACCGAAACATAGGAGGTGGTTTTGATAAAAGATCGAACGATCACTAAAAAAACAACACATGGTAATTTAACAGTGCAAACAAGATTGCTATATAAGGCCGTTAAGAAATTTCTTTCGAAATGAAAATAACAAAATCCACCGTTCTCCTTTTGGTTTTTGTATTAGTGTTATCAATACTTGTAGCAAATGTTGCCGATTTAATTAATGTTGACACTCACGTGTTAGATGATACTTCACCTAACAAAAATGTAAGAAATGATTGGTCAAAGCCAAAATTTTATGATATTGGAGCATCGTCTGATCATTTAATTTGGTTTCTCCAGGTTTGTGTTAATCAAAAATTAGTTCTTCATTTATTATTTGTTATATAATTTAATAATGATATTAATTTATTAATATATTAAACATATTATTAATATAAATAAAAATATTTCCTAAAACACTGATTATTTAATGAATTTCAATTATTTTCAGATATCAGATATACATATAAGTATATTTCAAGATCCACTAAGGATAACAGAATTAAAAGAATTTTGTAACATTACTGTGGGTACTATTAAACCACCTGTTGTACTTGCTTCAGGTAAATTTTAATTTTTTTTTTAATAGCAAAATGATATATAACTGATAATACAGTCTGTTAATTTAATAGGTGATCTTACCGATGCAAAAACCAAAGACAAAATGGGATCAAAACAAATATTAGAAGAATGGCAGTATTATAAACGTATCTTAGATGATACTGAAGTTAACAAAAGAACCTTATGGTTAGATGTGAGAGGCAATCATGGTATATGTTACTTAATTATATTTATAATAGATTATTTAGATAGACAATTTTATTGATTATATTAAAAATTTTCAGATAATTTCAATGTAGTAAGTCTTGAGTCAAGAGAAAACTATTATTACAATTATTCGATTCAAGGAAAGAAACATCCAAGGTCTTACATGTATACTATAAATATTGGTACTGAATTATATACCTTCATTGCAATAGATGCTTGTTTGAAACCTGGTCCAAGAAGACCATTCAATTTTGTTGGTGTGTTAGATGAACGTGAAATTAGAAGTATACATGAGTTAATGAATAAATCCCAGGAAAGTAATGCGGATTATATAATGTGGTTTGGTCACTATCCTACCTCCTGCATACTCTCACAATCAAGTACAGGAATTAGAAATGTTATAGGTAGAAATTAGCAGAATGTATATTTATATATTATATTACGAATTTCATTGAATATTAGTAACATTTAATAAACATATTTTTAGGGAGGTATAAAGAAAGCATGGCATATCTTTGTGGACACTATCATATGCTTGGTGGAATAGCGCCTAATATGTACACGCTACAACAAGCAGGATTCCTTGAATTAGAATTAGCAGATTGGAAAGATAACAGAATGTAAAGTATTTATACTTAATATATAATGTAATATTTATAAAATTAACACTACTTTTTCATGTAATATTTCATTAGCATTAACATTATCTTATTTTCTTGCAGATATCGTTTAGGAGCAATAGATCATGGTCAATTTTCTTTTATTGATGTGAAACACAAAGAATGGCCTGTGGTATTGATCACTAATCCTAAACATGCTTTGTATATGATGCCTAGGAAAGAAAATTTAATGTCCATTATTAAATCTACATACATTAGGTAAACATTATTAGAATAAAATTTTCTGTAATAAATATTAACTCATAATGACTATTATTGTAGAATATTAGCATTTTCGATCGCTCCAATAAAAATCGTAGAAGTTCGATTAGATGATTCAGCTTGGTCGAAATGCGAACATGTCAATGGACCATTATATGTCTTAAAATGGAATTCAACAGAATATAGTGATGGAATCCATACTATTCGAGTTCAGTAATACATTTTTTTTCACATTCAATAATTTATATTCTATATTAAACCATCAACGTAGAAATTTAATTACAGGCACAAGTTACAGATGTAGATGGCAGGGAAACAGTAGTGTCTCAACCATTTGCCCTTGATGGATCTCGTTTATCATTTCGTATTTTACCTAGGCTTATCCTAATGTCGAATGTCAGTGTTATTGTAAGTAGTATATAATATACTATAATTACATTTAAATATCAATCTGTATATTAATACTTGCTTCATCTAGTTTCAGTTCTTATTTGGAACAGTGTTAGTCTTGGTAGTAATTCCATTGTGTTTACTTCGTTTTCTTCATATATTATGCGAGAGTAAGTAAATTATAAATGTTTTACAATTTTATTTGAATATAAAATGAGAATGGAGTAACTTTTAATAATTGAAAAAATAAATATAAATGCAACTAGTTAAAAACAATGAAATTCTGCAAATTTAATTATATATTGTTTAAAATTTACTTGCAGAAGATTGACCTTTCGTAGTTTTCATCTTTTATTCAAATACGAATTCTTTGTCAAATCAAAATTAAAATAAAAATTTATTTTTAGAAAATCAGATGCATCGACCGCGATTCAAAATAAAATTTATTCAAGCATGGCTTAGAAAATTGTGGATACTATCTACAGTCGACCGTCTTTTTTTCCCATTAGTACTATATACATTATATTTAACGGTTGGTAAGTAATTAATAACTTTCAATAATTTTACAACAGAAGACAAGCTGCTTTTATAATAGAAATATTAACTTTTAAGGTCCATGGGCAATTGGAGAAGTAATAGAAAATCATACGGGTGTAATTTTTGCTTGGGGAACATTTGTGAAAAATTCTTATCTGCCTGGCGGTTTTACTTATGCTTACGGATTTTTTCAGTTATTTTCCTTCCATTTACCACTAATGTTAATCTTAGGACACAGAGCAGATAAACGGTAAGATCAAACACGATTTTATTTTAATTTTGTATAATAATTACAAAATTGAATGGTTTTATAGCTTACAGACAGCTAATAAGCTGCATGATAAACAATTATCTAAAATATGTCGTCTTTGGGAATATTTGCCAATTACATTATTAGTTTTAATGCAAACGTGTATGGCTTACTTCTTTTGGTTGGCATATGGAACATTAGCAACTATAGTGTGCCCCCTACGTACTTGGAGCATCTTCTTAGCAGTAATGTTATGGCATCAAGTGAATACGATGCCCCAATCGTGTCTAAGGTATATAACGCATCAATATTTTAATATTTTTACTACTACTGCTTCCTAATTTGATTACAGTTACAATATTACAAAGTAATTTTCAGTCTTTCCATACTAATTATTATCTTTTATCACAAAGGTCAGCTGCAGAGATATGGTCCTCCCATGGTTGATATACACACTAACATATTCTAAAAAGGCAGTAGTTTCCAAGTGTTTATTTTATGTAACTAGGCTATTCTTATAATTTGATCTATTTCTGAATCCATTTAAAAATACACATGTATGGGATGAGGCACATATTTAGAGCTATCTCGATAACTTACAAAAAATGTTGATTTTCACAAAACTCTTATATATTACGAGCCATTTCAATTAGCTACACAACACTTTTAATCAATCAGTTGCAAAGTGTGACGGTAATAAGTTGAAAAGGTGTTGAGATTTTTATACTCACAACACACAAGATGTTTCTGAAGTTATTCAATTGATTTCAATTGTGTGCCTTATCTTGCATATGCAGAGTTAATAAACAGTCTTAGTAGTCCGTTATAAATTAGTCTTTTATATCTTATATGTATATGTAGAGTATTCAACTAATTGGGTATCAGGACTAATTATAATACATTTTATGAATTCGTACAATAGTGATTGAAAGGAAACATTTATTTTTACATTTCAATTTTATTATTATAGTCAATGTGTATATGTTACAATTCAATCAGTTCCTTTAAAGAGTGCCACAAAACTTTTTAAATGGAATTATAACAAAGACTGTTAATACTTACTATGCAGTTCTTAATATTTATTAATTAATTTTAACAATTTACATGCATTTGTGTGCTATATTAGATAATTTTTAAAGTCAGTACAATGCATAGTAGTCATGCATTGCTGATGAGCATTTCTTAAAATAATTTATTTTCTTAAATAATAACTGTAATACTTCCATATTTCATTTTTAAAATCTGAAAATGTGCATTACCTAAAAGAATTGGCAGGGAAAAAGAAACAGAAAGTACTGTTATCTACTTTTTCGGTTATGTATTGTATTTGAATTGTTTATGAAATTAGAATTTCAGCCTAGAAATAAGATAAAATGCAATAACATATAATATTTTATATAAAATATCAGAAAGAAAAAAATTATCTTTAATTTTTAAAAAACATTAAATTGGGGATAGAAATCTCATAAATATTTTGTTTCTAATGTATCTTGTACCTTATTTAATTGTATGTACTATTAATTTCTGTGATATATGATTATAATTAAAAGTGAAAGTAATATAGTAAAATGGAATTTAGTAGTTTTAATTTATAAAAACTTTACACTTCAAAATGTGAATCAGTATATTTCCTTAGGAAATAAATTTTATTGCAATATTATATTTTTTATAAATAACCTGTCATTGTTCTTGAATATGATCTCAGAGCTGTAAATGTGATCTCAATGGTACCGAATCATTAACAATCATGAATTTCTCCTATAAATATGCCAAATGTTTTAAAAAGGAAAAACTTCTAATTTACTCCAAGATTTTAATGCAGTTAATTATGTATTATACTATATTTTTTCTGTAGAGTATAAATCAAAATTTCTTTTTAATATACATATATTTCATTTCATCAAAATAATTCTGAAAAGTATAATGAATTGATAACTATTGGGAACCATAATTCATCTGATTATGTTACAAATATTGTGTATTTAATATATTTTATATACCACTATGACAAAACTGAATAGTATTATTTTTAAATATTTAATATATAGTATAAAGCAAACTCTTAATTAATCACTTGAATAGCATTCAATGTATGTATCTCTCTACGAAAAGTGCAAGCTAATAATACATGTGAATGTTAATAAATGTTGTACACAACTTATATACTAGGAAATTCTTTCCTATTGCAGATACAATTTTGACTTCCTATGATTCTAATTTTTAGCAATCAGTTAGATTGAACACAAAAGAATTATTAAAATAATTGTTTTACAAACTTGTATCCACAAACTTCGATTTTAAAAAGACCGCTATAATGAAATATTTTAAAAATTCTATTCTAGCGCCATCTATAAAAGAACGGCTGCAACTACTCGACAACATACCGACCGATTACCAACAACTATTTTAACCCGTGGCGCCATCTACACAAAAACGGTGGAAACTACTCGACTACTTACCGATCGTCTTTCAATATCAGGGGAGTACTTGGTACCGACAGTCGGTTAGTTTCCGACTGCGCTAGACTGTTGGAGTGCGAAGTGTTTCATATTTTTATAAATAGATAAAACAGATGGCGCTTTAAGACCATATCACTGACCTATATCATACGCAGGCGCAAACTTCTTCGATTAGTTGAAAAAATAGTATTATAAAGTTGTATATACAATTACTTCTTCATTATTTTAAGAAATCTGTTGTTTTGTTTAAACTTAAATAACCATACTTGTAACTTATCAAAATATTTAAAAGGAAAGAAATGGAAGACCAAGAAGGAAACTTTCCTGCCCAGTGGGCACTTGATCTTATACGAGGGCCAACTAATTACAAAGAATCACTTGTTACTAAATATGTAACAGAAGTAACATCTACTTTGACCGGCGTCGGTGCAATGTTTGTTAAAAATTATTTGTCAAATAGGCCTTATTATGCTTGTAAGTTTATGAAGTAAAAGCTATCAGTACATAATTCTAACCTAATAATATTTACTGTTATATAATGTATATATACATAATCTATGTGTTTGATAATACAAAGTTTAAATTTGTATTTATTTAGAATAATTCCTTGGGGAATTTAATATTAATCTCTGATTCGTTTAAAATAAGTGCTTAATGATTGTATATTTTTTTAACATTTAGCAATACACTGGACTATTGGTCTTGGCATTCTGGGTTTTATAGGAGGAAGAACTCTTGTGAATATTATGGATCTACGATATGCAAAACGTGATGCAATGATGGTAGATTATATAAAACAGCATCCAGAACGTTTCCCTGCACCCCGTAAGTTGCTAAATGATTTTATGAAGTTCCCTTTTTTAGCTGATACTTTATCAACACTTTGATTTTCATATTTTAGGAAATAAAAAATTTGCAGAAATAATTGAACCATGGTATCCAATACGATAAGTCATTGTGAGTAATGTAATGTAATTATCATAATATTTGGATTTTTAATTGTAATAGTGAGAATGAAAGCAAAATATATAGTCAATTATACTTTAATAAAGTATATCATAATTTCATATGGTGCTCTTATATTAAGAATTTATATTTTTACTGATATCTATGATAAAATAATAATATACAATATTATTCATTCGGTGAGAGACCATCTCTGAATAAACATATTTGAATGTATTTGTTTATTTTAATATATATTAACTTTTCAATTTAATCAAATGTAAGATTTTTAAATTTATTCTTATATGTATCATTCATTTAAACAACAACAAACGAGAATTGGTTAAACTCTGTCTAATAATCTGTCTAATTTATAAAAGTTCTATTTCCTTTCAGGATTATAATTATCATTGTATAATCCAGTTCCCTTTGAATCTCCTAACCAGGGATATTTATTGGGACATTCCCTGCATGTCTCTAGATATCTGTAAAATATTTATAATTATGCAAATTGTTGAATGAAGTACAGTTCGTTCAAAATTTGTATATATCATTAAGCATTTACCTTGTAGTGGTAAAATTAGATTCTGGAGGTTTGAAATCTAAAGCACACTTATTTGCATTATTGCATGGTGGTCCAGGAATATTTTCTTTCCTTTTACATGACCATCCTTCAAAATTGTTCAGAGATTTTGTTGGTTTTGGATCGGTTATCCACGTAAGTGCTTGTGTAGCTGTTACAAAGTACACATCAGGTCTGTAAATATATTTATAGAATAAAAAATATATAATTCGTATTGTTTATCAATTACCGAGAAGATAATTTGAAGAAGTTACTTACAATGTAACCGCCCAATCAAGGAACTTTGATAAACCTCGTTCGAGTTCCTTTATTTGAAACCAGTTAGTGTGGAAAGGCATCATGTATGGAGCCCTATTCTGTTCGTAATAACGATTAAAATCTTCTTGTAACCATTCGAAAACTTCTTCAGGATCATGATTGTGAAGTACACATTGATCTAAGTAAGGACAATGCCCTCCTTCGTAGCTTTCAACATAATGTGCATTTAAAGGTAGTTCCCACACACCTGACAAGTAAATGAAGATATTGTTTGTCTTCCTCTAAGTTTTCTAATATATAAATAAAATTTATTACTACCTGGAAAAGATTTAGTAGGGCATGTGCCTGCTTTACATTCATGTGGAATTTTGTAATCAAGCGTATACGGCCAAATTGGCACTTTCAATGGAGAAATTCCAATACTGCTATCGTATATGTATCCAAAATCTTCCAATACTTTATATTGAGTATTTCTTCCAGGTTTTAAGTACGGTGCTCTCATGCCCACAATTTCGCTTATTGAAATATTGCTAAAAGATTTAAGTATCTCTCGCATTCCTATCATCTCGCCAACCCATTCTTCGTACCCTTTATCCTCTAATCCCTTTTGCAATCTAAATATTGTTAAATATTATTCATTGTAATTACATTATTGATCATTGTATCAGCACTGGTACTCACGATATCGTTTCAGTTGCTATTTCGTGTCCGTCGTGTGCTATACTTTGAACCATATTATAGTTACAGTACTCATGAGAAATGAAGAAAGTACCTTTCAACGGACAGTTGTTTGGATTTAATCGATCGGTGTTAAATATTTTTTGATAATGATCAAAATTATTGTGATTTATTGCCCCGTCAAATGTCATTAATATCATTTGTGGTGTCTGAAATACATGCAAGATTTGATGATAAGTTTATTAGAAATGAAAATAATAATTTAAAAAGAAGAAATGTATATACATCTTCTGGATGAAGACCACCAGGAATTATTGTACCATCTCTAGAGCAGAAACAGTATGGTAATTGACATTCTGATGTGTCACATTTTTCTGCTAAGTCAGTTGGTGGTTCGGTCACTGGTGCTGGAGCTACAGAATTCAAGTGATGTACATTAATATATATAGTAAAATGAATAATAATTTCTGTAAATAGTACTTACTTGTAGCGATTGGACCGCATCGAGCTTCGTTTTTAAATGTACAGAATTTACTAATGTCATCAAAGTGTAATCCTGATGGACACCTGTTTAGGTATGGATAACCGTCGACGCACTATTGAAATTGTATTCAAATATTTATATATATATATATATATATATATATATATATATATATATATATATATATATATGTTTTTTTTTTTCATATGAATAGAAAAATAGTAATTACAGAAAATGAAGGAAGAAGTTGTTATTAATACAAAAGAAATGAAAACTTTTTTTTATGGAAAAAGAATGTTCCAACAGAAAAATAGAAAATACCTGATAAAATCTTCTACATGTTGCTGGATCTGCAAAATTACCGTTACCTTGGCCTTCAGGACATTTAAATTCTTCATCTTTCTTCTCTTCATCCTTTTTACCATTTTTCTGTCCCGAAGCTATAAAATAAAATTCTCACGATATAAAAGTTTATTAGATAACACGATACATAGAATATTCGCGTGATTTATTGAAAAGAAAGTTATTTTTTCTATAAGAAAGTATGTAGAAACCTTCAAAGACCATAATGCTGGAATCCCAGCGAAATGTCAAGGTTGAATATTATTTAAAACACGTTAATACCTTCGTATCTTGTTTTTTATGCTTTTGCATTTGTACTATTGTACATTGTATACTCTATTATTCGTATTTTAATTGTATCGCATTTTAAATTGATCGTAAGCTATATTTTATAATTATATTTATCGCAGAAACGAGGAAATACAGATTCTCGGTGGATCCGGGAACAAGTACTTATGTTTGAAAAAATCCATTCCGTACATTATCGAATACACTGCATACAGAAAGTTTAAGATGTTTATAGAAAATGCGTGAGAGAAATTCCAAGGGTAAATTCACGGGAAAAAAAACGCTCGAGAAAGCGAGAAACGTATAGTGGTAAAGAATTCCAACGTTCGAAGGCACATTACACATCCATGTAAGTCTTGGAAATCAAACGTTTAACGCTTACTCGTTATTGTTTTCTAATTGATGAACAAAGAAATTTTAAAAAATATAAAAGTGAGAGTGATATCCATATGTTAGAAGTGTGTTATTTGGGTCAGTGGCAAGATCAAGGACCAACATCGACTCGTATCCACCACTCTTACTGAAATATGAACACAATCATTTCACACACTTGAAATATTTACAGGGCCCCCATAAGACGATTTTACGTCTAAGAATGTAAGAATTTTATAAATTTTATTTCATCAAGTTACTGCTTATGAAATTACTAATCAAAGAATCATTTCAAATATGCAGACTTTGCTTTCAGTTGTCCTTCTACTTGAATCACCATCATTATACCGTCTCGATGCTCTCGTAGACGAGACCACGAGTAGAATTCGTAATTACAGGAATGCTTTTTATTCGAAACGCGAACTGAAAGGGCGTATCTCCTGATGTGATCCTATCCCTACCGTTTCAAGGTGTGGTTGCTTTGAAGTAAACACCATATATTCTCAAAGGAATTCTTTATCAAACTTTCACGGCCTGAATAATTGTTTCGAATATAATGACTGTCGAGTGCGAAACGCGTCTTTTTTTTTTCTTTCGGATATTAACATTTTACTAACATTATCGTTAATGTTAATAAAAGTTTATTGAATGTAAATTTAAGCGGAGATTGGTACATTGAGATTCGAACACGTTAAAATCTCGTGCAGATGTGCTAGCAGGAGAAAGTAGAATCCAAGGAAGACACTTCCCTATGATTTTATAACAGTTAAGCATGAAACTAGCGTTACCGCGTTCACAATCTCCAATTTGAACATATTAACTACCGCTATCGTTTTATAACTTAATCATAAATAGAAACTAAGTAGTCTTACACCGCTTAATAAACTACTAAAATTGCTTGCTTGAAAAATTCATAAATAAAAGTGATTCTTTCAAGCGTCTACAATGGATATTTGAAATACTTGAGGCTTCCGCTATATTTATACTTTAATTGATCCGATTCGCTGTCTGATTGGTACAAAAAGATCAGCTTAGCGGCAAAGTGGAAAGTGAAGGTGCTGCTCTGACAATGACGTTGTGGTAAATCGTTCAGGTGCAGCATTTCCATCGGCCGTGGTGCCGTGCACGCACACTCTTACGCTAGCAATTCCGATCGGTAGATGTACGATACAATATGTCTACATATGTATGTATATATGTATACGAACGACAAAACTTATGTAAACAGCAGTGAAACCTCCTGGGGAACCTAATTTAAAGGTGCTTCTCGTGGACTTGCTTTTTCCAGCTTCTCACTTTTATCTGTGTCAACTTTATTGACCATATACACACACGGAGACCCTGAGAAACGTTTTATTTTTCTGAATGTGTTGATATTGGAAACGTGTATAGAATAGTTTCTATGATTTTGTAATGAAGAGACTCTTTTAGGAAGAAAGATTAATTAAACATTGATTCGTGTATCAACTTAGACTTAACTTTCTCTTTACATCTTCAAGAGAATTACCTTGAACTCTATTCGCTATAAATAATTCCTTATTTCTTTTCCTTTCTTCTTTCTTCCATTTTGTATAATCTTATTTGTCTTCCTTTATTATATCATCCCTGTTGATGTAATAATGGTTTGTTTTTTATAATTGATGAACTCATTTACACTATGCCAAAGAACCTAATTAATCGAAGTCGAAGCCAAAGTTCCACTAATCGTTTACGTTTTTAACTTGTTCATTTCCAAGATTTTGTTACTTTCGGTAGAGACATTTGAGATAACTCGTTTCAAACGAGTAATTTATCGAGGAATTGCAAGTTAATAGGAGAATGTCCACAGAAGGTCGTTCTTCCGTTGCACCCACGTTTCCAGTAATTCCCTGGTATCAATTAATTTGACAACTTTGTTATTAATTTAAATAACATTCACGATAATATGTAAGCTTCTTGTAAGTACTTCGTTCGTTCGAAATAAAAACCATGGAAAAATATGATTAATACGGACAAAAGAAAACGTTTCTTTTCTTCATGAGAAAAACCTAACAAGAATTATCATAAATGATTAACTTGTTTGCTTATTCCATAGTTTTTAGTATCTACCATATTTCTCAGAAAGCAAGTAAATATTTCTAAATCAAGGAGAGTAGGTTTCCTAAATAATCTACACTTTGAAGAAATTCTCTTTTGTTCAAGGATTGGTGAAACTTGTCTTCAGAGAATCTCTGAAGTTTGGAATAATTTCGAGCCAGTATCGTTGCACTGGACGATGAAAGATTGCCAGACGGTGTTACTTCGAACCCCGTTCTCTTCTCTTTCATCGAGACAGCGACGGAAACGAACGGATTTCCATGCGTGGTATGGTTTTTCCTACCTGCGACAATCAAAGCGGCGCAAAGTAAGAACCGACTTCTTCTTAACGTCATCATTCTTCCTTTCGATTTTCACCGTACAATTCAAGATAAATTAGTTCTTTTGCCTCGCGTATTTCACAACACTCGTTTCTCCAGATTCGTGGTTCACGGAGGTTTGTCGTCAACGGTGCACCAGGTGAAGCTACTCTTGCAGCACTGCGAACCAGGATTCGCCAGCAATACCTTCTGCCATGGTTACAGAGTCGTGAACCGGACGGTAGGAACCGTTCTTAGCTCATTGGCTGACCACTTTCTACCACCGTTAGCGATGGCCTCAAGTACTTCATAGGTAGGGATGGGATCAGGTTCAATATGTTCCTCGCGAATCTAAAAGTTTAGAATACTATATTCATTATAAGGCGATGTTTCTTCATTTTACAGTGATCGAAATTCATTTTCAAATAGTGGAACCAAATCTTTACTGACTCAACATACGCAGGGCCCCCATTTTGTGACTAAGAATGCAAGAATAGTAATGGTTACTTGAATATTAATCGATGTAAATGCAAATCTACATTAGTTATAAACATGCATACTGTTAAAATTAATACGAATATTAAAATATAATTTTTTATTTTTTTATTGTGTACTTGTTATATAGTATACTTGTGCGAAGGTCAGAACTTACTATTAAATTGTAGAATGTTAGTGATTATCTGTTTAAAGATCAGTTTTAGTTATTCGAGGTACCCTCTGTGCTTTCTTTTTCGATTTCTTCTTCTTTTTTTTCTCTTCATCTTCGCCTTGCGAGCCGGTAGACTGCCAATAGGGGTTTACGTATCCCGGTTCACGTTCGATAATATTCAACTCTTGGGCTGCTAAATGAACTACAGTAAGAGTTTCTGCATCTAATAAATGTTTTGTTCGATTTGTGAAATGTAAGGACCAATTTATAACTGGATTCCATTCTTTTTGTGTTTTCAATATGCGATGTGTCATGTGAGGAAAATGTAGCAAAATATCCGCGAATAGCGCAGTATTCTCTAACGTAGTAGATATTGCTGTAAACAAGTATATAATGTTTCTTAAACCTCCTTTCCATTCGTTCTTAAAATACTATAATAATAAAAAGAAGATTACCGCTTTGTATAGTAACATTTTTTGGTAGAGATCTATCGTCTGGATTAAAATCTGTACTTTCAATTAATTGTTTACTTGCCTCAATGATATCGATCATTTTTGTACCAAGAATCGTTATCATTTTGTATAAACGTTCGTAGTTGTCTATATTTCGAAGACGTTTTATAGCTTCTGTGTGCTCTTTACGTTGATGTACGAATGATTTCCTGACTATAATAGGAAAATAGATTTGATAACATGAAAAATAGTGATGATATACGCAGTTCACCAGAGTCCATAACTGCGAAAAGACCAGTTTTCGTTCTTCGCGCATCTCCAGTACGCATCTTCGCCCTGATTGGCGATACTCCCAAACGAAGTGGAAAGCGATTAGCAGAGAGCTCGATGCCGTCCCCCGCCATCTTCCAACCTGCGCGTCGCAGTTATGGACTCTGGTGAACTGCGGTATACACTTCTGTTTGCAACGATATAACGCGAGACTATTATATGTTCGACAAATATTAATTTCCGTAAAGCGTAGCAAAATTAATATCAAAATTATTTCTAATGAATCTTACATAGTTCTTCGTAGATTTTAATTTCAGATGGGTTACCGTTCTGCGGTTTTTCGCTGATTGGCGGATTATTCTCTATGTCCGACAAAACTTGTTGCACATGCGTAACACGCGTCAACGTTGACACGACTACAATGTAAATAACAAAGCGTGGCATCTTTTTCATTCAATGATATAAAGTTTAATAAAATAATTATATATTACTGTAATGACTGATTGTTAATATACTATGGTATTCACTTTTTTTTAGGGAAACTTATACTTTCAATCGATACAAAATATTAACAAAATAAGCCGCAAGTTTATAACCGTGATTATATCACACTACTGCCATCTATTTATCAATTTTATGCATCAAATGTGTCAACTGTGCCTATTACACTGACTACAGATTCAACGCTGTTGATTTTCTTGAAATTCATAATTACCTAGTAATTATGCGACGTTAAACAATGTTTTGATAGTCCTGTACTTTTAGAAACGTCATTCGAAAAGGGTATTAAAGTATACAAGTTTCTAAACGTGCAATACTAATATATGTACTATTTAAGTGTGTAGTAAAAGGTCGGAAGGGAATAATTTAATTCTATTACTACGCGGTTATGGTAGTGATTTAATTTAATATGATAATACTATTTTTCGACTTAACAATTAAGTAATATATTTGATGTCCTCATAATTTAAGTTTAATATCGGTAACAAACATGGCAGCAACAGAAGATGCAAAACTTGATGTAAATATGTTATAATTTTTCAAATGTTCTTTATTATTTTTAGTTTATTGTATTTAATTATTGTAGTTCTCACATATAATTTTTATTTTAAGTTTAAGGTTACAATGGAATATGCTGATTCTCAAAATGTCGAGGGTGAGATGACAGTAGGAGCCAAACAAAAATCAAATCTTGGAGAACCTGACTTTAATACTTTAGATGAACCAATTAAAGATACAATTGTAAGTTCATAATATTTCTATTGTTTATAATATTGAATCAATGGTACCGTTATTTTAAATCACAGCTCAGGGATGTTTGTGCAGTAGGCAAAAAGTTTTATCATGTTTTATATCCTAAAGAAAAGAAAAGCTTATTAAAAGAATGTAAGTAAATATATTATGAATAATGTACCAATATAAATTATTCATTTATTCCTAACAAAAAATATATTTTAAATTTCAGGGGATCTTTGGGGACCATTAGTGTTATGTACATTCATGGCAATGTATGTATATTATAGTCTTGTAAATGTTTTATTCTTTATAATTATATAATTATGAGTTATTTTATATTATCATTTTAGGACATTACAAGGTTCTTCTGACAGAGCAAATGATCCAAATGATGGGGGACCAGAATTTACAGAGGTTTTTGTGATTGTGTGGATTGGATCTATGATTGTTACATTAAATTCTAAATTACTTGGTGGCAACATGTAAGCATCACTGTTATCAAGTTTGTTTTATTATCAGTTATTCATACAGTGCATTATTATATAAAAGTATACTTAAAGCATGTTTTAATATGTTATAGATCTTTCTTCCAAAGTATTTGTGTCCTAGGATACTGCTTATTACCAACTGCAATTGCTCTAATTCTTTGTAGGATTATATTAATGGTAGAACAAACTACTTTCTTATTTAGTTTAAGGTTTATTATCTCTATGATTGGATTCATATGGGCTACATATGGTTTGTACAAGTTTAATGTATTTTATATGCCATAAGTGATTTCTTTGTTCCATTGCAAATATGAATGTTTATAATTATATTTTAGCATCAATGGTATTTCTTGGTGACAGTCAACCTGCAGGGAGAAAAGCTTTAGCTGTATATCCAATATTTTTATTCTATTTTGTCATTTCATGGTTGGTTATATCTCGTACTAGATAAAATAAAATATAAATCGATTACAACAACAGGACTGTACATTGTTCCATATTGGTGCACAAAGTAAAGAAGAAATTAAAGGGTAAGCAAAACATTGCTTGCATTGTACTTTAAAAGTTTTTAAATATAAGCATACATCTTTTATCAAATATTCCATAGACAAAAATGTATTGCTGTATGTGCATATATCATTTATTGATATGAACTTTAGAAAATTATCAGTTTATATGTCAATTATAACTACCTACATATAAAACGTACTAATATAAATAAATGATATTTAAGGATTATTACTAAATTGTTATATATTTACATGTAAACTTGATAAAAAGAGTTAGATAATGTGATATAGAAAATAATTGCTACTTTATTAGTTTAAAATTATAATCATTTCATTTACATAATTTTCCATGATATTCGTGTATTTCTTTCTTTTATACGTGCTATATAGATAATATTGATACTATAGTGAAAATTTTACATATATGAAAAATATCTTTCTAATTTATTAAAAAGACTTCTACTATCACAATGACCAGGATATGCACTTAAAGATTTTTGTATGGCAATATAACTTGTTTGAAGATCTCCAACCTAAAATATATGAAATAGTGTAAAGATATTATCTTAAACAAAGAAGGATAATCTATTGTACTATTTGTACTACCTCGTAAGCTAAATAAGCACTGTTAAAATGAGGCTCATAAATAAAATTGGCAATGTTAGCAGCAGCATGAAAATATGTTTTTGCTGCTGTTATATTTCCATTTCGTATTTGTATAACTCCAAGATTATTATATGCTAAAGCATGTCTATTGTCACTTACAATAGTTAACTTCAAACATTCTTCTGCCATTATTGTATCGCCTATACTCTGAAAGAAAAATATTTTGAAATTTTTATTTATAATTAATTTTTGATGTGAAAAAGATTATACGTACGAGTGCAATATGAGAAATATTGTACCACACGTCTGCTATATTTTCATCGGTAGAAAGACTAAGTGCTCTTTCAAAACAAGATATAACGTGGTCATACTGTTGAGCATAAAAACAGCATAGTCCAAGATTATTAAATAATTCAGTGTTATACACACCCATTTGTAACAATCGTCTGTTTAAATAAAGCAGATAAAAATGAGTTTTAAATCATTGTTTGCTATTACATTTGCATACATGTTTACCTGTAATAACGCAGCGCTAATTCTGGTTGATCGCTATAAAAATGATGCATTCCAATACTGGCTATTGCTTCTGTATGCGAAGCATCTTCTTGAACAATGATTTTATAATACTTTAATGACATGCTCATATTATTTAAGCCATCAAATATACGTCCCATTTCAGTGAGGATATTCACATCATTAGGAAAATGTTCAAGACCCTTCTTACAGGCGTCTATGGCAGCTAATGGTTGATCAAGTTTAATGTAAACTCTAACTAATCTTAAAATTGTTTCAATGGTTTTACAGTCTCTTAAAGCTGACTTGAACTGCTGCTCTGCATCTCTTACCAAGCCTAAACTATAATAACATTTTCCTAATTGTACTTTCCACCACCAGTCTTTGTATTGACAGACTTGGGTTGCCTGAACTGCTAAATCTAATGCCTATATGCAATATAGTAATTAATAAAATTGCAAGAAACTATTAACTAGGAATATTAAATAACTTACATATCTTACATCATGTTCATGATAATATATATATTCAAACAGTGGTTTTGCAATACTAGCTTGACTAGCATATTTAGAAATATTTAATCTTGATAATTGTATAAAAGGTCCTCCAGGCTCTGTTAACATAGATGCTGTACCTAATCTATACATGTACATCTACATTAACTTTGAAATTCTATTGCCTGAACCACATAATATTATGTAGAGTAATCAGTATACCTAACATTACGACTGGAACTTGCAGTAATTGGTCTGGCTGTCATAGCAGTTCTTGGTGTTCTTAATGTCTGTTCAAGTGACTGAGATGTTGCAGATTGAGTAGCTGGTCGTACGACTCCCGTGACTGGACGACCTTTGAAATGCATCATGTATTTAAGTGTCTATACTAATATTTTAATTTGTTCTTTTTATCTGAAAATTTTAGAAGTGAACCTGATTGCGTTTTAGGTCTAAGATATTGTCCTGCATAAGAGGTACCAGGTTGTTTCAAAGATGTTCCTGGTCTGGGCATAGAAGATATCGTATAATTATCTAGTAAAGTCTCAGCAATACCTTCTTCTTCTCCTTCTATGTCATCTACGTATACTTGTAATGTTAAGGTACGCATTTTTAATACCCAGACAGCCTGTAATTAAGAATACTATATTCTCAGAGAATTAGCTGAATCATTATTATTATTAATACATATTAATAAGAAACATATACCTGATCAAGTGGACTTTTTCTTAATAAATTTGTACATATTGTTGCACATTCTTCATACCTTCCTCTGTCAAATAAACTTAATGCTTTAAAAAACTCCATCATTGAAACTAAAAATCAATCATAAGGAAAAAGCAAAATCTTCAACAAACTATGTTATGTCTACATACACCTGTGGAGATAAACGAATTTTCCATGGTAGAAGTTATTGATTATTTTGCTTATAACCCACAGTATATAAAAGGAGAGATCAATACGTACGTATTTCATATTTGTTACAAATATGTATGTATTAAAATTAATAAAATATTTTAAAATATAGAACGCCTCGTTCTTTGTACCCTTTATATCTCTGTATCCCTTACACTCCTGAATTCTCCCTGCATCTCTTGTATCCTTTCAACCCTTATAATAAATATATTATAAATATGATAATATATTATAAATGATATACTTATGGCCGCTGGTTCGAGTGAAGGTAAGTAAAGGTAAGTAAAGGTAAGTAAAATCTCGTGAAAAATAATTTTAAATTTAAATTTTTGCAAAATTTAGTTCCTTTTTCTGCCACCAGAGGGCGCTGGTTCGACGTTGAAAATTTAGTTCCGATTTTTGCCGCTAGAGGGCCAAAATTTTGGCAAGCTTTAGTTCCCTTTTCTGAAACCAGATGGCGCTGATTCGACATCGAAAATATAGTTCACATTTTTGCCGCTAGAGGGCCAAAATTTCGGCAAGCTTTAGTTCCTTTTTCTGAAACCAGATGGCGCTGATTCGACATCGAAAATTTAGTTCACATTCTTGCCGCTAGAGGGCCAAAATTCCTGCATGGTTTAGTTCCTTTTTCTGAAACCAGATGGCGCTGATTCGACATCGAAAATTTAGTTCACATTTTTGCCGCTCGAGGGCCAAATTTTTTGAAAAATTTAATTGGAAACTATATAGGAAAACTTATTTTAAAACACTATCACATAGTTTTAATGAATCTTATATAACAAAATTCAGGATGTATGTTCTATTAAGACATGTTTCAGTGTGTATTTCTTCTATTTTTTATATTATTTTTATTTTAACTACGTATAAAAAGCAGTTATTAATCTGGTTAATATTTTTAGAAAATTTTAAATAATGGAAAATCTTGATAGTAATATCAGGTTGGTGCATATTCAAATATTAATTACATTGTGATTATATATTATTCGTATTTTTGATTTAGCGTTCAACAAGCTTTCGACAATTTCTTTAAAACGAAAAGTATCGAGGAACAATGTACAGAAGAACTTTTAATTCGTTTGCACGAAGCATTTTTGGTAAACAAGAAATTTTTTGAAAAAAAAAAAATTATTTTTCCTATAATATTTAAATATAGATTTCAGAAAACGAAGAGATGAATAGCACTCAATTATTTGGTGCCTTTGAAAATATATTACATATCCGAATGCCAAAAGATGAATTCGAAGTATTATTTAAAAAAGTAAAAAAAAAGTATACAGTATTCTAATTAATTATTATCTTACTTTATGTAATTAATTTTGTGTTTTCTTATGTAATATTTTCAGATGAACTTAAAAAGAGATGGAAATGTTTCATGGAATGAATTTATTTCTTATCTACTAGTAGAATTTCAAAAGAAAGATAATGCTTTGCAATGGAAAATATTGAAACTTCCAATAACAGGCATTCCTCAACTTTTGAAGTCACGACATCGTACACTCATTCATAAAATTGTCTTTTGTCCTGAACTTTTATCTGTACATTTCTTAGTATTTACATTTATTCATTAATACAGCTATTAATTTTATTATAACTTCATTTATTCATAGTTAGAATAGAACTGCTAGTTTTCACAGAGGATCTTACTTAACAATTACTAGAGAAGGAATCATAAATTACTGGTCGTTGGATTTAGAATATGAACGTACTGTGCAATCTGTAAATCGTTAGTATCACAATTTTTTAATGCTTATATAATGTATGTTTTTTAAATTTCTATCTTTCCAGCATATTTAAAAGTACAGTCAACTTTAATAACTGATATGATAGTAATGCCTGATGTACAAGTAGTATGTACAAGCTCTACTGAATATGATTTAAGATTCTATGATACTGCAGCTAAAAAATTTGATCTTAGAATTTTGGTTCGTTACATTTTAAAATAAATATGCATTTCTACTCAAATTTTTATTTACCCTAAACTTGGAATTCAGATATCAGGCCTAGATTATGCAATCACATGCATGGATTACTATTTTAGCAAAAATGTCAAAGAAGATTCTCATATTGTATGCGGAGACATGAGTGGATCTATTAAAATTATCTCTTTTAATCCTACAGAGAGAGGTCCATTCAAACAAGAGCCTCAATGTCATACATTATTTATTCGTTATGAATCTATTCTAAAGGCAAATACTTTACTTAGGATGTTATTACTTTTGTAAATCATTTATTAACTCTAAAATGTTCATTGCAGGATGAAGTAAAAGGAATGAAGATTATAGAATTTAAGAATATGCATACAGATTGGGTAAAACAAGTAGCTTATTATGAGAGTCTAAGATCATTTATGTCCAGCAGTAGATGTTGTAGTTGTTCTCTTTTAGTCAGTGATCTTACAGGATCAAGAATTCAATATAAATTTAAAGTTAACATGGGCATATCTTGTTTTACTTTTTGTGAAGGTATCATTAATTAAATAAATTCATATTTTAATATACATTAATTACTGGTTTTTCTTAAACTATAAATATTTAGAAAGTCAGTCATTAGTAACTGGTGGACCAGATTGTATAGTTAGAATTTGGAATCCTTTTGTAACAAAGAGACCAAATTGCAAATTTCAAGGACATCATACAACTATTTGTGCTTTAGTAGTTCAGAATTCTGGTAAACGTGTATATTCTCTTTCAAAAGATAAATGCATCAAAGTATGGGATGTACTAGCTCAATCTTGTATTCAGGTATTACAAATAACAATTTATCTACATCGTTAAGTATTTTTATTAAATCTACAAGAATTTTATCTTATTTCATATAGACATATAATGGTCTTCCCAGTGAATTAGGTGGACATACTCTGATGTCTGTAGTTTATAATACATTAAATCATAAAATGATTGTTGCTAGCACGATGATCGCAATCATCATTTGTGACCCTGTAATAAATGAAGAAACATCTGATGGTTTTACACACACAAAACCTGTTAGCTGCGTTTTGTACAATCATCTGTATAAAGTGGTATCACTTTTACATATGTATACAAAAATTCTATCGTTTATGTCATAAACTGTCTAATTAGTTTGTTCATAAACTTAGGTAGTTACTACTGGATTAGATTCTTGTATAATAGTTTGGGATCCATGGCTTGGAAATCGCTTATATTTAGTAACACATGCCCATAGTAGATTCTTGTATGGTCAGCACCATGATATTGAAATTACTGCTGCTTGCTTTGACGAGTCAGAACAATTATTAGTAACAGGTACACGTGATGGAACACTGAAGATATGGAATTTTAATACTGGTACTTGTTTACGAAATATGACAGTCGAAAATCAATGGTATACGTTTCATTATGGTTTAGTATTAAATTATAATACTTTTGTATAATCGTTTGCAATTCTGAAATTTTTAATACAGTGAAATAACAAGTTTGGCTTGGGTGGAAAATCGAATTTTATGTAGCGGATGGAACCGTCAAGTTGTAGAATTTGCAACTTCTGATACAGATATATATAAAAAAAGTTGGGGGCTAAAACATACTGATGACATTCTTTGTTCAGCCGTTTGGTATCCTCAAGTGTTAGCTACAGCTACTTATAACGGAGAAATAATTCTTTGGAGACTAGAAACAGGTCAACCGTATAGAAAATACAAAGTAGATGATCCAATGTCAAGGTGATATTTGCATTATTTAAACAAATTATAATTCTGCTAATAATAGAATGTGTAAGAATAATTTAAAATAATTAATATCATATAGATTTAGTATAAGATATGAAATGACTGAAAAAATGATTGAATTAAACAAACTACAACAATTTAGAACAGAAAAATTTGCTCATAAAAAAAGGTATGATACATGTAACATGTAACAGTTATCTGTTTTTTAATTACATCACATGTGTAATCATTTATGTGCAGTAAATCTCATGCGGCTTCAAAACATCAAGAATCAGCATTAAGCATTATAGGAACTGTTGCGGTTCGAGCTATGATATTCTTGTGTGCACGGTCAGTTGAGTATAATATTGGAACACTATTAGTTTCTCTTGATTCTGGTTTGATACAGACATGGACTCACCACCCTGCTGGTGGATTTTTACAAGCATTTTCAGTTATTCATACCTTAGGTGATTGTGCGCTATCATTAGCAACTGATCCTAAAAATCATTTTCTTGTAACAGGTAAAAAAAAAATGATCAAACTAATAAACTCCTATATGTTATTCTGAATCAAAAAGTAAGAAGTTGATTGTATTTGAAATTACTTAGGGCACAGTGCTGGATATATTAAAGTTTGGTATCTTGAAAATTATTTGGTGCCACATCCTCCCAAAATATGTATGCCTCTTTTACGATTAGAATTTCCGTTTTTATGGAAAAGTAAAATTAATGGAAGGGCAAAAAGGGCAGTACGAAATCAGCCTCTACCACTTTTACTTTCTTCTATACATGGTCACTTAAAAGCTATTACATCTATTCAAATAATCCCAGATGCACGTATTATTATTAGGTAATAAATATACTTTTGTAATATATTTTTAAGTAAAATTTTAGAGCAGCTGTAACTGAAATTCTTGTTTTAACTTACTTTAAAGTGGAAGTGCAGACCATACAGTACGTTTATGGACACTAGGTGGACGTTATATTTCAACCTTTGGAACTTTCAGACCATGGTCACCTATTTTGCCCACAATACCGGTATATCACTATTTCGAATATTACAGACTTCCACCAGATGTTAAAAGATTCGGCAGTTCTACTACTATGAAAGTAATTAAATCACCCTTTTTATATCAATAATCAAACAAAAAATTTTCAAATAATTAAAGATGCGTTAATATAATGTATAAATATGAAAAGGTTCTCGGTGGAGATGCCGAAAAAACAATATCCGAATATAAAGATGATACAACTGACATTTTGAAACATATTCCTGAACGAAAGCAAACTACAATAGATGGAAGAAAACTTACTATTTCTGTTATTGATAGATCACTATTAATGATCTTCCAGGATTATCCAGTTTTGGATACTTCTTTGCCATATGTAAATATGTATCTATATTTTGTGCAAATATTACACGGGAAACCATTTTATTAAAAATTATTTAGTTTAAATGTATTTAATAAAATGTTACAGATACCTATATACACGCATTTAAAACTAAGACCTCTGGAAATTATTCAAATGCCAAGATTATAGTTATATATAAACGAAAATAAGTGATGCAAGTTATTTATACCGTGTCTATTACATTGTCAAATATTACATATATATTTATATATGAAATTGTTTATAAAAACCACAAATAAGAAGGAGTACCTTCTGAAATAATTCTACATAAAAATACCTTATTGATGTAAAATGTTTTATATTAAAGTTGTCACTTTTACACTGAGTAACTTACTTCAACAAACGATACATTTATATATAAAAATGGCAAAGACAAATCAAATTGAATGAATCTACTTTCTACCTTAAAAACGATTAATATTAGTATGATTCCTAATTTCATTCTAACATTCTATATTACATGTAAAGGCACTCATGTTAATAAGAACATGGAATCAGCAACATTAAATTCAGACTACAACATTTCGGACCCTATCATGGAAAAACGCGGTGGCGTTTGCCAGATTGCACTAGATGTACGTTTTAATCTACTTTTATCTATACCTTGGAACAATTTCGTCAAGTCTGGCGTACATTTCCTACTGCCGAAAAATTTATAAACTGCTCCTTCCGGAATGTATCGTTGCATCGCAAGTTGAGATTTGCGTACTTGAGCTAGAATAAATGGAAACATAATTAATTAACAAAGAATTCATTTTCATGTAGATAAGTAAAAATATACTTACGGTGTGCCCAATATGGAATTACATGCTTCGGTCTGGATTCGTCATCCGATTCATCCTCATCAGGTTCACTATCCAAAATGTAATTTGTCGGACCGTGATGTTTGCTTCCATATTTTGTCTGGAAATTAAATTAATAACAGTTTATTTAATAAGATATTTTTTTTAGCGACGTGTATCGAGAATATTTCTCACCTGTGTCCCATGTATATGAATTTTAGTTTTTATCGCTTCGGCTGCAGTTTGTTGCTGAGCTCTTGCTTCGGCTTCTTTTCGTTTTTCAGCTTCTTGTTCGCGACGCCTTTGCTCAGCTAATATACGTTCTGCCTCTTCTTGTTCTTGTAAACGTTGCAAACGTATTTGTTCCTCTTGTTTTCTTTTTTCTTCCTTTTCCTACAAATTATTTTAAATGTTAATCAATTATTAAAAGAATTAAAATATATTGCATACATTCATATTATTTCTAAAAACAGTTATACCATAGCTCGTTGTAATTGAGCTAGACGTTTCTTTTCTATTTCTTCACGCTGTTTCTCTAGCATTTGTTGGGCCAACCGTGCTTTTTCTTCTCTTTCCTTTTCAGCCCTCTGACGTTTCTCCATATCCTGTTTCTCTTTTGCTTCCCTTGCCAATTTATTTTTTAATTCTTTTTCTTGTCTCTTCCTACATATCAAATATATATATATATTTTACACAATGTTCAGTAATATAAATCAAAAATTGCATAAATTGTATTATTCTTACCTTTTCCTTTCTTCTGTTACAAGTCTTAGTACTTCTTCACGTTTTTTCTTTGCATCGTCATCGTTCAATTTTCTTTTTTTACCTTCTACTTTGCCAGTCGAATTACATTTATTAACAGATTTCGGAGGTTGAAGGAAAGAGTCCATTGACGTAATAATGTTAGTACGTGCGTCGCTTAAAGCCTTTCCATGCTGAAATTAGAATAACAAATATTAATACTCGAACAAACCATATAGTTTATAACACGAAACGTTAAAATTCTTACATTTATGTTAGAATAATTGTTTAATGGAGTATGTGGAATACGAGTAACAGACGATGGTAACTGAATCTTTGTTTTAGTCAATGGAGTTGTTTTCTGTTGTTTTTGTTTCACTTTTTCCGAAAGAACTTTCTGCTTTGCTTGAATCTTGTTCTAAAAAAGTGAAAATCTTATTCCTATTAAGTATTGTAAAAATACCTATTGAATAGTATTTTAGTTACCTCTTTATCGGTATCCTTGTATTGTTTTGCTAATGAAATTTTCTTAGCTTTCGCAATCGACTTTCGTGCTAATTTTTGAGCGACTGTTTTTTCTGCAGCTTTTGAAATTTCTAACATTTCTGCTTGTGCAGCAGCCTGGGCTCGTGTTTTGGTTCTAGTCATTCTAGTCGGGGCATCAATATCAATAGCAGGTTTTGGACTGTTCATACCAACTTGCTCAAATGCTTCGACTCTTTTTTTAACAGATTCCTTGGCATATGGACTAAATAAAGCATTTGATTTATACATATTTTTCACTTCCTGGAATGTTGAGCCTGTATTCAACTCTTTTAATGTTGGTTTCGCAGGGGTACTAAGAATCTCATCTTCACTTGAAACGGTAGATCTTGTTACTCTTTTTTGTCGTTTTGTATTTTCCTGTATTTTAGCATTTTGTCGCCTTTTTTTTATTTCAGGAGATGATTCGTCTTCTGTGAGTAACTCATCAAATTCCTTGTTTGCTATAGCTTCTTTTAACTGTACCATCCTGTCCTGCAGGGTTACCGAGAAAGTTGATTCAAGCTTAGACGACAATCTAGGTGATTTGAATTCACCATTTGGTTGAATCATTTTCCCATCTATATTTGTATTCTTCTTTTTATTAACTGTTACGGTTTCATTTAGTTTTATTGCAGATAAAGGTTCCAAAATTACCGTTGCACACATCATCTTTTGCATAGTATAGGTGGAATTGAAATTCATTGTAGAATTCATTATAGGCAAAGGTTTTCCAATCGCATCCTCATACATTGAAGGTTCGTCAATCTCATTTGTTTCAGGTGCAATAATTGTATCATCAATAATATTAGATTGTTTATTACTATTTTGATCTTGAGTCTGGGAGAAAGTTCTCTTTCTACTACTACTTCTTGTTGCTGTTGAAGATTTTTTTGATGTTCTACCATTCGCTTTTAGAGAAGACTGTTTCTCTATATGCGAATCTGATATTTTTTCTGGAACTTTTTTAATTACAATAGTTTCTTCCATCTTAGTAAGCTTTCTAGGTCCTTTACTGCTTTCCTCGTCTGAACTACTTCTGGTAGATATCTTTCTTTTGGTTTGGCTTTCACGTTTTTTCTAGAAATTTAAAGAAAAATAAAAATAACAGAAATTTTATATAAATACTTAATTATTTATGATCAATTTTATTACATAATGTAAATAATTAGGATACAAACTTTTTTTACATCAAGATTACTAGCTTCATGGTCAGACAATGGTCTTCGTAATTTTGTATTAAGAGATAGAGATTGCTGTTTTTTAATATTGTCTGCTGCTTTTTTTGAAGCTTCTCTTTTTAGTCGAACAGGCATTGTTTCATTTACAGATTTTGTTGTTATATCATTATTTTCTACCGTTACATGCACTGCAGTGCAATCTGAAGACATGTTAGTAAGATCGACAACATCATTTTCTGGAATGGTTTCAATACGTTGCTTTGCCTTTTTCCTTAAAACTTTTGGAGTTTTTGTAATCAAAGGACCAGATACTGAGTTCGGTATTTGAGCAATTATATCATGAAGATAATCCAAAGTATCTTTCAAACTGTCCTTAATAAATACTTTAACTTCCATATATCTGTTATTAATATCTGAAAAATCCTTAGTAATCATTGCTTTAATTGTGTCTCTTGATTGTGTCTCCATATTTGAAATCTGCAATAAATTAAAAAAATATATGATCATTTTCTATAGTTATAACATTTACAAAGAAATAACGAAATAGTCAAAAGATAATTAAATAGATATTTTTATATCAGCAAGTAAACATTATAATACAACTGCGAAAAAATATGTTGTAATAAAATTAATTAAATGAACTAAAAATTGCTTATAGAAAATATTGGTTTACCTTCTGCGTTTGTATATACACAAACTAATAAAATGTAAATAGAAAATTTCACAATAAATATTAATATCCCCTAATAACACCATATAAGAAAGAAAAGAAAACTTCACCAACAATCTCCATTTCGTGTTTCAGACAGGAAGCCACAGGAAGATACTAGTTTTACTGGTAAACCATGGTTTTACCCCTCATGTATGAACAACATAACGACTTTTCAGTTCAATTTGAATCGCTGCATCAAGCGCCATCTATTCTCCTCGACGCACCATTTGCCACCGGTGCTTAAATTATACAACTCATAATGAATTCGTCTTTAGTTTTGATTATAATTGACTTCATAAGTAATAAAATTACATTTTTATTTTAAAACTTGTAAAGTTTATTTTTATTTCAGTTGTATATTACAAAAAAGTTATAAGTACTTGTAAGTGTTCATAATAATCTGAAATTATAAGGTTTTCTACAAGTATTTTTTAACATGAAATAACAAAATGTATATGACACTTGATTTTAAATGTTTAAATCTTTTATTGTCTAATTATATTTTTATACATTATTTATATGTACTAGTATATTTTAAATTAAATAGTCAAAACTCTCTGACAAGAACATCATTTTTTCTATAAGTTTATTACAGAATCTTTTATTTAACAATATTCAAATTTATCACATTTATTTGATAAATTGTAACATTCACAATTGGTGTAAATTAGATAATTATCACATTAAATTATTATTTAGTACTTGTTTTTAGAGTTTATGGTTTCTTTTGTAAAGAACACTTTCACTCGTGTAAATTATAAATAAAAAAATATTTCATCAACACGTAAAGACTTTCGGTCTTTGGAAAATAACGAATGTACAATAAATAGAAATAACATTTTAATATACACGAAATTTGCAATAAATAAATAGTTTTTAGAACGCCAGCGTTCTTTTCATGAAATAATTTCACTCAATTTCGACACATCTAACAATGAATGAGTACTTCTATTGCTTTTAAATTTAAAAAGATTACGATTTTGATATCTTTGTGTTTTAGAATAGCTTTGATTGTACAATTTTATAAAAGATCATTATTGCTTTGAATAGAAATTTGTAATACTTCTTCTTCAAATGTAGGGTCCAATAAGATATCAATACCTTTCATTCCTGTTTTCACGTATTTCTGAAATATGCTTCTAGATTCTTCCCATAAAACTCGATTTTCGTTCAGCACATGAACAAGTGGTTGTATCACCGGGAATAATGTAGAAAGATTACTAAGAAATAAAATAACGAAAGAAATATAATAAAAGATTAAAAGTAATATTTTGATAAAACGTTTATAAAAAATTAAATATTTTATAAAATTAAACACAATCGTTTAATTGTTAATATTTCAATCTATAAGAGAAAAGATCATATTCTTTTTTTATAAAAGTATTACTTGTTTTTTTAATCATGTAATCATATTTGATATACATATTTACAAACTTTATGCATACAAGTGTTAAAAATATTTTGGAAAAAGTAATATATACTTACATAAAAAGTGGTAGAACTATATTTGTGATAAATTGAACTTGAAGATCTGGTATAGATGCTCGTTCCCTATCCATCATTTCTATAGGAGAACTACCCATACTTTTTTCTAAATCTCCTTGAGAAAAAAATTCATCATAAATTTGTTCCTAAAATCCGATATAAAGAAAGTATACTCAAATTTAATATTTCTGTTAATAAGTTCATCAAATTTTACTCACAGCAGTCTTTTTGGATACCTTCCAATGTTTAGTTTGATCGCTAAGGTCACAACATGTCATAAGCATACTAAAAAAAAGTTTTAAATGTTTAGAATCTTTTTTGTCAAAATTATTTTTAATCATTTCTTCTTGTTTTTCTACAGTGCGAAAATGAGATGCTAAATCAGTTGCAAGTATATTATTTCTTAATAGATCTAATGCTTCACTATATTCATCGCTATTAAAATTTTCAAATATATTGCAGTTTTCTGTATTTAAAATACACATGGTCTGTGCTAAATGATGCCTCTGTAATATAATAATCACAGTGAATTTTAGTTGGAAATATTTATAAATAGCTATATTCAAAGTAAGTACCTCCATCACAGAACCTTCAGAACTGTAAAGACTAGCTAGGACTGTACTGCATTTAGTTTGAAATGAATTGTTTGTTCCTCTATGATCTATATCATGACACAAACAAGATACTAAGAAGACCAGAGCTTGTAACTGTGTCATATAATTCTCAGTAATAAGCTCTAAATTTTTTATTAACAAATATGCAAAATGTGCCACAGAAAAAGCATGCACCCAATTATGATAAGGTGCATCTCTATATCCTTTTTTAACATACAATATAAACCTGTAACATTAGATGTGAATTAATTATTCAGCTTCAACAATAGAATTAACAAATTTCATTACCTAGCTAAAGTTGATAATTTCATTTTCCAATGTTTGATAAGACCTAAGTCATTGAACATTTTGATTGTATAACAGGGCATATGTTTATAAGGAACACTTCTAGGAGTAAACTGAAATTTATCAAAGTCTTTTATATTATGTTCATCCTTACAGTTCAATAATGCTTGAACAGCATCTTCTTCTACCTGCATATATGCACATATTAATACAACTTTCTATTTAAAATGGAAAACTGTAAGTAATTTAAGTTTTACCTTCATATGATACATCATCACCTCGTTACTGAGTTTATTTCTTGCTTGAGCATCTTGCATCTTTTTATAAACGATACTATGCATTATAGAAATTCCACAATAGATACTAAATGCTGTTGCAACTTCTTCATCAAAAACATCAAAATACAGCCCATCTTTTTTATTACAGAGCTGTGCAACACCTATAATACAGAAAAAAAATCAGATTGTTTCATTCCTTTAGTTTTTAAAAATGTAATCTAATAATATATTTACTTACCAACAATTCCATTTTCATCTCTAATTGGAAAGCATAAAATATTTCTAGTTCTAAAACCTGTTACTTCATCTATTCCGCTATAAAAAAGAGGATGCTCATATGCATTTCTGATATTAAGTAATTTTCCAGTAGTTGCAACATGACCTGCTATACCTTGTCCTATTGGTATTCTCATTTCTTTTATAGACTAGAAATAATCAGATCTTCAATTTTATTTATGAAACATAGAACTTCATGTTTGAAACATAAACTCACTTCTTTCATGGCAATACCATCAAATACTTTAGCAACTAAATCTTGCTGATCAGGATCCAAAAGAAATAATGAACATCTTTCTGCATTTGTTAAGTTTCTAACTTCAGCCATTATTTCTCTCAAGAGATCAGAAAAATCTCCTATTTATTACCATTGAAAATGTAATAAATATATGAATTGTTATGACTAATTTTATTATTGCATTTAAAATTAATATTACCCAAATGTGTAAAAAGTTTTCTAGAAACAGCAAGTAACTTTTGGCACTGCTGTTTCAGCCGGGTTTCTTCATAACATATAAGTGAGTTTAGAAGAAATCCTAAGCAAAATCTTTAAACAAAAAAATTTTTAATAGAATAGAAATTGTACACCTTTTTAAAATTTAATTTTTTTAATATAAGAAATATAAATTACCTAAAACATTCTTGTACAACTTCTGCACATTCCTGTGTAATTTCATTTTGATTATTATCATCAACTAAGGAAACCACTAAAGCTACATGGTTCTGCTTAGGGTGTTGTATGGGAATTGTTAGAAATGATTTTGACATTGGACATATCGGTTGAAGGTGACGTAATAATTCTTCATCAAGCATTGTGATATCTGCAGTAGTTGGTTTTTTATTTTGTAAAGTTTTGTATAAAATATTATTTGATACCTATAAAAAATTATTTATAGATAAATACTGAAAATGACTATTGTAATTTGTATTAAAAAATATTTTTCAATATAAAAGGAGGAAAGAAAATTGTTTATGTATCTTCTAGTTGTATGGTTTTTAATTAATTTAGTGCATAATCCTATCAACAGAAGGATTTTAAGCTGACTTGATTGTTCAATAAAAGTTGAAATAAAGAATTGTAAATGTGTAGGTGTAACAACCTTGACTAGAAAAGTGTGAATAATGATAAAATGTATGATTGTAATTGATAGCACTTTTTATATATATAGATTACTTGAAATGTTTTGCAACGTTATATCAATAATACCTCTATGTATGGCTTCATTTATGTAGGTTTCTAAGTATTCTGTTTGAGGATTACATTGCTAAGCAAACTATTTCTAGCGAGAGATAATACTTAAAGCTATTATCTTTGTTGTATCTCAAAACAAAAAAATTCATTCAGGGTATACATTTTATTTTAAAATGAAAATATTTTGTTTATCTTTTCCTACAATAATAATATTAACAATGTTTAAAAATTACGTGATAAGTTTTAATTAGAACTTTTATTAAATCATTAGACATTATCAATCATTCTTACTTACAGGAAATCTTAATTCTCTGTCTAAGATTTTTTCTCCTATCACATGAATAACCATTTCTTCTGATTTTATTAAAATGGGGACGAGAAAAGACACTTTTGCTTTGGTTACATTTTGTATCTATAACATTTAAAAAAAATACAAGTAGAATTAAATTCAATTACAATAATTACATATTTTCATATATGTTATATTTTTAATTGAATCTTTTGAGATGATACCAATTAATGAAACAATTTTTTTCATTAAAATTTACCGCTTATAAGCTGCAGCGTTTTTAAAAAGAAGCATGCGTACCGCGAAAAATTGTACACATAAAATGATGATACTATACTCACGTATTTGTTTAGCTTTTGTTGCACCTGAGGATAAGAAAGATCGCACAGTTCTTCTAGAAGTGACAGAATATTTTCTGCGTTCGATGTATTTAAACTGATCGCATTCATTTTTTACTAATATTTTAGATTTTGTTTCCGTATAATAATATTGAAAACTGTATATGCTTTAGTAACACTGCACGCTTATATAGCTTATTTCCAATATCATGTTTCCAATGGATTGTAAAACAACTATGTTCAAAACTTGTTTACAATTATTTCAGTGCGTACAAAAAATAAATTATTTATGTCAATCATATTTAAATTTAAACGGACTGTCAAAAGCACAGGGCAAGAACACAATATGAAGAGTTACTGCAACTATCTGCAGAGATCTGCATCGTCCAGTGACTACAGATAGTAGAAGACTGGATATGCCTTCATTCCCAAAGGATCGTGAATTTGTGAACGCCATCAGATGGGATTAAGTAAGTACTTCTATGTGGCGACTTACCGATTGCCGGATGATCGGTCGATATGTCGGTAAATAACTTCCGCTGCTTACCTATAGATGGTGCAAGTGTCCTCTGTTTCGGAGAATCGGTCGGTAAGTTGTTGAGTAGTTTGCGCCGCTTTTGTATAGATGGCGCAACAAGTCATAATAGCTGTTGGTAATCGGTCGATATGTTGTCGAGTAGTTTCAGCCGGTTTTGTATAGATGGCGCAACGGTTGATTTTCGGGAACACTGGAAGATTCAATTCCGTAATTAAATTATAATTAACGTTATAATTTATAAACCTCTTTGACGTCCAAAGACAAACTGATAAAGACATTTACATTGTACCTTCTTTATTAAAATTATATACCTCGTAAATGTAACAATATTGCTCGAAAGACATTTGTCAATGCAGAGGGGTGAATTTAAAAATCGGATGACAATAATATTGTATAACGATTTATGTATTAAATGAATGTTTAAATAATCTGTATAATTTATTGTTCTACGGAAATGAACGATGAAATGGTGTAAGAGAATTACAGAGAAAATCGTAGAGATGATAATTCTAGGAACAAAATTTTATTGATAAAGATAAAAGAAACTTTTTTCATCAGTTTAATGTCTATGTTCAATTAAAAACGATTATAATAATGTAGTCCGTTACGTGAGAAATAATACTGACGATATTATACATGATTCGTATTTTTTGTTTTTCTTCCTTTGTTCTTGGTTGAATTTTTATAGTTAACACATGGGAAAATAAATTAATGAAGTTGAAGTACAATATCACAAAATGACATTGCGGATGAAATTGGGATATGCTGATCGATGCGTTCGTTTACTAATATCGTGATTAAATTATTAATTATACGTATGTTATTCGTTATGTTTTTTTTTTGTGTTCGTTTATAATAAAAACGCAGCAAGCAAAATACGTAAATATTTACCACAAATACCCATTAAATATTACACTAATGTCACTATATAATGTGTTTCCACGTACAAAGAATATTATATTCAAATTAATATTTAATTCTTTGCAGGGAGGATTTAAATCATTATCATCGATGATAAGATAAAAACAATGATATATATATATATATATATATGAATACACATTTTAATACATACAGATTCTATTTTTTAATTTATCAGAAATATAAACAATTTTTATTCGCTACACAAAATTCAATAATATTTGTTTTCTCAAATATGAAATCTTAATTTATGAATGAGACACCGTATTTGCATTAAATGTGTATTCAAAAAGAATAGAAATAAGACTAACAATGATTATTCGACGTAAATGTTTGGACTGACGACGCTCTGATTACAAACCACCTATTTAAAAGAAAAAAAAAATGCAGTCTAATTTTTAACACTTCAGTCCGGCAACAAAGCTAGAAAGTGGCATGACAATAGTAATAATAATAGTATTAATAATAATAATAATAATAATGACAATAATAATAATTATAATTATAATAATAATATGTACAACATTCTGAAAGATTATCCACAAATAATGAAAAAATGTATCCAAGTTCTTATGTTAATATTTAGTGTATATCGTTTACATACAAGCTTAACAAGATATAAATTGAAAGCTATGGAAGTGAAAATGTACACGACAAAAAATCGATGATTAATCTCTAAATGAAATGTGTCTGCTTCTTTCTTCTTCACCGATCACGAAAGCTGTAATATTGCACTAATTTTTGCTTAGGCGAACGTACGGCATCGTGTCGGTCTGAATGTGTTACGCTTTAAATAAGATCATGTATGTCAATGCGTTTTGAATTTAACAAGGAGACTACAGGCAGGAAATGAAGGTAAGGTGGTTCTCATCAACAGAACAACCAGGAGGCCATCTGTAATAAATTACACCAAGGTATATTTATTTTAAATACGATTTTTAGTCGTATCGCTAAATTTTCGTTATGTGTTACGTTAAGTGAATCGTGATGTTGGCTGCTGGTTGTTATTTCATATTAGTTACTTAATAGAATTAATGGAGCAGCAAATAGGTACATGGGCAAAAGTGATTTTGTTTGGTGTATAAGTGTGACTCAGTGTTTTCGTTTTGAGATACTACAAATTCGTTCAAATTTTAAAGAGAATTATTAATCACATTCTTTTCTTTCACATTGTATACTAATTATACTGAGTCGGTTCTATTTCTGATCAATTTTTGTTGCTTTATAGTTTCTTTAGGAAAGTAGATGTATTTTGACTGTTGTGATCAATCATATAATAGCAATAATAATAATAATAATAGCAATAATAATAATAATAATAATAATAATAATAGTTAATAATAATAGATAATAATTCCTCATAATAAATGTAAAAGCTGGTACACAGAGATAACAAGCGACTCACTGGTGCCGCGGACAAAAAGACTTACAAAACGTGACACATGCACAATACTAGACAAAAACTTTGACAACACAAATTCACCAGACTAAATTTTTTCTTGCTTTTCTTTCTGCACCAATGTTCATACAGCGGCGAATGTTGATATCTGCTGGCCCAAATATGATTATTAAATCATATCAATCAATATATTCAATTATCTAAAACATTCTAAAACTTCTTGCTTATAAAGTCTGATGCAAACCACTCAGGGGGCTGCAAACTATCCATATTTTTTTTTTTTCTTTTGGACATATGATTGGTAAAGTCCTCTTCTTCGGTGCCGAGGACTTGACAGACTAACAAGACGTTTGTGGTAATGGATGGAGACAACTCAATTAGTAAACTGAAACCACCTGGTTCAGTAATATAGATAGTAAAATCCTATTCCAAATTATAGTTTATCCTGTAGAACGTATCCTTCTTCTTCTCACAGTTTCTGCATTCTGTAGTTTTTGTTGCTGTCGTCGTCGTCGTTATGATCATCACTTTCATCTTCCGTTGATGCATTATCCAACCATGTTAACCAACTATTTACCTACATCATTTAATAATCATTCATTAATTTTCAAATAAGTATATACATATCAAAAGATTATCAGTTTAAGCTTACTTACCTCAAATAATGCTTTGCCTTTGCCTGGATAAGCGTCAGTAACGCATTCTTTCCATTTGAAATAAGCATCTTCTTCGATCACTTCTAATCGATAAAGACCATCGAACCATCGCAGTAACATTCCTTTTGGAAAATTGTGCGAGAACCAAAATGCTTGAAGCGCATGTAGAGCTGTTACTTGAGACTCTATATCCACGAAGAATAAACGCATCAAACGTGAATATTTTTCCAGTAATGCCTTTTCTTTATCTATTACTGATTTGGCTACATTAGATGGATCAACTCCGGGTACCAGTATTGTTTCCTGTAATTTATATAAAACATTAAAAAAAAATTAAAAAAATAAAAATTGATACAATACAACATAAGGAAAATTTAATAAAATTACTTATACTAACCTGTGTAATGTATTTCAGAAGAACGTTCATCAAAGCATTAATAAACTCTGAATTAGAATGATGCGAAGGTTCTAACTTTTCTTTGATCCATTTGTAAAGAGTATTTGGATTCGGGTCATATTCTAATTGACGCCATATGTCACCTTGAATCTTAAGAAGCGGATAGAGGAAGGTCAGTTCTCTGTCCTCTAAAATTTCCGCTAATCTTTCTTTCGTCTTGTCCGCCTCAGGAAGCTGACTGATAAGATTCACTTTGCTCTCGTTAAATATCTGTGTGAGTCTTGCTTTGCCTTGACTTTTATGTAACTGCTGTAGTGTTAGTAAAAACAATGGATGATGTTGACCGTTTTCTGTTACAGCAACGAGATCGGTTATCTGAATTAAATTATCCACAATGGCCTTAGCTGTTAAGAAGGCAACGTGAGAAGCTACACAAGGCACAGTACTCTCTTTTTCTGCTATATTGGATACTAGTTCTTTCCATCCTTCGTGTACTTGCTGTCCAGTAATCACGTCTGCTTTCACCAATTCAACGATGAGCTTAGCTACGAGCTCGCGTTCACCGTCTCCACGATCTAATGTATTAGAATATAACGTATAAACTGCATGACGTAAAAATCGTTCAGGTATCTTAAGATCTTGAAAAGCTGTTATTGCGTCCTGTATGTTTGTGTGAGAAACGAGATCGTCCATTAATGCGTTCACTTTCTTTAGTATCTCTTCTCTGGAAGTTCCTTTGTCTTTTCTATCTCTTGCTTTCTCCCTTTTATCTACAGGACCTTGTTTTATCACGATTGCTGGTGGCAATTCCTTGTGCAATAATGGCGAGCTGGGTTTCAATGTGTTAGTACGTAGAAGAGGTAATTCCGATGCTCTTCCTGGGAACAGATCTATCAATTGAAATAATGAAAAAATATTCTTGTAGCGTCGTTTTATTAAGATAAGATAAATTCTAAATGCTCTAAATATATTCTACTACTGCTAAAAGTTTGGTTGAACCAATTGTTTGATTATTTATCTTCAATCAAACCAAATCTACTACATTATATGTTTTATAGAGAAGCAATAATATTCTATTAATTAAGTAGACGTACCACTGTTGAGAGGTAGGTTGGGATTAATGTTGGTCTGTTTAAACATCATAGAATTAGCTGACGGTCTTAATGATACTTCTTCTGGATGTCCAATCAACATCTTGTTTTTATTAAAGCGTAATTGTTCTTTACTGCTATCTGCAAATAGAAAATATATGTATATCAGTGAAAATATTGTATTACCAAACTATACAAATCGATAAGTCGAAGGAAGACTTACTGTTATTGAAGTTTTGTGGTGAATTATGTTGCTGTTGATTATGTTTCCCTTGATAGTTATTCTGGTGACGATTCTGGTTTTGATAGTAACCCGGCTGGTTACGTTGGTTGTGGCGGCCATAACCAACCCCGGATGTTCCTGAGAATCCATTTGGGCTGAATGGAGGTGGCATGCCAAACGAAGGAGAAGTCAATGGAATACTTCCCATCATGTCCATGTCTAATCCGCTACGTCCCATTTTCCTTAAAAACTCTGCTCCGAGGCGATCCTCTCGTCTGTGGAAGCCATTTCCCCTCGAAGACTCTTCGTTATCATTGCGGATCTGATTAATTGGCATTGGACCTTCGGTGCTAGTAGCCTTGCGTGGTACCCAGCCATCACGGCGTAGCTCAATGACATCACGCAGCATAAACTTGATACGTAAAGGAAGATCGCTGCTCTCTGCCAAAGAGTTCATACGTCGAAAATATTGATCCATGAGTCCGCGGCCTTTATCCGAGTCAAGGATGCGACCGCAGGTACGCATGATTTGACAAAGACACTCGATATCCTCGGCGGTGTCCCCCCTGGATCCCCCTCGCCTTTTCTTCTCCAATAATTGCTGGATGCAGCGATGTAAAATCGGTTCCGATACGATTCCCAACTTTCCCAGTTCTCCGATGAACTTGATGTTGCCAAGCATTTTACGCTTAGCCACCTGTCGGCGTTCCTCTTCCTCTGGACCGAGTTCATCTTGATTTTCGAATGCCTCGCTTGCCTTTGAACGATTTTCAAATTCGTCTTTGCACTTGTTAAGAAGGAGAAGTGTGAATGTGCTTTGGCCTTTTTGACTATCGATGAGAGCTTTTCGTGGTTCAAAGTTTGCAGCTTCGTCAGACAGCCGTTTGCACAGCTGTGCGTACATAGAACTGTACTTGGGTTCATCAAGTGCTTTTTCAAAGATCTAACAGAATAACAATTTCACATTTAACCATTCCTTACATTGTTAGATAGATAATAGATATCCCAGTTTATAAACATCGTAAACACTATTCGTATTTCATTCGATCAACTTACCAAGAAAATAACACCTTTAAGAATCACATCAGAATTAAGCTCAACGTTGAGCAGGTCGTTGCTCAGCTTTGCGAACTTTTCCGGCGTAAGCTTATTAAGAATACCCCGCACCTTTCTAAAGATGAGATCATTTCTGCTTTCTGGGGTGAGTGCATCGCGTCTAACAGTTGAAGGAGGGATCCAGCGTTGCTCAGTGGATAGGGAGCGAATATCGTCCCTGGAAGGCATCGAATTTTTTTAATTTCAGTGTTACTAGTTATAATGCAACACAGAGGATTCTTTGGATGTAAAAAGAAGCGGCTCTTGTATGGCTGTTACAGCCAAGGTAACTTTTGTAGACCCTGACCTTCCTCCCGAGACACGAGAAGCACCCCCCGGTCCTGTGGGGTTGTCCGTTGTTGCGCGTGTTTCGGCCTCCTGAGTGATAAATCACAGCACACAGATCTTCCTTTAGGAAGCTGAAACAAAAGAAACATTACAATAAAAATACTAGCCATTTTTTCAATGATTAATTGCTTACACGCATGCTACTCCTTCCATGTTTGATTTATTAATATGCAGCCTTTGTACCTAATGATGCAAAAATATGGTATATTAAGAAACATGCAGTTAAAATGCTTATACAAATACAGGTGTAATTATGCAGTTTCTACAAAATATCTGAATTTCTTTTTCGACAAATCTAATCAACGATTCCATAGTTTAATTCAACTGATTCTGATCATTCGTGCATTAATTACTTATCTCCACAAATTATAATGCGTTATAGAAATCAAAACATGTACAATAAAATAAGAGAATGTTTAAGTTTCTTAATGTCTTTCTAACAGGAGAAGTAAAATTGATAAAATACTCGTGCAAATTATAACATATAAATTTATTTCCATAAATAGATAAGATTTCTTAAATGCGTAAACTTTATTTCATGTACAGATAGAAAACATAAGTCCTTTTGATTAAATATATAACTTTTTACCATAACAATATTTTACTGTTTCTTAGCAAATATACTTTTCAAATAGAATCATGCAAAACAATTAATACATGACATTCATTTTTATAGTCAATAAATGATAAATTGTAACTGTTCTTGTTTCATATTCCGCATAATAGTAAAGATCAGATGCTTTTTAATTTTATAAGAAGTGGAGTTGAAATGGCAGAAGGCAGAGATTAAGGTGTGCGGCCTTAGTGCGCTCACAGGTGAAGGTCTTCAATGGGCAGAACGAGGACCTTCTTCAGGGAAACGGCTTTAATCTTCAGGTATAGGTTACGAATAAAACAACGAAAAACCGTGGACGATAAACGTGGAGAGGATCGTATGTGGGGCGCGGCTCATGGTCAGACGGTCAATGAACCTTTCGTCGTCTCACCTCGACCGATGTCGGCTTCTATCGTCAGGCTGATCGGGCGAGGTCGGACAACTTCGTCCTGAGTTCGACTAAGGTCGTCTTTGACCGCCTCAGACCGCCTCTACCGAGCGTTCCATATATTAAGGGTGCGTGCTGGGAAAGCTAATCTCTTTTCTTTATTACAGGGTGAAAGATTAAAGAAGAAAATTCCAACCCTGCTACCCTGTAAATTCCAAGGTATACCCTTGCTACCTAACATTACCAAAACTATTGATTATCTTTATATCTATGAAGTGTTCGAATGTTCCAATATCGATACAGGTACAAGGTTTTCCCTACGATTCAAGTGGATGATATGATACAGTTGAATAAGCATTACTGTATGGTTGTACAATGGAGGTCGTTGTTCGAAACACGTTTCGACATTGAAAAATTTCTTTAAAGCATAAAACCGGTATTCTATCTTATTCCCTTTTAAATTTATATTACCTTCAACAAACGAAGGTTCCGCGAAGATAACTCGACCAGTTAAATTACCAAAGTAATCGAAATTTCTTTCAAGTTCTAAATTTATCTGCTTGGCTTTAAATTAAAACCTATATATTTAAATATCTATCGAATATATCGAAAACGAGTAAAGTATTTACGAGTAAATGTTTTTGCAACGACCTTTACATCTAATTATTGTTAACGCGGAAAAAAATATAATGCTGATAAGCGTTGCAATTTCTTCTCACTTACAATGATTAAATTTCTGGAAAAAAAAAGAAATATTTAACTTCGACTCAAAAGAACTGTAAACATAATTATAATCTCTGATTAAATTAGCGGAAATTGGTATTAAATGATTAGAGGGAAAGAAATTTTTGTTCCTTTTTTTTCGTGTTAAGCAATGAAATATCAATTGAGAGCATAAAAAATGTTGATATACAAAATGGAACCGTGTGTCACTAATAAACAAAGAGATAGCAGCAATGAAATGACGTAAAGAGAATAATATCGCTATCTTTCTCGGAATAATTTCGAACACTCCATTACTTGGTTTCCTCGTGACACGTCACTGATGCGCCGTGACGGTTGCTCTTTACGACTTAGAACAAGGCTGCCAACTTTTGAAGGCCGATACTGTAGAAGATCAGCAGGGGAAAAAGAGAGCGAAATACCTTTGCTTTTCGTTGCATAGTTGAGTGAAATACTTATGCAATATATTTTTTACTTTTTCAAACCAAATTTTAAATGCGACAGACAATTCTATTGTAACTAACAATACTGCGAACTGGAAGAATCTCTGTATAGTTGAAAGCCGAACAAGTACAGTTATATACACAAAGGAAAACGAAATTCTTTGTCTCCAATAAATTTAACCACTTTAAATAGATTTCACGTGTATGCGATGTTTCTTAATTAATACAATGTAATTTGCATTTCTTTTTTTTTTTCATTCAATAAATTTAGATGCACATGCATTAATGAGAATCTTCAACGATGATCGTTTTAATGTGTCACAGTTATATGTGGTAAGGTGCAAATTAGCTGTACAAAGTGGACAGCTGAAAGCAAATCAGTACGTCTATTCATAGTCCGATAAGCATTTAAGTTTGCTGTAACAAAGAGGCATAAGGCCGTCACGCATTCGACGTAGGAACACAGTCATATGGGTGAGCATTTAAAGGCACACAGTAACTGCTCCTACCACGAGTGCGCGTGTAATACCCTACCCATCGTATTTCGAGGTTGCAATCATTAAAATTCTCAATTTTTATCTACTCGTATCATAAAAATATCCATCACCGTTTTTTGGAATTAAAAAATGCAAAAGAAAGAAAACTTTAATATAGCGTATTGTTTGAAAAAACAATTATTGGCACAACACTTGCTTCTAATTCTTTAAAATAGGAAAAAAATGTCTGAGATTCATCGTTTTATTACGTTTTAAAAATTAACTATACACATATGAGAATAATTTTAATGAAATGTCAGAAACATGACAGTACACGCCTGTTTGGTTTCATGCACGCCTATGCGAGTACGTGCACATTGATCGATGAATACGTATGTGTGCTTTGTGCATACGTATGTTTACAAGAGAGTCTGTGAAGCATCCGACTCAAAATAAATGTCTTAAAACAGCGGAAAATTTACCAATTTGAAAGAAATATTATTTTTAATGTATTAATAGAAAATGAAAAAAACGAGAAAAATTAAAAATTTTTAGGATATATGTATATATAAAAATATAAGTATCTTTTAAGAACGATCAAGTAACGTTTGACGTAAGCAACGTGTATTGCAATTTCTAGAATAAATTAATAAATCTGATTCATATTCAACAACGAAATAACCTGGAAGTTAAATAAAAATAATCTACCGATTTAGAATTCTTCGAACGAGGAGCTCAACAACGCGACACGCGGGGTTACCACAAACGTCGAAAATTCTCTTCTTCTATAGACTAAAGAAAAGTGCTTTGAATTAAAGTACTAAACACCTAAAGCATATAATAAGCATGCAAGAAGCCATACAATCAACCTACTTTAACTCACACCGATTAAAATGTCAAAAGTAGGGAGTTACGTACTGTCCGTAAAACAACACTCGATTACCACTCGCGCTTCACTCTTTTTTTCTACTATCGATGCAAGAATTATTCGATAATACGAAAAGATTACGGTTATATTCAAGAGATACTTGAAACGTGATAGGAACTCGACAAACGGAAGATGCGTTCGGAGCCGACATGACGCACGACCTATGTACGTACTGCATTAACTCTCAAAGCAACCCTCGAGAAAATTCTATCGAATTTTAGGATTTTTAGAGAGTTTCGTTATGAGAAAACATACGCATCGAGGTAATCCAGTGTTAAATTTTCTATTACGACATTCACACAACAAAAAGCTTACTATTTTAGCGATTAAAATGATGAAAAATCACAATAGCGTTTACTTACGGCCGACGGTTGTTGTTTCTGAAGGCTTTCGCAATCTGTCGGTCGTACTCGGGAACTTCCGTACCATACGTCTTGTCAAGCCAGCGTCCGCCATGCGACTAACCTCTGGTTACAGAGGAAGGTAGCTCATTAATGATTTCAATTGTTCAATACAAAAATATATTACTATTTTTCCTTACTTTTATTATTACAAATGTAAAAAACAATATTGAAATAAATTTATTATTAGTTTTACTTTTGATTCGGGCGGTAGTAATATATAAGACGGTATCAGAGACACATTTTTATGAGTTAGCAGAAAATAATTTTATATTACCATATATTCTCTATAAACGTTTACATGAACAATATATTTTGTGTAAACGTTATTAAGTTCATTGTAGGGATTATTATTCATTGATTTACAGTATAATATCATGCAATAATGACTATTTATGTTATGTTGAATCAAGTAGTACCGGCGGTGTTGTAGACACAGATTGTGTTCAATTATTCTAATATTTAAATTTAGTTTATGATGTGTAAAATCTATGTTATATTATTATAAGTTTTTTACTAAAGAATGCATACATGTTTATAGTATATTGATTAAAATTCATATGTAAAAGCGACGAATTAAAATTTTTAAATGTTACATGTCGATAATCTAGGTTTCTGTTGAATACACAGTTATGAATACAAAGGGACTATTGTCACATGGGCGGTGGATTAGATCGTTTAGGCAACTGTCAGTTTCTAAGATTCGATATATAAAAAATAGTTCTCTTGATTTTTAAATGTGAATTAATACAACAATTTATATTTAGATACTAAGAACACTTGTGATAAAACAGTTCAGGTTTGTTGTATGATTGATAATGTTTAGATGCAATTATATGTTTTCGTGTTCATTATCTGAACTCTTTATACGTGATTCATCGTGCACCATTGAGTGAATCTGAACATTATTCTGTAGTATGCAATCGCATAAAATAGTTTTAACACATTACAGGAATTGTAATTTGCAATATTATTTACGCGAAATAAGCCAGTATCTCCTTCACTACGAATATAATTCCTATAACAGATTCATAAGGATATTCTTGATATCTAAATTGTCTTTAATTTGATATATTTTAAAAATGTAAATTGAAAATTATTTTTACAAATAAAAAATTATATTCATGTTATGTTAATTTGTATGAATAATTTAATTGTAATAGTCTGTTTTATTTCATTAATGTTTTAATAGTTATGATATGTACAAACATCATTTTATAATTTAATTAAATATTTATGCATGAAAATATATGCTTGTAAATAAAAACCATAATGAAGTAGATTTATAAATATCCCTGTACATTATTCTTGTACACTTTATAAATCTTCTATTGTGATAGAATATAAGAATTTATAGAACATTTATATGTGTTTTTAGGATGGCTCATAGTTCTCAAAATTATGGATCCACTGATCAACGGTCAGATGTACCTGACGTGGGATTTAGTCCTACTGAACTATATAGTCTCAGTGAAAATATTACTACAAATATATATACAATTAATACAACATGGAAGATACTTGAACGTGCAAATAAAAATATTGGAACCAATAAAGATAATCAAGATCTAAGAGATAAGGTGTAAGTAATTAAAACAATATATTATAGTGTATGCATAGTTAAATCTCATTTGTATGTTCAGATTTGTAAAAATCTTATTTTTCTTTTGTTAGGCATGTAACACAGTTAAGCACAAATCAGGTAATAACTCAGACAAGTAAAGATATTGCAAGACTGACAGTACTAATGAGAAGAGGGGATAAACAACAGAAATTACAAATTGAAAAGCTTACCACTGATTTTAAAGATGCTGTGCAAAGATACTCAGACATGCAAAAGGTAGAAGATATTGCATCAGTGATTTGTATAATTTGTATGAGTTTGTTGTATGTTGTTTTATTTTGCAATCAAAAATGTTGTAGTCAGTTGCAGCAAAAATGAAGAGATATATTTTACCTACAACTAGCGTAGAAAATCCTGTGGATCCTGATGATGAAGAACAACAACGTCTGCTTCAAGTGCAAGAAGATGAGCAACAAGCAAAACAAAGGTCTGAAAATAAACATCATTCATAATTATTCATAAATAAATGTATTTGCACATGCAAGTAGTGAAGAAAGCTTGACTGTTCCTCACAGTATGGGCACAAGCAATGGGTTCAGGGATGGCTAACATTATATAAGTTGTTAGCAAATAATAATTTAATATGCTTTCCTCATGATTTTTATAAGATAAACATAATTTGTGGATTTTATAGCATGAATTTAAAGATTATTAAATGATTACAACATGTATTATTAATATAGAGAAGCTATAAAATGCACTTGAATGTGTGGTAAGTTTGTTTCAATGTATATTAATACAAGTTAAGCAATGATGGTAGTGATCACATAGAAATAAGTAGTCAGTTTACAAACAATTGTTTTTTTTTTTATTACGTGCCTAGGAGTCTTGAATTCCAACAAGGATTACTGTTCGAGCGAGAAGATAGGGTAAAACGAATCGAAGGAGATATTTTAGATGTAAATCAAATAATGCGCGAGCTTTCAGCACTTGTATATCAGCAAAATGATACGATCAGTAAGTAATTATGTTTTGTATTCATGAAAATGTTTTAACGCGAATTCTTACGGTTTTTTTCTGTCACAGACACGATAGATAACAATATAGAAAATGTACATGGAAACGTGGAGCTTGGTGCACAAGAATTAATTAAGGGAAGTAATTACCTAAGTAAATATCGGCGAAAAGTTTTTGTGTTGTTGTTACTTGCGATCATAGTCGTTGTTATACTAATTATTATTCTAGTCACTAAACTAAGTTAGCGTTCCTAACCACCATAGATACGAACAGATGAAAAGGGCTGTCTCAATCTGTCTTATATTGATAGTAAGATGAATATCAAGGAAAATATAAATTGCCAGTTTGTATATTGGACAATGCAATATGGGGAGAGGATAGACTTATTTTATATTCATTTGTAAATTGATTAATATGTAATTTGAATGTGTTATTTTTGATTATTTTCAAACTCTCAAAACATTTTATATTATTCTTAATGTATCTCTGCTTTTTTAAAGTCTTTGTTTTAAAATAATCTGAATTGTTTTAGATTAAAACATAACAAAGGTATATTGAATACCTGCACTATCCTTTATAACAGGTTTCTAATAGCGAATGAAATAAATTTACACTTTTCTTTCAAGAAACGATTAAAAAATTTATAATTAATATGAAGCAGTTATTGTCACTTCTATTGTATGTGCAAACTATTATTTCATAGTAAATTTGATAAATCATTTTAATTGTTTTATATGTTATTCTCCAATAAAATGTACAGCATTGTAAATGCAACAAGTGTTTGAGGTGATGTTAATGTTATAGTTTCAAATTTTATGGTATCATATATACATATATTGTTTGTTGAGAATACATATTAAAATTGTCTACTCTATTGTTCAACTATTTTATAATCTATAATATTTTTAATATTTATTAGTATGAAACAATAATTTACAGTAAATATTACAGTTGCTAAAAAAGCATGCGAAATAATTTTCAGGGAGATTAGTTTATCTTAGAGCTATATGAAATAAATGTGGCACTAAATTGGTGATAATGATTGGTAACAAACGATATCGTTAATGTATACTGAATAATTTGTTTTACAACTCTGTTAAAGTATGTACTGGTGTGTTTTAACATGATTGTTTCTTCGATAAGTACGATATTTTTTATTATATAGTATAAATGTTACCCATAGGCATTGCTCAATTTTTATTAATCAAATGAATGTGATGAAAAGTGATAATTAACCATTATGTTACGTTTTCTGATTTCATTGTCAATAAGTGCTTTTTTCACTAATATGTTTGTAAATGCTTCGTATATTTACTTTGGAATAAGAAATTTTATACTTAAATAACTGATGAATGTTTTATTATTACATACAGCATCAATGTATAATACTATATGGAATAATATTTTCGTATTTCATTTTCCATATAAATTTATACATGCTCTAAACAAGGTTTGCTCCATTGCTCTTTCACATAAATTGTAACCATTTAAAATGTTTCATTATATAAATCAATTATGTATGTTATGTGCTTCAATTTTTATTTGTCTTGCCTTTATGGAAACACGGGTACTAAGAAAATTTCACCAAAATATGTGATATACTTTACTATTTGTATCACATATTACAGAGGATGCCTATAATGACTTTTTTTGAGATCATCTTTAAACTTAAACTTTTTAGGCGTATAATATATTTAAATGGAAGCATGTATGAACATATATGAAGTGACAAAACGTTTATAATCATAATCTACAAAGCATAATAGAAATGTACAAATTGTGAATATAATTTTTTATAATCAGTCTTCATTAGGATTTTATCGTTTATTATAGATCGCTTGTACATCTGCTAAAGCTTACAGGTTAACAATGAAAAATATATTACATATATAATTGTAAGATTGAGATAGCCAATTTCAGAAGATCGATTTGATTCATATGATTATTAGGCATTCCAAAATCTAAAAATCCAGTGATTACATTATCATTAAGATTATAACTTAAATATTGTATATACAACTAACCATTGACATTCAAAATAAATCACATTATATATAATGCTAACATTGTTAAAGTGATAATGGAACTGTGTGTTACAAAGTAGTATTAAGTATTATTGAATTCAGTTTCATCTTTTATTTTTTGCCGAATACGGCGCATTGTTTGCAACAATTTTATTATGAAATAGGGATTTCATTTATTCAAATTAAAATGGAATAAAAAAAGGAGCAATATATTATACATATAAGGGTCTTTGCGAGCATTGAACAGCATATGTTAGCGTAATATTTTACTTTGCATGGATTTTCTCTTTATATTTTATGTTTCTAATACATTGCTGTATTGTGATAAACTATCAGATTTAATAATTACGTGTAAACAAAAGCCTAATAAAAAGTATAAACAATTTTATTAAGCATTGAGAAGTAAAATAATTATTATTTAGTTTATATTATCACAATATTTATAATTTATTGCAATTACGCGTATTTTGTTATAATGTCCTTTCTTTTTTCATTGCAATTAAACCGTTTAATCCGTTTTATGTACAAAATATATATTTACTTGTTGTATATATTAATAGTTTAGTAATGCTAGAAAGTTATTTTATAGTGTATATTATGCTGTATATTTTATGATAATTAATTTTATATTTACACTATTATTTAAAACTTCTGCGTTGAACATTTATTTTTGAGAGTTAAATTTCTTAATTATTATACATGCATAAAGAAAGTATGTAATTTTTATAGTTCAAACAATATATAATATACATTTATATCTCATACTTTAGAGTTTACAAAAGAATCTTCTTTTTTGTAAACTATAAAGAAGAAGAAAAGAAGAAAAAAAATTAAAGAAACACTATACAACAAGCGTAAAACAGATGTATCATTTGCATCACACATGTATCATTCTTAAATTCTATTAGTACCTTGAAAGAAGTAAATAAACAGCGCATGAAAATTATAATCCTCTGATATAAATTACTGGAGATTTATATTTAAATACCTGATAAAAAGTTCAAGATAAAATATGAAACATTCAGTCTTAATTGATGTATATATCTTGTCTTTTTTTTTTTTTTTTATAAGTGACGTCACCTATATATGTTGATAATTATACACGACGAAAGCGGAAACGAAATGATAATGATACCGCTATGCTGTATACGATACATGATATCTCTAAGCTTTTATTTTATTTTGTTGCTGAGATCGTCTAGTTTTTATTCTCGCTTGCAACGTAAGAAGAAGGCCCGCGAGGACATCATGATTTGGCAGTTTTTTAGCAAACAATAGACGCTTAACCGAGTCATCGTAAGTTAATAAAGCGACCATATTTTGTAACAAAAATCCTTGGCAATATTCTAAAAGTTGAGTCGCGTTATAAACCTGAAAAGTTTTCATATAAATGTTGGAGCTTGTACAACAAATGATAAATGTATATTTTGTATCCTCCATCCCTAGGAATACATAATTTAAATTAAATAATATACCTTTGCATGAATGTACATGGAAACAATGTTATCAAGATCAACCATTGAAGAGCATTGCGCTTCACAGTACCTAAGCAAACCATCTAATTGGAAGAAATTCGCTGCAGCCATTAATTCCAAGACATCACTTTGATTAACTTCTAACGTGGCGCATCCACCGTGGTACAAAAATTCCATAACCATCTGGAAAATAAAATTTTTGATATAGGGTCTTTTTAAAAGACACGGGAATTTTTATACATTCAGATGATATATACCTGAAAAATGTGGTATCGTATATCATTAATTTGTACAATAGGAGGATTTCCCTCGCATAATTTGGAACTCAACATGTTTCTAAACCTTGGAGACGATGTGACTAAAACAATTTTATGGCCATAGAAAACTCTACCCTCCACTCTGAACTGTACATCGCTTAACTCTGGATTATTTACAAATTTCGGATCTATTCTTGATCCACTTGAAAGTGTAGTATCTCTGATAGGTTTTATCGGTTCCCACCCAAAGCATGTACAGAAAATGTCGGCAAGAAGAAGAGTCGTGCCTTCTTTCTATATGAAAAATAGAAATAATGGATGATATAAATGTTATATAAACTTTCGTTTCATTCTTATTGAAACCTACCTTACTATACCTAAAAATGTTAAATAACAAAGGAAGACATTCTTGTACAAATTGTGTCGAATAATCATCTGGACACACTTGAAGGAAATCTTGAAGCAATTGATCTATCACGGAATCTAGTCTCATTTCGTGAGCTGTTCCAAGACTATGCATCCAACAATGTAAGGTCCAACCTACTTTTAATCCACGAAGTTCCATTGTGATATCTATGAGATACATTGAAATTTAAAGTACATACTTCAAGTGCCATTAAAAAATACTATAAACGTTTATTTATTTTACCTAAATGGTTACTTTCAGCACTGTGATACATCGCTTCTTGCAAAGCTTTTGTCTGAACCTTATTAAAAACTGGTTCTTTTCCTTCCCTTCGATTCCCTCTTCCATCTACAGTTTGTTGTTGCGGACTGCTGGCTGCGCTACCTTCTGCAAGAATCTCTTCCAAAGACAACACCTCTTTTTCTCCTCGTTTAGCAGAAAAATTCAGAGGATGAGATAATAGCTGGTGAAGGCAGCTTCTTTGACCATGAGCTGTTGCTACTGATATCGCACTGTACAAGAAATTAAAAAAATAAAGAAAGAGCTGAAATATGAAAAGATGAATGTTTCGCTTACCTGTAACAACCACGTTGCGCTGATCCGGAGTAAGAAAACGAATCTTTGATCAACGTCGACAAAAATGGTTGCGCTCCGTGAGCTAACAGCAGTGCCACCATTTCGTTGTTACCAGTCGCTGTAGCCGCTTGCAACGGTGTAACTGTACATTTGTCCTCACTGGGTTTAGCACCACCTTCCACTGCTGCACCTCTTTCCAACAATATCCTGGCGATATTACAGTGTCCCATCAATGCCGTGTAAGTTAAAGCGGTCCAGTGTTGAGTTTCAGCATTGAAAGCAGTTTGATTGCAGCAGACATTGCTCGAAACGTTGTTCGAAGGACTTGGTAAACTGGAAGCTGAACTCGAAGATTGCATACTTTTCCCTGAGGACATAATCGAAGATGGGGTAACAGGACTTCTAGTGCTCGATGTCCCTGGTGTTACAGGAACCTTGGAAGGTGTGTTTGCTAATTGACCAGTGGAAGGTGGTGGACTTTCTATATTCAAGTCCGCTCCAGCATCTAGTAAAGCTAGTACAGCAGTTTCATCCCCGTTTATGCAAGCAATCATCAACGCGGTGAAACCATTGTCGTTAACCGTGTTGATTTTCGCTGATGGCAAAAGAGGCATAGCTTGAGCTATCAGATCGGCACGACCACTGGTTAACATTTTGAACGCCATATCCATCGTGAGAAGACGCACATATTCGGTGTCATCGATGCGTTTCGAACAGACTGAAACTTCTTCAAAGCTGTGGAGAAAATACAGCGTTTGTATAAATGTTAATTGATAAGTTATACAAAACTACACGGTATCGATTGCATATTTGGAACGCAAAAGTTTCACACACCCTCTACATAATATAAATATACCGATGTGCTTTATTACCATATAGGTCTAACAGGGCAGTCTACTCCAGGTAATAGCAATCTGGCAGCTTGATTAATATCGTCTTGATCTACAACGAGGCCGTGTCTATGTTCTGCATGAGCAGTTGCAACGCGTAGCCATTCTACCAACGGTGGAAGGACCACGTACGCTCGTTCATAAGCGAGTTCTTGTATACCAGAACCTCGTTCACCATGCTCCAACTACATACATATAATATTTCGTTATATCATAAGCATATATTAGTGGGTGTTAGGTAAAAAGAGATAAAGGTTAAACGAGCAAACCTGTGAACACCTCATATAATAGAACAAAGCGTTCAGTGCCTTGGTTGTTAAGGGTATGGGTGAACGTCCGGCTTGTGCCACTTTGGAGATCAAATCTATCAACTCTGACATCGAGCCGACACAGGTGGTTAACAGCGATGGTTCCAATGCTGAACTCGTTGCGTCTCTTCCACTGCGAGACGACGACGAAGAAGAGTTTAAGGAACTTACACTTGCCCAACGTGGCATTGCCAGAGCACCTTAAAAATGTATATGTAAAATCCACAACATAGTGCATACCAAGGATAAATAAATACAATTCTACCTGATGCTGTTCGACCAGCATTCAAATGCGCGTACGGTTGCAGAAGACCCCATAAATCACCGCTGTTCGCTATGGCATGTTCCAGCATCGTCGCGGTTAACGTTGTGTGCGGATCGGTAGGTATGCATTGTAACAATATTTCTTCCAGAAGGTTTTCAATACCCGCGGTCAAATATATCGCCGCGTATTCGTGTATCATTCTTCCAAGCCGTACGTCGGACATCCAACGAAGAAATCGTCCTACCGGTAGCTGCAATCCTGAACGAGATGCTTTTGATTGCTTCAACTGATCACCGGATACGGCAAACATAGCCGCGGCTCTTAAGCATGCCTGTACGAAGAGAAAACGAAATTTTATAAGCGTTTGATAAAATGAAGTAAAAATTCCTGCTGGTGGGATATTACCTTTTCAATAAATTCCACTAGGAGTAAGACATGTACAGTTTACAAATATATTAATAAGTATTTATCTTAGTTTTCAACGCGTTGCCTTACCTTGGTGCAAGAATCTGCCAAAGCCGGACAAAGCACAATCTTGAACGCGCTGTACACTTCGTGTTTGCTGCAAAGGCCAACTGGTTTCGCTAATCTTTGCGTTTCTCGACCAACTCTGACCAGGGCGCGTTGCAACAAATAAGAGAGCCGAGGTATCGTTTCCATCGACACTTGTTCCATGTGCTCCCTGGTTCTACCATTTTGTAAAACCCGTAGGACGTCGTGATGAGTCCAGGGTAATTGTTGCAGTTCCACCAATCTATTGTGCGAATCAACCCAGACGAATTCGTCGGCGCTGGTCACGTTAGTGTTGATAGTTTCCAGGCTGGAATGTCTCATCAGCCTCCTTACAGCTGGTTCTGAACTCTCGGAGCCGCTCAAGGAGGAGTAAGTCGATGATGATTTGTGAGAGCGCATTGTCAGCTGCTGGATAGCTAGTTTGATATCCTCTAAACCGGAACCGGACCAGGGTACCTGCAACTGCAGCGATATTATTGGTCTATTGGATTCTATATAAATTTTGTAATAATAATTTAACCTATCTTCAATTATTCAACATTTGTCTCTTTAAATTAATTTTCATTTATAAGATAAGTGTATATTAACATCAGCTGACTCTCTACAACGATATATAAAGTATTAAGAAATTGGAAGGTTTCTTTGATCAATAACGAGTTGCAAGGTTTCTACTTATTATATTCTAAAGATCATCGTAAGAAGGACACCTTGGCAGGTGTAGCTCTGTGTCTATTGCGATTCTGGCCGGATCTACTCCTGCCATTTCTCTGTGTAACCGAGGCTGACAAACGATCGTCTTCGGGCACCGAGTTCAACTGTTGGGGACTGTGAGCTCTGTGGTGACGATGCGGTGGTGAACTGCTGCTCGTGTGGCCACCCGTGTCCGACATGCTCGCATGTCCCGACGATCGATTCTCATCCGAGGAACTATTACCAGTACATTCTGGTCGCCTCTGTAAATATAAAATATTGATGCTTTATGACGCTGCCTTGCGGATATATTGTACGTATCTACAGACACTGATAGATAATAAAATCAATGCGATCTATCGGGATGAAAGCGTTAAAAATTATGTTGAATTTTCCATGTTTTTAAAATCAGCCATTTGATACTTGATTAATGAAAATGAACCACGTTTCCAACTAGGAATTTATTTGAGTATCTTCTTTCGGTGTAGTTGATGGGACGGTGAAATGGTATACAATCATCAGATACCTGAAGCGCACGAATTTCGTGTAAACTGAGATGGTGATGCTGAGAATGATGAGGGTGCTGAGGCGTTGGCGTTGGTGCTACGCTATCCGTGTCCCTTTCCGCTACCATGTGAACCATATTGTGGACACCGTTTTTCGTTGAACTTTCCGTAAAATCCTTTGAATACGGAGGACAATACAATTCCCTTCCACTGCCACCGCCACCGCCGGGTCTGTGAATGAAACAACAAGTTAGAAATTTTTATTTCTTATCGTGTATTCGAATTGTCAAATAATTGCGAATAATACGTTGAGAATTTCTTCGGATGGCATTACACGAAAATGTGAAATAAAACCTGATATCCTGTTAGGTAAGTTTCCACGTTAATTGCCTACCAAATAATTCCAGCGAGTCGGTTTCGATTCTTCTTCTTTTTGACCGTGTCTCGAGAAAGCGAGCACATAATAAGGAATCTGTTCCCAAGGCTTATATTCCGTTAGAACGATGCTTCGAGGAAAGTTACGTTCACGAACTTTCGGTTCGGTTAACCGACTCGTAATCTACAGAGCGATAAAAAAGAAAAGAAAATGAATCATGTAATCCCCTTATCGAAGATGCGACAGATTTCTTTCCATAATGAATGAAAATTCAAGGAAAATTTTTTCCTTGGGTTCGTTTCCGAAAAAAATTCGTATAATCACTGGAAAGAAAGAGGTAGATCGAGATCCATAGAATACACGTGGATCACGATTGCTCTTCTTATCGATCACGTGAATCTTTTGTACACCTTTGTAGTTAATTTCCACGCTGGAAGCGCATTCGCGTGCGATACTTTAGAGTTTGAAAAAATTACTGCTTTTTATCCCCTCGACGGGTACGGAATTTGATGATTCTCGAGCGGAAGTCTACGTCCATTTATAATCCGAATCTATTTTCGCAAAACCGTTAAGGATCGAGGGAAGAATCCAGCTTGAACAAACGCAACGCTTGATTTACCCCCTGAGGCGCCATTGCTGAACGAAGCTCCAGTCAGCCTTGAACCCGCTGTTGTCCCCGGGCAAGGACCAATAATCCTCGACCTGGCTCTCGTCCTCTTCGATCTTCAACACGTCCTCTCTACTCGGGCTAACGTTCACCACGATTTCGTGAGTGACCTTGGTGTCCTCGTTTTCCGTAAGATTCTTGCCCTGTTCGAAACCGTCGGTTTCCACCTTCCTTGCGTCCGACATCCTGGATTCATCTCTGGACGTAATCGGCGAAGAAACGTCTCTTTGACCCAGTCTGTTCTCTTTCTCTCTTTGTTTAGTGTCTCCAAAGTAGATGACGGTTTTATGAGCCACGTCTTTGTCGGTTTTCCTGACTGGCCTCACTTCCGGCGAGTGACACTTCTCCTCTAAGCTGACATCCTCGCGTTTCAGATCCGTCTCCAGCCATTCCCTCGACGGAGATCTAGTCACGAAGGGCAGACCACGACGCAGGATGAAGTTGATGCCCTCGCGGCGACCCTGAGCACCACCCTCCGCGTTGCCAGCCATCCTGCAATCTTTCAACTCCCGACAGATCACGCAGTAACAATCGTCACCGCATGATTCACGGTGTATCGCCGACATGTCATTCATTTGATGAACATTTTCGTCGATTACTATGAGGAAACGAATCGGTCTGCGACCGGAAACGGAGTGGAGGTTTCGCGGTGTGACCTCTTTTTTCTTGCTTATACCAAGAAACCTGACGAATCTGTGGATACTTCCGGTGGCGAACAGTAAAGCTTTTGATCAGCGTTCACTTATAGTTAAATAATCCAACGAATGTTCGATCGATTCTTGATCGATAATAAATCTGCCCGTTAGAAGTCGTAAGAAAATCATCTAGCATCCAAATTGATTGGAAAGCAAGTTTCTAACGAGCGGTACAGATTATTTGTAAAGAAACGAACGTGTTAGCGTTCGTGATCGTTCATTCGTTTACAGTTTCTCACCGTTAGACCGGTACGTTTCGCCTCGATAGCGACAAATTGCACTCGAAGAAGCGTAAATTACCGCGAACGATCCTCGTTGATACGCGTTTTTCTTTCTCTTCAGAAGCCGGCACGCGACTGAAACTGTGGCTATGCCTTCTTTCTTCATATCAACAGGTGAAACGCGTGCACTTCCATCGCGGACCGCAATGCCGGCGAACAGAGGAGACAGTTTCGTATCACTTTCCTTTCGTTGTTTCTTTTCCATTCGGAGCACTACGTAACAGTATCACGAAAGCCGCTTATCACGCGATCGTTCTTCTTATTTCATCCACGGTTCTAGGTGAATGTCAATCTTCTTGCACTCTGATAAGAGAAAAAAAAAGGAAACGGTGCAATTATTCCGTAAATCGGGGAGATTTCTTTCCGATTCGATTCCGGGTTTACCGAGCAATGGCATAATAATTTAATTAGAAATTTCCTTGACCATTTACGCGGCTTTACAATGCTGCGTGCACCGAACATAGAACACAAGAGTAGACCAATTACGCGGATTGCGAACGCGAGTTTGCACGACTTTCACCGTTCTCTGCTCCACGCTTCGATCGATACAATTTTCCTAAGATACCTCTCCTTGAAATCATCGATGACCCGTAAAAGAAATTCCGAAATACCAAAATATATTGTACAGAATATCGGTAAATATGGATTATTATTTATTATTTGTCACTTCACTCGCGCGACCATTCAGAGCACAACGATCAGCTTATGATGAATGGTAAAAATGATAAGTATCGAAGGAAAAATGTGAGGATGATAGAAGTCGGTCGAGTTTAATCGACGAGCGGGGTGTATCACACGCGTAGCGAGTTTCTTGTCCCTCATCGCGTGGTTAAGTGCTGGCTGCCACTTGTAAACTGTTATGCTCTTTTCACTGGACAAGCCAAGAGGAAACGGGAGAGTGCAAACGAACGTGTTCTTTAGAAACCCCACCATATAGTGTCTATAGTAGAGTAGAGTAGTTTCGGGGGAGAGACTTCCGGCGACCATCCTACTTCCTATGACTGTGTACTCGAATTGCCCTAAACTCACGCCCCGTGACCATCCTCGGACATCGTCCTTTTTATCGTTTTAAATCGCTTCCTTTATCTCTTTCTACGATTCAACAGGGTTTACAATTACACTGGTACCTCGGTATACGTCCTGTTTGAATTTTTTCTCTCAATTCTGCATCATTTTTAAATAATCATCTGGAAGAAAAAATTAAATTAATAATCAATTATATTCACAGAGTTGATGTGTTATTAACTGACTGATCATACAAGTATTATCAAGGAGGAGATTATTGGAAATTATTGAAAAATAAAACGATCGAAGTTGAAAAAGAAAAATATTTCAAGATCCATTCGGTGGACCGGAGTTAATTGAAACACATCGGGTCAGAAAGTTTGGGTTAATGAAGCAGCTGCTTCAATTATTACGAGGGTCTTTATAGAAACAGAGGGGGCAAAGTGGCATTTATTGGATAACGGAAATATGAGAATGAATTTTAGAAAGAAAAAATATCGAGAAATTTTAAGTAGATAATTAAAAATAGGAAAAGAAAGCAGCAAGATGTGTCATTATTTTCTGTTGACCCGTTACAATGGCGCTGAAGATTTCTCAGTGGTTTTCTAAGTGTAATTAACGTGGAAGGTGCAGGGTGTACAATGCGGAAGGTAGACAATTAACTAGGCCAGAATCGTTCCTGCGAGTACCATTAAAAACGACTATTCTACCGTAAAACGTACGTAAACCCCATGGAACAAACACGGGTGATACGTACATATAATGTTCTAATTGATCACGAACAAACATGCTTCTCATTGAAATCCGTCGATGATAAATTCCACGTGAAAGTCATAAGGTAATTTTACTTCCTAGACAAACCGGTCTTTGTACTTATATTTTTTCCCCTCAATTCTTTCGTTTACCGACTGCATTCTACGGGCAACCGACTGCAAACAGCATTATTATTTTAGTCTGTTACTGTTAACTTTATGCCAGCAGACTGTACCGGCTATCAATTAGCGGTGTATAAACTTGCACGATGCTTTTTATTAACTCGTTGCAGTTTTATGATTCAGTTCGTTTATACTACATCGTTTTCTCGAGTTATTCATAAAAATTCTATCATTTAACTATGATAATTACCTCCTTCTTTGTTAATTTTATGTCCACAGAAATTTTCATTGCCGTCCCATTCCATAACAAGTTTCTTTTTTAACCCTTTTTTTGGGGGGAAAAAAAATGAGATTTTATAGAATTTCTTAATTAAAATTCTACGTGAATTCTCATAAAATAAATGATTTATCATCGCTTCGTTGAAACAACGCGATCGAGTTTCTCGTTATCGTTGGTAATTAAAAGCTAATTAAATTTAAGTGAAACCGCTAACGATAGGATTCATAAATGTTTATCGCCGAACAGAGGCACGATTGTCCAAGCTTGCATCCCTTCGAAGAATAAAAAAAAGGAGGATCGACGGAAGTCTTTAATCTATAACATAACCCGTTCCTGCCAGAAAGAAAGGTTTTCCGAGGAGGAGTTCAAGGCATACATTGTCCGTGTTCATCTAGCGAAACTCCGGTGTCAAGGGCGACACACTGCTTCGGGGAATATTAAATTAATTACCGAACCGTAAATTAATTGCAACGTAAATCGCGGTTACATCACGCTTATGTAACGATATTATTAAGCGTATTAATTAGCGCGATTTATTAGGTTTATAAATTTCAATCTTTCCCCGCTCTTTTGATGAATTTGTAAACTCTAATTAGAAAAACAAATAGAAAAACGGTCGTTACATTTGATAACCCTTTGATGAGAGTATATAAAAAATGTGAAGTTCTATGAAAGCATCGCTTTGATCAACCGTAGAATTTCGATTACAAGCTTTAACAATCGTGTAAGAATGATTAGTCATCCAGTAATTAAGGAGTGAGTCATTCATTCAATAACGGAGGTCTGAGAAGTGATCCTTCTACGAGTGAACATTCTAGTAGACAGGATACATTTAACGAGAAAATTGTTCCAACTTTCAAACGTATCAATATTGTAATTAATAGTTCTTTCTATATCATCGAGGATGAGGATAAGATTCGATGCGATTAATCTCCTATCGTTATATTAAATTCTTCAGGTAGTCGTTTTACATAATCAACTTCATGACTCGCGTGACTGGTCATTTAATCCGATAGATTGACAAGTGTAATCTATAATTACATTTCGGTTAATGATTTACCGCTAATCTCAGAAAATTTGTCTCTTTGTTAATCGATTAGGTACTTACAGACATTCGTAAGTATAACAGACGAGTGTTATCAGTGAAATTGAAGAAAGTGAAATTGAACACGAACCAGCGAGTCGGATACCTGACCTACCGAACTGAGAAGTAACCAAGATGTTATCGTTGACGAGAAAGAAAGGAAAAAGGTGGAGATGAGGGAAGATTTTTCCCAATTACACCTTGAAGATTGAACTTGATCTTATCCCTAAGTACACGTCCCTGACCTAGCGATGCTACACGGTAAGTCGGTAAAAGCTAGTTAAAGATCGTGGGGCCGAATGAAAAGAGGAAGGAAAGGAAAGGAAAGAAAAGAGAGAGGCCGTTAACCCAAATATCTCGGTCGGATCTGCTTAAGCATTAAAACGTGGATCCTCTCACGCACGGTTTATTATCGTGATCACCCCGTTCCCACTTAACGTTCCCCCGACTTTCAAACGGCTAATTAAACCGAGCTCTCTTTTTCGCACGATCGCGCGAAATTCTTCGCGGTGTTGATACAATTTCTATTTCGTCTGAATCAACACGCCGGAAGAGAAGGATGACTTGGTTCGTATAGGGAAGAGGTATCCGGTTGATTAATCGATGAATGAAAGGGGAAGATTATGAAAAGTGAGAGTAGAAGCTCGGTTCTACTCGCCTGATGAATCGAATTAAAGTGGAAAGTGTAACGTAGCTGTGAGAGTTCTTTTAATTGCATCTGTATTCGAGGATGGTGAAAATGATGGCACTTATTGTGCTATTCTTTCGAAACACGAGAAACGAAAGCGAACTAGCATCCAAGAATCGAAGACAAATTTTTGAGAAAAAGATTTACGTTCGCTGACCAGCCATCCAGCGAAAGAAAAAAGTAAAAGAAATAGACAATAGCGTAACAAATAAAACGAGCGTTTGCAATCCCCCCATTGTTATCATTCTTAACGGGTCGTTGAGAACTTTATAGCGTGTCAGTTCGTCATGGAAAAACGTTCGACGTGTAATATCCATGGTCTAGGTACGATTTAACGCTAGCCTCGATGTAATTGTTTTACGTAATACGACATAACCGCAAGATGTACGGAGCGTTTCAAAAACAGCGTACACCTTTGAGACGATAGATTCTTCGTAGCAAAATGAATCGAAAAGTCCTTTACCGTTTTTCGATCCGAGGATTCCTTGCGAAGATATAAGCGATTGAAAATTGGACGGTCGACTTCCGGGGTGCACCGTTTGAATTTCACCCCGGAAGTCGAGGGTTCAATTTTCAATCTCTCGTATCTCGGAAACTAAGCGTTGGATCGAAAAATGGTAAAGGACTTTTCGATTTGTTTCGACACGAGGAATGTATAGTTTTTGAGAGAGCTTATACACGGGTACACATTGGTGCACTTCAACGGAACGGGACCCGAGAGAGAACGTCACCGTAAATCGGTTAGCCAACGAGTTACACGGACAGGCTTTCTCTTCGATAACCCTCGATAACCCGTGGACGACACGCGGAATATTTTACGCTCGCCCATCCTCCTCGTCTTCTCGCGTTTCGTAATTCATTGATACCTTGGCTCGATTTGTCCGTGCTTGTTTTATGCGGGACGATCGTTGATTTCTATGAGACTTTTTGTCTTATTAAAATACTTATTGTTTTCCTCTCGATGATCATTCCTCCCACTGAGTTATGGTGTACGATTGTACATAATAGTACAGTCCCTTTAAAATTATAGAAAGATTATTTTATTTATTACAACGACGGTAAGAACGTATAAGTTTTACTAAATTATTAGTATTTATTTTTATTTTATCCGACTCTAGCTGGTAATAACGCTGTGAAGCATAGTTCATTTCCTCATTTACAGTTCCAAGTACCAAGCAATCTATCAATCGCAGTAGAAATAAATCGTGATTTTTAAACAGCGTTACTCGTTTGCCACTCGTTTTACGGTGCTTCCCGTTGATTTCATAAATAATTCCCGGTGCTTTTCAAGTAGAAGCTTAGCTTCATCTTCTTCTTCTTCTTCGTCTTCTTCTTCTTCTTCCTCCTCTTCTTATCCCCTGTGATTATCATTCTCATGCACAGGGATTATATTCGCGCATTCCATGATGCATACACGCACGATTACAGCGAAAAAGATGACTGGCGTATTTTTTCGGGTCACTGACTCGTTCAAAATACAACCCATCGTTTAAGCTTCCTTTAATCTGCTACTCCTTTTATTCCATTTTCTGCCCTTCCTTTCTTAGTATCTCTTTTGCACCAGCTGGTCGGGGATGCTACACACTTTCTTCGAGTTTCACGAAACAGAAATTATTTTAATTTTTTCAAAATTCAAAATAACCTTCTTGGAAGTAGATTTTTTTTAAGGGTGAAAAATTCTAAGGGTTAACATTATGCCAAGTGGCACTTGGCAGAAAATAATTAATTTCCTTTATCATAGATTAATGATAGTTAATCAGGAAAATTCCTGATTAGTGTAAATTTTTACACCGCTGATAACAATTATTTTTGAATAAAAAAAAGAAGAGGGAACTTTCCAAAATTCGATCCCTATAAGGAATTGCTAACCCTTTCGCGTGACAGACAGAGGCTATTTTTAACAGATATTGAAAAAAGAAAAAAAAAGAAATCGAGTGGAATATGATACGCAATCGATAATTTTAATGTTACGCATCGATGGGCAATTATTATCGATTATAAGTTGGTGTCATACATATTGATAAGGCCGCGATGGGCCCCTGTTTTACATACGAATCACCAAGTGTGCACACGACACGCTCGCATCGCGGAATACCAATGAACCGAAACGTACACAGTACTTGCAAGTTACACTCTCGACCTAGAAATTTTCATCATCGTATCACCGAGCAATGTAACCTTTTCAAAATGACACAAACTTTAATAAATTACCCCTTACAATTTCTTTCTGTCCTATCTTCTAAGCAAGTGTAACAATCACTTCCTCCAATTTATTTGAAATAATTTATAACTTTGAAGTATTCGAAAAGAATCTCAACTTTTGTCGGTTTATTAAAACTCGCATTCGTTGATTCTGTTATTGGCATCCCTTAAACTCGAAGGCTTAAAGGAAAAAAGGAATCCGGTACCTGGAAGTTTTATTTACACGTTGTATTAGTTGGTGTCTCGTGGCCGTTACGTGTACACAGAGATCGGGTGAACGAACTTCCGAAATTTGTGGACCTATTACGTGAACCCTTAAATTTCAGTAGCTATTTGTATGCCGAACAGATTTTTCAGTGGCTTGCCGAGAGAGGAACACGAGTGGTGTCGATGGAACTAAATGATGGGGAAAGGGGAGGTGTGTCTTACGAATATATGCTCGTTCGACATCGTTAATCGAATCGCTCGTAATTACGTACATCGTAAATTTTAATGATCCTTAATCGGATCGCTCGCTGCACCGCACTGCGCTGAACGATCTTTTAACGGCGATGTTTGGAGATCCCGCTAAACATTGGGCCGAAAAAAGAAACATGTGAAAAATTATTGCTACTATAATTACACAATAATTAAAATTATTAAACTCGGCTGGATGCCTATAAACTCGTACCAGTCGTATTACGATACGTTATTTCGACAAGAAGTCTTACCAATTAGATACCTACGCTTGTCTAATCGCATAACACTTTTCAAAAGATGATTTTATCTAGTTTCGTGTAGAAAGGAATTCAATTCCCTGACGATTTTAATGGAATCTTATCGAGGCTAGGATCACCATGATCGTTTGATCATTAATCAGATCTTCGTTAAGATCGATATCGATTACACGATAGCGGATCAGCCTGGCGAGGAGAAAAATAAAAGGGGAAAAGGAGGACTCACCGACGTGGCTTGGGTCGCAGTATCTCGTGGCCGGAATCGGATATGCAGATACTCAGGCTCAATGGTCCTCCATAATGTTCGGGAGGCGCACCGGTTTGGACAGTTTGCTGCTGGGGACTGGATATACCGCCAGAACCGGAAGTCCCGGTCAAAAACAACGGCTGCTGACCGCAACCGTCCATCGTTGGTCGTTCGACGTTCATTGTGTCTCCCGTTGCGGCTTACGCTGCAAGACCTGCAAATATTAACACGTTTTAACATTGTTCCCAGGTCTTTGAACCGGTAGTTAACCCTTCATGTTTCAGAAATAAAGAAGAAGAGTATTGTTTCAGTTTCGCTTTCATATACATATATGTTGCAAACATTTTCTTCTGGCAAGAAATATAAAATAATGAAACGCGAAGAACGAAAGCAAAGTCAGCGTCAATGAGCGCTTAGAAATTTCATGAGAAATCTAGAAGATTGCGATTGGGAAAATCTTTGGAGGAAAGTAATTATGCGAAACTTTCTTCGCGATCTCGAAGGTCATTAACGAACAGCTGGATAATCCAAGGAATAATTGACGATCCGATGTTATCGCTGGATGAGAGGAAATAATTATTCCACTGTTTAGTGTCTGTTGTCGCACCGTGGAAAGTGTTAATTATCGCTGGAAACTCAGCGAATATGTTAATATTCGTTTGTTTCGCTTCAATTCCAGTACAATTCCTGTAAATTTACCCAAACTTTCTCTATTAATTATTTTATTAAATCATTTATATATTTCAATCAATTTTCATTAGATTTTCAATCCTTTTGATTCTAAAAATTCTATTTCTTGCTGGAATGTTGTTGCAAAACTCCTACACTTTATATGGACTAATAATGAACGTTCTATGAACTCCATTCGGGGTCAATTGCAGGTATGCTCGATACCCGTTCATTACGCAATCTATTAATGGTAAGAAAAAATACACATATGAAATAACTGCCTCCTTTTACGGGTCAATGCAATCTTATATACGATTCATTTCTCATTTTGTATTTACTACTCTACTATAATTTATTCAAATATGCATTGAAATAATACTGAATGAAAGGTCGTCAATGATCAAAAATTTCAAATTAAAGCATGAATTGAAATTATTACTTTTCACTATCTTTAACCTCTGTTACTTAGACCATTTTTATTGGATAACATACTTGGTATGGTTATTTCTAGTGTACCATTTAACTCGTTAACAATTCAATAATATTCTTCCAACGAACGGTACAGGGAAACAAGCAAGTTTCATACAGAAGAAGGCAACATTCTCATATGCAAGCGGTCACGAATGAACGATCACGAAAAAAAGGCAAGCAACACGTTCACCTTTAATTTTAATTTTCCTATTTCGAAGCCAGATCGTTCTGTCCTCCGTTAACGCCGTTGCACCTCCAGGCGATTCTACTTGATAACTGGTTTTCAATCAGTTGCTCGTAAACTCGGACACCTCGATCACTTAGACGACGTGCTATTCGTGATAATTACTAGCGTAGTCCTTATCAAGCAGGCCTGTACTTTGTTAAAGAAAATTGATGCGTTTGAAAGTTTTCAAGAGCTACTAAAACCTCAACGTAGCCAAAAATAAATAAATATTGTATTCACCTCGCTCTATTTAAATAAATAAATAATTAAAATGTAAGTCCTGGCACGAGAAATAATGGCGCAGGTTGGTTCGATTCTTTTTGTTTTTTTTCTTTTTTCTTTTTTTGAAAGATTCTGCAAACGAGAGAAGCTGACCAGTTGCAGCGTGTTGGTCGGTTTGATGGGAGCCCATGTATGCAATTACTCTGGTTGGCTCCCAAAGTGCTTCCTTAAACGTGCATATCGGGAACACAGTCTCGCCTCCTCCTTCTCACCCCCGTGTTTCTTCACAAAGTGAAAGCACGCGCACAATGTTCGCTGCCCTTTCGTAGAATTTTCATCCACGCGATATTCGCGGAATACCAACATTCTTCAGGATCCTTCCACTGTTTTTGTCTAGAGAAATGAGCACTTCTGATCCCCTTTTTCTTTCATCAAACACCTCAAACAAAAAAACGTCCCTCTGACTTGATTTTTGCGATCATTTGGTCTCTGCAATCTTTACAGATCGTCATGGGTGTAATTTTAAATCTTGTATAAGTTTGAAAAGGAAATGAAATTGCCTTTTTTATTTTCCATGAATGTATAGATTGGAAATTTTGCAACTTACCAAACATGGCATTCAATTTATTTTTTCAACTCTTATATATGTATTATGTATCTTAAAAAGGTAAAGAATTTCTTTGTAATGTGGTCACTTTTGATCCAGCAGCTTCAGTACCAAACTTGTCTCGTGATGATCCTGTTAGCAGAATGTATAAGTGGGTCAACTGGACACGTTGCTTTCAGCTTTAACGGATAAACGTGTGCGAATAAAAATTGAAAAAAAAAAGAAAAAAAAAAAATTAATCATCGATACCTTTTTGTATTCTAAATATACGTTTCTATGCCTATTATTATTCCAATTGCCTTATTTCTTCATGGCCTACTTAAAGAATCCTGGTTGTACACAATTTTTTATAATCCTCCTATAAGATTCCTGCTGCTTTGCTTTTTTATTTGTACAATTCTTTACGACTCCTTTTCTCCTCGTATTCAAGTTCTGCTCTACTTCCACTTCATTACTTCTCATCATTCTTATCCATCCTTCAACTATCTGAAAGCTTTGTAGTTATTTGATAGTTTACTTATACAGTTTTTAGTATGAACGTATTTGTATTATTGCGCGCTTAAAATTCAAATAGCGCGCCCGGAAGTGTCCATACTTTCTTACCTTGTGTTTTGAATAATGGCGCCTACAATCAGTGTCATATTAGGTTATCGGTTGATGTTGCAAGTTACAAACACGTCTTGTAATGAAATAAGTGAATTTTACGTGGTCGATAATGTATGCCCGATATGCTATTACTAGGAAGTAACGGTGTACAACATTCTTCTTGTCCCGTGATGAAAAATACAATTTGTCAACGTTAACAGATTCCTTTAATTTCCATAACTGTCAAGCAGCTCCAGAGATACCAATCAGGGATCAACCTCAAAGGAACTGAAAGTTGCCGACAAGATTCTCGCTGGGTAACACAGACTCGCTCTAGCTCAAAACTCACGTTTAACCTTATCTTAATCTTGACCCGTAGTATATCACGTATACACACCTCCACAACCGACAATCCTCCTCTACAAACGTAAGAATTCCCTCTTTATGGGTAATTTACAAGCTACTGTGATTAGCTGTACCGAAGGGAGTTTGGGAATTTCTAACGGAGATCTGTGTTTCAGTGAAATAATAAGAACATACCACCACAATGTAAACATAACCAAAAAATACTCAACACTCATGATCGTTCAGATTTTGGAAGGCGCGCGACGATCTATCGCGCATGCGCAGTGAAACAATAAAAATAAACGCGGGCATTAGTTACGCATGCGCAGTGAGACAGTGGAAATAATACGATACCTGGTCCGTGTGATTTCACAAGGACCAGAAGAAAATTCGTGTTTCAGGGTGATGCACGTGGGCGTAAACAAAAGTACGATTCTGCCTGGGGCACGGAATGTGCTGGACGCGGCGCTGAATCCTGTACACCGACCAGGTGGTACGGCATCGAGTGTACGAGTGTACATACGGCGTGGCATGGTGTACGGTCGTCCGCCCCGCGGCCGCCGCATTCCAACGGCTGCCCAAACCAAAACCTATATCGCGTATACCCATCTCACTCGTCCTTCTTTCTTTCTCACCTGTGTTCACATCGTTTTTCCCCTCTGTCCTACTCTTTACCCTCTCCCCCTGTATCTTTCCGCCCCCACCACCGCTCCTCTTATTCGAACCCTTGCCGCGATCCTCTTCGCAGGAGAAACGCGGCTTTACATTGTGTACCCCTCCCTATCACTCCCTTTCTCTCTCTCTCACTCTTACTGCTATCACAGCGACACATGCCATGATCTTACAGCGAATTTTTCGATCGTTTCGTTGATCTTGTCGTTCGATTGCGTATTTAGAAAACTCGCGGACCGTGTTCCTGTTTCCGCAGGATGTCGCCAAACCCCGATGACCTTTCTTATAAGCTAGCTCCTCGTCTTCCTATTTGTCATTATTTATACGTTTCTCTTTTCCATTCTCATCCCATCGATCCAACGACACGGTCCATCGGATGCATTCCATCGACGGGTATCACTCTATACATTACCGATTGCTCTTTTTCATAATTTCTTCTCGACGTTAATAGAATGCGTGTAAACGCTTCACGAAGAACCGTAGATCAATATGATTTATGAGATCGTTACGAACCAGTGGGTCCATGGATGCCCTCCTTGCAAGTAAACGAACGTACGATTTAATAAGTTGTACCGAGGGCATTCGTTTGCTGCCGTTTAAAGTTTATAGTAGTAAGTACTATGTTTACGGTCACTGAACAAATACGATTCGACATTACACGCGATACGCATAATTCTGCGCATTAATCGATTAATACAGATAATCGCTGACAATCGAGTATGCGATATCGAGTAAAGGCCCGCGAATATGTTAACTACCTATTTGTATGTATTTTTCTTTATAACAGAATAAATAATATTTGACATATGTAGTGATCATTAGATAGCAACGTTCGATACGGACTCTGTATCAATGTCTCCGTATACGTCACTGAACTGGCGAAAGTCTGAGGAGAATGACGATCTATCAAAGGAGCGCTCTTGCGAGTGTGCAATCTACACGGGTAACCAGTTAGCTGTAAATCCTTTGAGAGATCCAAATTATTCCTCGTGAATTTACGCGGTACCTTATGATTTCTAAACGATACAGAAGCGCTGCTTACATTTCAAGAAAAATACACCAAGTTACAAGGGAACGTCGTGTGCGGTCGAGAAAAATTTAATTTTCGGGAAAACCGGTTTCCACAGTTATTAGAACAGTTAATGCACGCAAGCTTTTCAAATTTATCAGTTTTACAATTTATGTATTTATAAATTATGAAAATCATTGAAATAAATAAAACACTGTCATATAGGGTTGACATCAATTATTTGTTAACTTATGCTTAGAATTTTCTCAGTAGTATCGTTATAGGATTAGTCAGACAACTTACCGAAGTATTTTCAACGTGTTGGTAAAGATAAACATATGTACATGGTCGCCACGACGAGCACATTCGGTGAACACTTTGAGAAAAAAAATGATTTAACATAAACTTCACTTTGATCGTTCAATGTTCACGTTGCAGGAACATTTTTGACTTCCGCTATGCTTTCAAACGATGCATAAATACGGAATACGCCGCGAACGTATACATGATCGCTGCTAAATGTGCACCACGATGTTTCGTGAAACTTGTAAACACATATGAACTTTTTCAACCACGCAGGCGTAAATGACGTATATAAAAATCTTACAGCGATAGATGTATAAAGAATAATTCACCGTGTTTCTTTTTAAATCTTTGCGAGTAAAATATTCGATCTCATTATGGGACACAAAATACAGTTTTATACACGCGTCCGACTGAGTCGCCGCTTTTCGGCAGCTGTCAATTACTAGCAACACAGGCGCCGCGTTTGTGCAGCATCCTAGCAGAACCACTTTCGGTCCAGCCTACAAAAAACATCCTCTTCGGCAAAGAACGAACGTAGAAGACGATAATCCCGCCATCTTGTAGCACCTGGAAGAACCATTACAATGATTATCAATAGAGTTTATCATTAGCGTAATTAGAATTTTAAAACTTTCAAGTGTCTAATATTTCTCCATTCCATCAGCTTTTATTTATAATTTTATATATTCAAAATTTAATTGAACATACATATTGTGTACTTTTATTTCACCTCCTTCCAAGCAACATTTTTCGAGCAGCATTTGAATTCCATTTATAAAAACACGTGTATAAAACATGAATTATGAAGTAATAGAAATCAATTTATGTTTGTAAATTACTTTAGTATATAAATTGTGTACAGATGCATCGAATCTCAATTGGAACGGAGTAATTAAATGAAAATAGAAAAAGGAAAATGTGCGCAAATATATTTGAAAGGCAGGTGGTATGGAAAAATGTCTTCCTGAATATAGTAATTTGTGCACTAGTTAGTATATCGAAGGCGCAAGAAAAGGAACAAACTTCACGCAAGTTCGAATAACGATACAAGTCAGCAAGTGATCTCTGAAGCGAATTGTATCAGTGGACAGTTAAAGGGGTGTGCGCCCCGGTTACTTAGATACAATTGTGGTTATCGTATTTGACAATAAACTTTAATTTATACTATATGAATTGGATATAACACGTTATCAATATGGGTAAGCTATACGATCATTTTCTAATATATGTATGTACACGTTTCAGAAATCATCGAATCTATCAAGCGAATATAAATACTACGCGATCCGCAGGCAACTCGTTATAACTTTTATATTTTCATATTTCTAGGAGGATTATTAAGTTATTTTCGTAACTTGCTTGGAAGTCGGGAAATGAGAATTTTAATTCTGGGCTTAGATGGTGCCGGGAAAACCACAATCTTGTACAGGTTGGCTGCACATTGACAAGTTCCCTCTTTCACTTGACAGTTTATATTTTGACATGTATATATATAGATATATACACCTTGCATGACGTGACATACGTCATAATTACTGTCTTATTTATGTTTGTTTGAATGTTCAAATATCATTATTCTGTTAACTTTTATAACCAAAAATTAAGAATAACTTGATGTCATTGTTGAATTTTACACAGTAAAAACTATTTTAGAAGTTATGTATGTTAGGTTGCAGGTAGGTGAGGTGGTTACAACAATACCTACAATAGGATTTAATGTAGAACAGGTTACATATAAAAATTTAAAATTCCAAGTGTGGGATCTTGGAGGTCAAACTAGTATAAGGTATGATCCATATACTATGCATATGCATAGTTTAATCTTAAAGACTGGTATGATGCCTTTAAAAGTTACTAATGTATTTTAAATTTATAGACCGTATTGGAGGTGTTATTACTCTAACACAGATGCAATAATTTATGTTGTTGATTCAGCTGACAAAGATAGGATAGGCATATCAAAAGATGAATTAATTTATATGCTAAGAGTGAGTATTTCCTGCTGTCTATATAAAATTAAAAATTTAGTAAACTTTCAATCGAATAGTAGCTATACAAACATCAAAGCTTACAATATTTTAAAAATGTACAATTCATTCATAACTCTAAAAGTGAATTAAATTAATATTAATATGTTCTTAGGAAGAAGAATTACAAGGTGCCATTTTAGTAGTTTTGGCAAATAAACAGGACATGGCAGGGTGCCTAAGCGTTGCAGAGGTACATCAGGCACTTGGGTTAGATGCTCTTAAAAACAGAACCTTCCAAATCTTCAAAACATCTGCAACAAAAGGTGAAGGGCTTGATCAAGCAATGGACTGGTTATCAAATGCACTGCAAAGTAGAAAATGATTAACATTATTAAAAACATTTTTTTACCTAAGCCTTACTAAGAAGACTAGTCATATGACTGTCACTTCGAATAGCCCGTGCAAAGCCTGGGCCCAACATTTTGTTTATTTATTATAATTATATTTTAAATACCATTACGAATTCCATAAAAAATCTATCCTATAATTTATCATACTTTACACAATGTGATGCAAGAAATAAAAGTAAATTAAAACTTTTATCTTTTTACAAACTTCTAATAAAATGAATATAGAGAATCTTTCATTTAAATATCTTTTCTGCATCGGCATCAGACGTTTTATCATCATTATAATGTAGTTTTTATTATTTAATGACGTAACACGAATTTTTGGACAAGCGAATTTTGTTTGTGCGCAAAGTAATACATATACTATCAGTTTCTAATCAATTTTATAACAAATTACAAAATCATTATTATAACTAGCAATGAAAAGTATACTGTACATTATCAAAAATATATTACTTTTATTACACCATTGGCCGAGGCAATCATTCATAGACATTACAGTAAAATTGGAAATCATTTAATGTGTCAATAGTTTGGCATACTCTGTGAATAATTATGTAAATATCTGTAACTGATTTAGTTTCGTTCATATAATGTAAGACACTTATATATAAAATATCCTTTTTTATAAGAAACATAATATAGAGGCAAGAAAATCTGACTTATAATTAAAGCACAATATCTTGAATACCGCTATAAATTTGTTACATAAAATTGGAAAAGTTTACTACTGCCGAATAGACATGAGATTAGTATTTTAAGTGGCATTCATTTAAAATTTTTATATATATATATATATATATGAAAAAAAAAAAAAAACAAAAAAAAAAGCAGTAAAATACACGTTGTTAATTTTTATTTATTAGAAAAATTAGTTAATTTGAATACCAAATAATAATGAATAATATTTAAATAGATTGTCCAAATACATCTTTTAATAGTGTAATGAAATTTGATAATTAATTTATGTATTTACAATTGGTATAAATACTATTTCATAATAAATATTCCACAAATATTAAATGCAAAGTGTAAGCGTACCTGACATTTTTCCTGGTTATTACTCTACCACTGTGGAGTTCCGAACCTTTCGATTCGTTTGATTTGGGTATCTAATTCCATCTGAACCTTTTTTCTCATGTAAAATATGGGGCAATCACGACTAGAAAAGAAAGGTACAATAATGTAAAGAAAAAAAAATGTCTGACCTCGTAGAAACGTAAATGTTAATTGTACTGTGAAACAAACCTTGTACATATTACTTCTTGATGAAGACTACCTTGACACCTTTGACACTCGGTCCACAATCTGCAAAATTTTTCTTCTAATTTCCTACCAACATACAATTCAGTCTGAAAAACTTCTGCTTCTTTAGATTCGCAGTGAGTACATAAAGCCATTTTTTCTCTTTCCGGAGCTAAAACAGCTTTACAACCTAAACACACTTCTTTCTTACGCGTAAAAGCGGAAAGAGCACCGACTCTTGATGTAGCAACGGATTTAGTCCGAGTATGGTCTCCTTTTAGAAGTAGCGATTCAGCTTTGTCACCGAGAATTGGTTCGAAAATACGTACAAGAGGTTTAGATAGTTGATTCTCCAAATAATAGTTAGTATCTATAGGAATGTTATTTTCTAATACATAAATTGGATCTTCTGCCTTTTGATAAGCTGGTGCTCCTTTAGCAGCTGTTATGAATACATATGGAACACGATCTCCCAATTTTGGTGCTGTTCCTGTATCTCGTTTCTTCATTTTTGCCGCTAATTCAACATGCGCTTGTTTAGCGGTATAATCTGTTTTGGTTAATTCTTTTGTAATTACTAACTGGGAAATATCGATACGATTACAAAGAAGATCGCTTATAACTTGTTTTGCATAATTTAAGGCATCGGTAGGATTTCTGTTAAAAAAAAAAAAGTAATAATTATGTTTCATTAAAGTAAACAATATTAAAGATACGGCAATTAATTACCTGTCGATAAGTAATTTTTGTAAGCAAGTATTCATCATGTTTGCTACCAATGGGCAATTATCTCTTCGAACAGTTTCAAGACCCTTACAATCCATTTTATCATATTTCTCTGGACAAGTAAAATACAGACCGGCGTATCGTTTTTTGTTAATTAATAAGTATGGGAAGTAAACTTTCTCAAATTCTAATTTTATTGGTTTAAGGAATTTTTCGGATACGTATTCTGCCGCTTCTTTTCCAAGTGCCATGGCTTCTTTTATCGTTTTAACACCAAATTTAACCATGACAGAATCAGTATCACCATATATGACCACAGCATTGTTTTCATATCCGTTCGAAGTACAATAGTGATCTTCTACTTCCTGTTTTGTCCGTTCTATCATAGCCCGTCCATACGCGGTAACACTCTGAAAATGTTATTGTCATTATAAAAGAATGCATCGGTATTAGAAGAAATTAAGATAGTAAAATCTTACGGCAGATATTTCTAAACATGGTAATTTTCCTACTTGGGCACCAGTGAAACCATATACAGAATTAGCTGATACTTTTAAAGCGTACTGCCTACCATCTAAGACCTTTTGTTTCAGCGGATCAGTTTCATTTTTCAATTGAGCTTTTGCTGTTTTTCTAGCCGACAACAAATTTTCCAAAATTTCGGGAAGAATTCCTTTTTTAACGTTAGCTTTAATAAACATTGAATTACTTGGGGTTTTAGTTATATCATCAGGGTCAATTTCATGTTTAGTTTGCCATTCGCGATTTAATAATGTTGTATAACATAAATTGTGTGCCATGATAATACTGGGATATAGAGAACTAAAATCCAAAGTTGCAATTGGATCATTATAGTAACCACGTTTTGGTTCTATAACTGTTGCACCTTCAAACTGGTCTTCGCTACCTTGACTTTGATAGCCTGGCATCAGATAATCTTTTTCCCGGATCTAAAATTCCGTACATGTAATACAATTTTATAATTCATAATAATAGCTATACATGTATATTTATTACTATTGTCAACCTTTCTCAATAACTGTGAAACAACTTTTATTTGTTGCCCTCGGGTTAACAAACTAGCTATAGAAACTCCGGTAACCCTAGCCATTTCCATGTAAATAAATATGCACATCAGTTTGTCCAGCAATCTAAGCGGTAAATATGCATCCTTTAAACAGTAAACAGCAAGCCTTCGACGCGTCTGCGAATTTCCGTTTTGTAATTCTGTAATAATACTGTGATGAACATCCTCTTTTTGTTCTTGTAGAAAGTGGTAAGAGACAGCATTTAAAGTGTAAGATCTTAATTTATAATCTCTGACTAATACCTACAAGAAAAAATATAATTATAAATTGTTATCTTGTATTAATGTTTAAACAGCGTTTTAACGAAACATTATTTTTACCAAATATAAATCAAATGGAACTCTTCCTTCAAAGTTGACGGATTTATTTTCACGACGACCCATTTGTTTACTTTGAATTATTTTCGTTTTGACTACAGACTTTATATTTTTTATTCGTCCAAGGAAATTAAAATTCTTCACGTTAAGGTGTTGTGCTCGATTAATTAAATATGGAAAATCGAAATTATTTATGTTATATCCTGTAAAAATATCAGGATCCAACTGTCTCACGAACTCAGCCCATTTCTACAGAAAATGCAATATAATTTGTACCCATTAAATCATTCCTAACGAAAGATGTAATCCTGAATGTGTTTATACCTCTAACAACGTTTGTTCTTTATCAAAACTTAGAACCTGACAACCAATAATTGGCGCGCATGTATTAAGTGTAAAAATATTTCTTAAAAATGGTTCTGAATCTCCTTGTTTTATTACCATGTTAGCAATTTGAATAACAGGATCGTGATTTGGTTCAGGAAAAATACCTAAACACCAAATTTTAGACAATTATGTAATATCATGTTGTATAAAATAAAAAGAATGATTATGGAAAACAACTGATCACCTTTTCTTCCAGCACATTCAATATCAAAACTGAGTATTCTAAATGGTGCGATCTTTGACCATTCTTCTGGTGAATGAGAAATGAAAGCATCCCATGCAACATCTGCTTCTATTTGGCATCTTGTAATCGATGGTAAATCGTGTCCATGACGACCACGCAATTTCCAAACTTTTGATGGAAGTTCAATCCAGGAACATCCAACAATCGACGTGTCGACCATGAATCTTAAACAGACATGACAATGCATTTAAAGGGCTCTTAACCATAATGAAATCGTAAATTTCGATTAGATTTATTGCACATACCTTACATCAAAATCAATATTGCTCTCAAAATCACGGTACGTATGAACAAATTCAGGAAAAATGTTTTCTTTTTCAAGCAATCGCCTGCAAGGTGCTATTAATTTTGGTAATGTAACTGTAATTTTTAAGAATAATGATTTTTCATCCCCAGTGTAACCATACATGGTTTGTTTGTACACTCTTTCAACAGCTAAAACAGCTATCTGAATATTCTCTGTATTTGATCTCATATCTTTTAATATAGCCTTATCTAAAGCATCCTGAAAAATGTATTGAAATAAATTGTTTAGACAATGTTTGTATTAGCGATTTTCAGGATTATGTATGTACCTTAAACCTGTTACAATGACTATCTGTAAATTTGGGTGGTGCTGTAACGTACAAATATGGGCTAAATCCATGAACATGACAACAAACTGAGTTTCCTTGTTCTGTGATTCCATACATTCTCATTATAGGTACAGGTGGTATTGTACTACCTGGCATTCCAACCAATGGTGCACCTAAATAAATATAAGATCTTAGACTTTGTTTTTACTTATTTCAGTCATCTTTGTGGTAATTTTTACCATTATAATGATCAATCTCTATTTGTTGGAAAATTAAAGCATCTTCCTCTGGATTTAAGTCTGGAGGAGGAGGTCTACTCCATCTGGAAGATATGTTCTCTTGTTCAGGACCCTAAAAAAAATAATTTAGTTAGTTTTATTACTAATGTTTTGCATACCAAATATCAGTTACAAACAGTAGAACAATATGAAGGACATTAAAAATAAAACATTAGGCAGGGGAAAGGATGAAACATTTATTAAGCCATGATTATGAAATTACAAATAAATTCATACAGAAATAATGAATTGCATATGTGTTAAAAAAGATATAAAATAAATAGGGAAATATTTAATGAATTGCAATAAATTCAGCATGATATGTTCAGCAAACATATTGAAATGAATATATTTTTACAATAGGTATTAACTCACTCTGAATAGCTTATCATTTAATTTAACATCAGCTGGCTAGAATAATGAAATATCGATCAATAATATGTATCTTCAATAGGTCTAATGTTACACTAATCAATTTATGTTAATCAATAATACATAAAGTTTGATAATAATTATATAAAAATACCAAGTTATTTATTCAATTTACGTATACCTCTTCAACAAATTGAGACACATCACCAAAATCATCTTCCGTTTCATCCATAGTAGCCAATTCAGCTTCAAATGAACCAGGTAAATCATCATCGTCATCATCCCTGTTAATTAATGTAATAATAAAACGAAAATTAACTAGTACAAAAAAAGAAAAATCAATGGAAAGTTAATAGCCCAAGCAAGATTGATAATTAAAGTAACATTGATTGATCTTATTTAATTCCTAGCGTACATGTTAATGAAAATTATTTTGATATTAACATTAGAGTTATTACTAGGAGAAAATATTTCCTTTATTGTTTATTGCATAAAGATGTGAATATAAATTTCTACGTAAGAAGTGAAATAAGGTTACAGTAAATATTCTACAAATGTTTACCCATATTTGGCCTTTTTTGCAGCAGAAGGAGTTGAAAACTTTTTCCTATTCATCTTGTTTTAATATATTTGAATGGTATAAACATTAAATGCAAATAACGATACCCTCAACAAATAACACACCAACCGATTTCGCGCGAGAATATTGAGCTAAAATACTAAATAAGCAGGTTCTGTAACGTTATAAAATAAATATCTGTCATTCATTTTACGCATGCGTCTGCGCATACTGAAATATCATCACCAGATCATTCAAATCAGCAGAATTGTGTATTGACCTTTATGATCCGGCGAATCGAATCTGGAACTTATTTACTCGTTCCACTTTCTTGCGTAGTTTGTTGTGCTTTGCAGAAGATTGATTTATTACAGCAAAAATACAGGCAGCAGCTGTATTTTGACTTGAATAAGCATTTCTAGAAGATCTATTTCATATTCTGCATTAAAATTGACGTCAAGTCATTGTTCCTGATAAATACATAAATTCGTAAGTACATTACGATTGTTTGTCACCGGCTTTCATAATTTAGTTTTTTTGTTTTTCTATTAAAAGATTAAAAATATTACAAGTCATCCAATAAAAGTGCAGCATATAAAATACATTAATTTTCTTGCTTTGCAATTGATACATTTTGCGCAAAGACTTTATTGTATGCTAAAATGGCGTATGTTTATAGTTTTTTAGAACATCCGTTGGTTTTTGTTCGTTATAGGTGGCAAAATGTCTATCCCCTTTAAACCAGAGCATCTTGCACAGCTGAAAATATTTGTTGACTTGTGTATGGTAGATCCTACAATATTAAATCGACCTGAACTTTCTTTTATAAAATCTTTCGTTGAACATTTTGGTGGAAAAGTACCTAAAGATGAACCATCCTGTAAAAAACCAGAAAGTGCAAATGTGTCCAAAGAACCAGAAGCTGAAGCTGAACCTGGACCTGAATCAGAACCAGAAACTGCAGCTGAGCCACAGGCAGAAAGTGAGGAAAGTGATTTGGAGTTAGACATGAGCGATGTCATTGGTAAATAACTTTTCTTTGAGATGCACAAAATATTTTATATTTAGTTACTAATAGACATTTATTTAATGTTATAGAACCAGATACAGATACTCCACAAAAAATGGGAAATCCTACCTTACAGCCAACAGAAGAGGAAATTGCAGAATCTCAAGGCAAACGTGCAGAGGCTGTATCAGCATTCGTAGAGAAAGATTATGAGAGAGCTATACAGCTTTACACTGAAGCTATTCTATTAAATCCACAGGCATCTTTGCTTTATGCAAAACGTGGACAAATTTATTTATTGCTGAATAAGCCTAATGCTTGTATTCGTGATTGTAACCGTGCCTTGGAATTAAATCCGGATAGTGCAGCTGCTCATAAATTTAGAGGAAGGGCCTATCATTTACTTGGAAAATTCGAAGAGGCGGCTAACGATTTGAGACTTGCTTGTAAATTTGACTTTGATGAACAAGCTGACGAATGGTTGCGTGCAGTTACACCAAATGTAAGTACTTTCATTTCAGTTTGTTATTTTGTATGAGTACATATGAAAAGTGCTATAATCTCTTTTAACTAAATTAATTAATTTATGTATTTATTGGAATCTTGGAATATCTTTATATTATCTTGAAGATATTAATTAATGTATTAACGTGAGTAGCATGTATGTATATATTTAGGATCACAAGATATTCCTATTTGAGAAATACATAAATTAAATCTACTAAACTTAAATACTAACAATCTGCACGTGTGAACATTAATAACACAATGTTTTATAAGAGGTATTTAATTTACATAAGGTACATTAGAAATCAAATTTTTTTTTTTACTAAAACAAACAATATATTCATTTACATTAAAAATATAGTTTATGCTTCAATGTGGGAAGATGTTATCGAGAAACTAATAGGTTCTTTTTTTTTTTCGTTTTTTTAATAAACATTTTATAACTTTTAATAAGAACACAATTTGTTTATACAAGGTATTTCACAAAAAGCCTCAAAAAAGAGATCATATTTATCTCTTTCTCAATGGAAATATTTTTATACATTTTACATATTTAATAATATGTAATTACTGCTTCTTTCGTCTGATCTTCGGACGGTTGAAGTCACGATGCTGCATAATAGCTGGCACAACCATTACACTAAGGTTCGAGAAAGGTCTGTCACGCGAGTTCACTTTTTATTTTCAACATTTCATCGATACATCAAATCGTAGGACCCCACTATTATCGTGATGCGTTTTTCCAAAACCGTATGATCAAAGTTGCGTTTGAACACATTCAAAGGAAACTCACTATATTTTTTTTTTGTTTTTTTTTTTTTTTCATTTTCTTTTATTTAGATTGGAATGGTAACACTCGTACTGTCCTCCAAACACAAGTATTATCTTGAGAAAAAAGCCTTTGACATTCCAATCCACTGATACACTTAAAAAGTATGTTAAGCATACGATGATCAAATAGTTTGTTTCATAGCGTCACCAATATCCATTGCTTACCTATGGAAGAAACCAACCAGTATATCTTTATCTCTTCTCTTTACCCTTCAATTAAACTGGTCTAAATATGTTTGTTGCAAATTTCAGGAGAGCTCTGTTTAAAGTCTTCTAAAAATCTTCTGTATTGTTTTAGGAGCCGGTTAGATTTTCTGTTCACCTAAGGGCAATCCAATCCTACTTTATTGTTGTTTTATAGTAGACAGAGAGGAAGAGAGAGAGAGAGTGAGAGAGAGAAACAAGAAACAACATTTCCTTGTCGCTCTTTCTTTATAGTTTTTATTTTTGCTCCCACTGCACACCTCGGTGTGTCAGGTATCAAGAGCTCTGTTTCAGTACTCGTCTTCCAGTACTCAACTAGAAGGATTTGTTTCGTATTCATGAATCACTTGTTCCACAGACTTCCTGTATTTGCCAACGAGCTCTGGTAAATCGTAGGCGATCGCCACGTCGAGTCTGTTGATCGGACATCCACGGAAGTAGGTGCACGTGGAGCTCAATAGAGGGAAGTCGTAAAGAGGATTTAGTCGGAAGAAGTCCCGGTAAACATCTGGATCAGGCAAATCGTAACGCGATATGTTCTTAAGTGTGCTAAGTCCCTCGTAGATGTGGTAATCCTGTGGATTCTCGATGATCTTATCACTGATCTCCTTCTTGTTTGCAAAGAATGTCTTGTGGTTGTAGTAGGTGGTCAGATAACAGTCTACCATTTTAGCGTGATTGCGCACTCGTACCTGCAAAATATAGCCACATGGAAACAGTATTTTTACGCAAAGGAAATCGCACGAAGATGTTGGAAGGGTAACTTACAGCGAATCTTCTGGCGCTCGCTATTTTGTGCTCAACACGCTTGTCAATGGCAGTTCTCAGATCTCGAAGGAATGCACGTTCCTGAGCGTAGAGTAATCTGGTCGGTGCACCAGCCTCGTACGGCAAGGACCACAACGATGCTGAGTACATAACAGGTGGTTCAGCGCTGGACATCAACGGTGATATGTTCCAGATTAAAGCCCCTTGCACTCTCATCAGTTCTTCTGGTTTCACTTGATCAGCTTTGTTAAGAATGATGCGCGTCTGTTGTCGGAAGTACGCGTTATACAATTATGATGACACACTGTTTAGAACTCGTTAATCGATGCTTACCTGATGCTCCCTTCCTTTAAGTTGGTCAAGGATCGCCTCTGTTTCTGGTCCAACGTCTAATTTCGACGGGTCGTAGACTAAAAATATGATGTCTGCACGGTCGATGAACCACTGACACGCATCGTTAAACGGGAACAAACGTTGGACTTGCTTTCGGATTTCTAGAATCCCCGGTATCTCCACGATGTTCACCTGTTGTCAAACGGTGGTATACAGAGCGACAGGTAAATAAGTTTCACGGAAGTGTTTTGAATAGAGAAAAAAAAATGTGTTACTCACTTTTTTAAGCAGCTTGTCGTCGAGTCGTAAACCCTTGAGACGATCGAGCAAACCCTGGCCGAACTTTTGCAATCCCGAGAACGTCCAGTCAGCGGCGAGTTGGGTGCCATCAAGGATCTCCTCTTCATCGCCGTGCATTAGAATATTGAAGTAGGCCGGAGATGGTTCGGCTCCTGTGTCATTTCCATTTGCCGTTTTGCATTGCTCCTCTAAGCACTTTCTCAAACCACCTAAACACTATCTGTATATTCATGCTCCTAGGCATGCTTCTACCGCTAAAGTTTTCTTTTTATAGGCGTGAGATCACGGCCGACCGTGTTAAGCGTTCAGTCGAAGCATCCTCGCACAACAAAATTCAAAAGTTTCTCGTTACTTACGCACCTGTCCTTAACGATGTCTGCTTGTACTCTATGTCGAGCAAGTAATTTATTATGGAAGATTTCCCACCGCTCCACGGACCCATGAACAGTATCAGCGGTTTGGAGAAGATTTCTGGATCTGGAAGAATACCAAAGGTGTTCGGTGTGTCGCGTTAATCATCTTTGTCAATTATACTCACCACCAAAGTGCCTGTTGCTCAAGTCTCTGTATTTATACAACGATTCCAATGGCTGTATAGCGTTGTCGTAGACCTTCTTCAAATCCTTTAGAATAACATCTGCGATCTTTTCAATAGCTCGTTCTTTGTCCTCGTTCTCTTCGTCCAGCTTCAGTAATTGATTAATGTGTTCGCGTGGTCGCAGGTTCTCTGGTACTTCGATTTCTTGAATCAGGTCTTCCTCGGGGGTAGGTTCTTCTTCCTCTTCGCTTTCAGCTGTTTCTTCAGAAGCTTCGTCAGCATCTTCTTCGCCTACTTCCCGTCTGGCACGAGATTTTGCCTCCTCTTCATCCGACTTTGCTTCTTCTTCGTCCGACTTTGTTTCCTCCCTAGATTTTCCTTCCTCTTCCCCGGATTTGCTTTCTTCTCCAGCTTCTTCGGCTGATTTAACGTCCTCCGTTGATTTTACAGCCTCTTCGCTTTCTTTTACTTCTTCTTCTTCTTCTTCTTTTTCTACTTGACCCTCTGCACTCTCCTCTTGACCTTCTGATCCTTCTTTTCCTTCTTCTTCTTCGCTTAAAGGTTGTTCCTGGGACTGAGTCTCCTCCTCCGCCTTGCTATCCTCGGTATCGTCCTCTTTGGACGCAGCATCCGTTACTTCTTCCGTCTCTTCAGCCTTCGAGTCGGTCTCTTCTTCCTCGGTCTTGGCTTCGTCGGATTTCTCCTCGTCGAGTTTCGCTTCTTCGGCAGATTGCTCGTCACCTTCCTCGTCGGATTTTCCATCCTCGGTCTGAGCTTCTTCGTCCACCTGCGGTTCCTCCCCAGACTTCTTCTCCTCTTCGCTTCCATCTTGCTCCGAGTCTGCGGCACCTTCTACATTCTCCACAGATTCCTTCTCTTCCTCGGTTCCTTCGTCCGCCTCCGCAGATTGTTCTTCTGCCTTTTCAGCTTCACCTACACAGTATACGAATATTTTCATTCGGATGGAATGAAATTATTTTTATGAAATTTTTACCTTCTTCGGTTTCATCCGCCTCGGCGCTTTGCTCGGCCTCTGCGGACGCGGTAGCAGACTCTTCTTCACCTCGTTCCGTACTATCCGCACCTTCGGCCTCTACCGATTCCTGTTTCTCCTCCTCGGTAGCCACGTCCTCTCTCGAACCATCGGTACCTGGCTCGGCATCCTAAAGAAAAAAGTCATTCTTCTCGTTCGTATTCTTCTTAAACTTTAATCTCGATTCGTTTACACGCCTTACATATTCGCTCGCAGGTTTTCCATCACCTTCTTCTCCTTCCTCGTGACTTTTATCGGCGTCGGTCCCCGCCTCGGTACTGGTCTGCTCCAAAGATCCTTCAAACGAAACATTCTAGAAATTGCTATGCTCCAGATGAATATCCTTCAACATCTGAACATTACCTGTACCGAGGTGCTTCAACGCTTTCTCAATGTACGGTCGACATAGATCCTCCGGCGGCACCTCTAGCTCTTCTTCGCTTTGCACTCCTGAAATTAATCGAGGTGAATAAGGATCTTCCTGAAATTATCATAGGAGGTATTCGGTGTAAGGCGTAAATTTTGGAGAATTCTTCGGCTGCCAGAAGAAGGTGCCAAAAGAAGGCGCGGAGCGTATTAGATAACCGTGCGTGAAGCTTAGCAAAGAGGGTTTAACGCCACGCGACCACCAAAAATATCTGACCCAAGTGATGCAAGATCTTGTCAAAGTCGTTACGCAGAGCTGGGTCAGCCGCGTGCTCGGGCAATGACAGGTGTTGATGAAAAACAACAACCGTGTTCCGATAAACAGATTGGAAAAAAATAGAATTATTAATGAAAATTTAGTTTTCAGATGATTCTAAACACCGGGGATTTGTTTCGATGAAGAACGTTAGATTTTTGAAACGTTATAAATTATATTATAAGCGATGACGATTAGGATATTTAAACAGAGCAGTGTATTATTATATGTAGATAGGGATACTACCTTGAAAATTGAAAGAGGTATTAGTAATTTGAATGCATTCCAACATACGATGCTACGAAGTAGCCAACAAGAAATAGATAGGATGCTACCAAGTACGATTTATAGAAAGTTACAAATGAGATTTGTAACAGAATCGACCTTCTGAAACTGTATTTTATCAATTTTCTTTTTCATCGTACCGTTATTTAATTTTTTATATTTTACACTTCAACGACTAGTTAACTCGTCCTCGTTCACGTCGGTTCTCTTTCAAGTTTAAGGTTGATCATCGTTTTTCTACGCGTACGTTTATCGCGAAATATTCCAGGGAAAATGTAGACGTCGGTGACAGAATTTGTGGCACACAGGACGTAAAATCTCGGTCGATGAAAATGTCGATATCATCTTTCTAGGCAGTACCTGGGACCAGGCCGGTTTCTAAGTTTAGCGGCGAGTAGGCGGCTTTGAGCCGAGCAACACTTGAAAATATTTATATATTGGATGAGCGAAACGTATTTTTATCGGTTAGATAGAAGAGGAAAGTAAAAGAAAAGAAAATCTGCACGCAACTTTGACCGAGATTCTTAACCGCGAAGATGATCCTGATTTATCGCGGTTGGCTAACTAAAAATGCAAAAGCAAAAGATTTACAGTGATACTTTGATTTTTCTTAAATTTCTAATCGAGGGTGACGATTAAAAAGTAGAAGTTACGCGAATTTCAAAGTGAAATTTCATTTTCGTTGCACTCGGCTGCTTTTTGGCACAAGATTGTATCATTTTACACGCTTTTGTTTGTCGCTAGATGAAAATCTAGCTAGATTGAACAGTTACAATTTCATATAATCCTAAGCATTTTTCAGAGAAGATTAATTGTAAATAAAAATTTACAAAGACTTTTATAATTGAAAATTCCGTCTGATGATCGTTGGCACGGTGCTACGTCAGCGGCCGCAAATACATAGTATCGCGATTTTGTAAGATAATATGTTGAAATTATACAGCTGCAAAATAATCTGCGAAAATGTCAAGATATGGGTAATGGAAGCAGAGGTAAGCTGACTGTCGTTTGGCAAGCATAGCTAGCAAGGATAAAGATAGAATCTGAAGGCTTGTTTCGCGCTCTCAGGCATCTCTATTCATTTAATCCTTTCGCTGTAAAAGTCAAATCAGCTTATCGTTGAAGAGATACATTTTTTTCTTTTTTTTTTTTTCATATTTATCTACAAATTCGTAAGCGAACTCTTTACGCGGAATACACCGGCGAATTTACAGAATTTCGAGCAGAATCTGGCACGGATTTATATCCGTCCTTATGTAATTATTTGCCAGTTGTTGACAGTCGGTTTCCATTCATTCCCAAAATAACGAATCCTTGAATACGCGATCAAAATTTTTTACTCGATCGTCCTCGTTTCGCTTCGTTAATTCGACCATAAGTACATGACACCCTTCTGTTAAACAGGACATCGATTAAAAAAAATTATTTTTCGATAACTCGAATGCATGTCACGTGTTTCAAACGTAAATGAAAAATTTCCTTTTTTTTCCTTTAACGATATCGTCGTGATTATCGATGCAATAGATTGCCGATCGATCAGTTTCGAGCGCGTCTGCTCGATGCTGAAGAGGTTCGACGAGCCAGGAACCGATGACGCAGACCAGTGACTTTACGTAACATTGACCTTCGTCGCTCGTCACACGTTCGTCAGTACGTCAACCACATCATCGACCGTTCAGATTTCTACGTCTCCGACCATTTTCCCGAATTTTCACCTTGAACATACCGAACATACTCTTCTTAAACATTTTCGAAGAGCAACAAGTTCGAGTACCTGACGATCGGCATTCACGAGTCACGACCCTCCTTTATTTATACGATTAACGCAAACAAACGACACCGACAGAAAAAAAAAAACGCTTGATGCTTCGTTATAAATAACGCGATAACAAATCGTTCGATTACAGTCGACGACACTGATGTATACCGAAGGGTAAAACAAGGAATCTTTCTCATTGAAAGGGGGATGGTCATCTTCTCGAGATGATTAATTTAAGAAGGGATGAAATAGAAAGGGAAATTTTTCAAAGAGGCAAGAAGCTTCCTGGGAATGAAGGTCACTCACCCTGTAAGGCGACGACTAGAAGGGCCAAGAAGAGGCCCACGAAGTACGCGGGTCTCAGCCGCGAGCCCGTCATCTCGTTTCACTAGGCACTACACGATGAGCCAGGGCTGGCAGCTCGTCTAACTCGGTAGTCGCCTTCGACTCCAACTCGCCCGCGAGGAACTGGCATTGTCACTACCGCCAAACCCCAAAGGCGCCCCTCTACTTCGCACCCCACAGCCACCTTTTTTTCTTTTTCATTCGATCACACCGAGATTCCGCTCGGTTTTCATATACTCCGCGTACTTTAAGGTAGCCGTGAACCGGATGTCTCCTAATGGCTTGAATTAAAATTAAACTATCCAAAGGAAAAGGAATGGGAAAGGGAAATTCTGACTGACTTTCAGAAGGTCGAAGACACTTCTGATTAGGTTTTTATCAAGAGGAGATTCATTATCTTCATCTTTTACAATCTGATGACACTGGTGGTTGGTAGAGTCGTAGTTTTAAAAATACCTCTTGGCGGCCCGGTTTTCTCGAATTTGCAGGCAGATCGCAAAGACATTGACTAGCGATCGATTTAATTTGGTTAAACGATCTAGTATTTAGACGCTTCTGAAAATACATGAGTGATACGAGGACAAGGTCTAAGAGAAGTGTTTCTATGCTTTCAATCGGAAGTATGTTGCGATACCAGCGTAAAGTAATATTAACAAAATTCCAGCTGGCTGTTATCGCAAGCAAGCGTGTAGCAAAGAGAAGAGATTCGCGGCGAAATGCGTGCTCTCGGACAGAGAGGAGCGTCGGGACGACGGGCGCCTTTATATTTAGAAGCCCGGGTCGCCGCCGTATAAGGTGGTGCTCCCTCGTGCAAAAGTTCTTGCGCTTGCTACCTATCTCCGCCACTTCTTATCCTTTCTTCTTATCTCCACCTTCTTCATCCCGTATAAACTTCACTCAACACCTTCTCCCCGTCTCTTAACTCCGTAAGATCAACGCCCGTCAATCTCTACTCCCCTTTCCTTCAACCATTTTCAAAATAAAAAGGAAGATCGTAAACCGCGATTAACGAAAAGAAGAAAAATATTGATCCTCGAAACGAAGTTTACCGGCCAATTTGGCTGCTTCGTGGTCTATAATAAGCGTAATCGTGTATGAGGTCACAATGTGTCTTGGACAGACGGTGTTGTTTCACGGGAAACTCTGCTTGAATATTAAAGGTATCATTAATTTTACTTGTTATTTCCAGGCACGGAAAATAGAGGAACACAAGAGAAAGAAGGAACGCAAGATGCAAGAGAAGGTGGAACGCGAAAGGCAAGATAGAATAAAGAACGCTCAAGAAAGCGCGAAAGCTTTTCAAGAAAACTTTCGTACTTTCCAAGCAGATCCAACCGGAAGCGCTCCTGCTGGAATGCCCGATTTCAGTAAATTCTTAGACGACGCTGAGATTGTACAATCTCTAATGGTAAACTGTTGTGGGTTTTTTAAAAGTATTTTTATACATTTTTTTTTCTAATTTTATCATTTTGCTTTCACAGGAGCCGGAAATAGCAGAGTTCTGTAAAGAGATCTCCGCGAATCCAGCGTCCATCTTGAAGTACCAGAGGAATCCAAAGATCATGGCGTTTATCAACAAGATGGCTTCGAAATTTGGTGGTGCTGGTATTCCTGGTATGCCAGGTGGGATGCCGAATTTCCCGAGTACCGATGGTGCAGCACCACCGCCACCACCACCACCACCACCCTCTACCGAACAATCAGACGTTGGCCTTGATTGAGTCGTTGTTCGTTCATGAAATTCCTTCTCGTTTTATCCTCGTACGATACTCTGCTAATTCGTTCTATAGCGATATCTTCTACCGAGGAAATGAATTTCATTATAAATTGAAGCATAGAAAACACAGATACCCTTATTCCTCTGAGCTATATTTTGAAAAGAATCTATTAATTTATCTTGAGAGAAAAAGAAATATATAACTATAATTGTAGAATAGAAATTCTTTATAACGTATCTTGAAGTGAGAATCATATTTTAGATATGAAGTATTCAAGTAAATTCTTAATTATTAATGTTTCTTCGCGTTTTGATTTATTTTTAAAATTGCTTATTTCTGTGGTGTAGAACGGATTGTTTTCAGATCTTGCATTTTCAATGAATTTTTTTTTTTTAATTTCTTGCTAAACGGCTACCCGTTTCTTCAGCTACCCACTTCATTGTTTCTATAAGTATTATTAATCGATGCAAGATTTATTATTATTATTATGTTATCTGTGTTAAGCGTTTGACGTACATCACATAAACCAATTTATTTAGTTTGCTCGGTTCGATTGAAAACTGTGTGTATTCTTATCGTGTTCAAGAATCTTTAAGTAATTTTTTTTTTTTCTTCAAATTACTGAAATTGTATATATTTATAAAGAAGGGGTACAGAATGTTTGTGACAGATTAGATGCCACGAGTAAAGTACTTGTAACATGATTTTAATTAATTCAAATACATATTGCTTTTCGCTTTCGTAACAGGAAAGGATTTTATTATAATTTCATGAACATCGAATGGATAATATGAGTTGGCCATCCAACGAATAATACATCGCTTTTAATATGCTTTGTTAAAAGCATAAACTGCCATACGATGTACCGTGATTTCAATAAATATATCATATAGTTCTGTATAAATATCAACAGTTCTTATTCACCGGCAGAACACTCGTAAATAAATATATACAAAAGAGAAATGTTACGCGGTTTAACGATAATAATCACATAGTTCTGCTTGAGAAAAATAAAAAACCTAACCTCGATGGCTAATAGTTAAAACGTACTATCTGCATGACTTGCACAATAAATAAATTCCTACCTGTTTATTTCTTACAAACGATAATATTGCACGTAAAATGAAGAAAAAGAAGGTACTGTACTCTTAGGGATAATCGTTACCCGTTATTCCATCAAGTAACAACTCGACGTCTATAAATTCTCTTCTTACATTTTCACTTATTTAGACTTTCATTTTTTACAGATTTTTTCAAGCTTTGGAAATAATTCCCTTGACTAAACTATAACTGACCATGGAACGATCTAAAGGATATCTATAATAAATGAATAGAAAGAATTCTGATTCTAGAAAGAAGAGTGAAAAGCGCGTAACGAAACGATCGTGCAACTCTGGTTGGATATTTCCCGTCGAATCATTCCAACGACCCAGATCGTACGTCATTTTACCGTGCTACGTTCTTCTGATTTTGAGCATGTGCAAGTTCGGATGCCATGGCACTTTCCTGAATGTCGACGTCTTCGTCTCGTCAGGTGATAGAACCTCCTTGTCAGCCTCGGTTACCGGTGTCTCCAACAATCTGAGCCCAGTGATACCAGTGTCGTAGCTAAACATTCTACGATGTCGTTTCACTTCTAGATCATCGGTGTTCCAATTTCTTGTGCCTGGATCACTGACCACGCGCCGGTGCTTCTTTTGATGACGACGATGATGATGATGATGATGATGATTGCGATGAAGATGATGATGATGATGATGATGATGGTGATGACGTTGCAACTTTCTTCTGGACGATTGTAGAGCGTGCTCCAAGTTGGAGAGATCCATAAGAGCTGGTTCGATGCGAAACAAAGGATTCGGGTCGAAGTAGAGCCGATTGTCGACGAAAGGAACGAAATGCACCGAATTCGGGCTGAACAATCTCTTCGGGGTTCTCTGGATCGTGGATGACCATTCGTTACCCTTGCGTAGATTTATGGTTACCTTCCTGCGACAATAGGAGCGGTGCGATCTCGGCTGCAATCTGAAGAAGAAATAATTTCATCAGGTATCACATTGGTACGGATTAAAAGTGATATATACAAACCTAGAGAAACATGGGCGCAGCGTTCTGTGTCGTCAGTTGAGCGGATGTTCACCTCTCGGCATTCTATAACATTTATTCCATGCTTCTAGCAGCAACACGCAACTATGGAACCGGTAGAAGATCAATAAAGGAAGACCGATCCTGGATATAACTCCCCAGGCGAGGACTCCGAAGAATCTCAACTGGAGCTCTTGCGAGATCCAATTCTGGGTGATCACAGTGTCGAACGCCCAGAGAACGGAATTGCTGAACAACAGGAAAGTGATCACTTGCCTGGCAGGTTTTGCTATTATCTGGAAACGGGTTATACAGGATCTCTTCGAGGCTTCTGCTATTAAGGTACTTTGAGCGAAAGACTGGACCAGTTGCAAGATGGACGCAGCTAGCAACATGATGTATCTTCCTCGAGTCTCGTTGCTTACGTCCTCGAGAAGGGCCAAGGAACACGCGGAAACGACGATGGTGAAAATGGAGTAGAGTTGAACTCCGAACAGAGCTACATTCGACAGCAGGCTGTCCAATGCTGCCGGTGCTCTGCTCACCACGGACATCTGACGTACTTGAACGAGACCACTGGCGGTCATCAAGGTGCTCAGGGTTAAAATGCTGGTCAGAGTACCGCAGGTCAGCCAGGATAACGTGGCCGAAGGGAAGTGTTCGTCTTCTCTGACGACGAGGAAGATCAGTATGACTACTATGCCAGCAACCATGCAGAGTATGCCGAGGAATAAACCTTTGCTGGAACCATCGCAGCCAACTTTGGTGTGACTAGCCAGATCCTTGCTGCCATGGAACTTCTGTTTATGCACCAGACGACTCCTCCCGACATTTTGACCCATCACGAAAGTCACAGCAGCAGCGATCAAACTGAAAATCAAACAGGATAGTTTTAGAAACTGTAAGAATTATTAACATTGCGAGATACGTACCTGAATTGCACTATAAACGGATAGAGAAACGGCATACTAGATGTCCATAATTGACCCAGGGTATTTGTGTTCAAGCATTCCTGTAAGGCGATCACTTGATCGATCTGTTCATTCGAAATTGGTTGATACGGTTGGTAGACGTCCTTTTCGCTCGAAGAATGATCTGAAATGTAAACGTATATTTTGTTGAAAATATATGCTGTTAAAAGTTGAAAGGGAAACGAACCTATCAGATCTCGAGTATGTCTTATCAGTGATTCTGGGAAGCCACGGAGATTCAAGGGTGAAACGGAGTTGTGCAAACCTCGCTGCGCCAGGTGAACGAAGTACGTCCACTCTTGAGCAGAATCCCAAATGACTAAACGAACCCATACTGCGATATTCGTTGCTGCCAGATGGATGAATCCGAACCTTGCTGCTAATCCAAATCGTTCTACGAGTACCTGTATGTACAATTAATACACAATCAATCATTTATACCTCAGCTAAATATGAGAGTCTGAAAAATTGAAAATCAACCCACCTGCGAATTAACGAATAGGAAATGCATTTGCAGGAAGGTGAAGAGACCGTGAAGTACCGGATGCACGAAAACAACGTCGCTCAAGCATTCAGCGCCTTGCATCATCGAATGCATCGCCATTTCCAAACCGTTGAAGACGAGGGTCGCTAAACCAAAGACTGCAGGAATACCGACTGTTACTTTTCAATACCCATAAGATAAATAATACTACAGGAGAAACTTACGTAGCGCTCCGACACGTATGTAAAAACTCGTCGGTGCTGTTCTAGATCGCGAGATGTGAGCGCGTTTCAATGATCCGAACCTGGTTAAGGACGCTCCACCGAGTTCCGCGTCGTCGACACCGGCCGCACCGGTACCAAGACTTCCACAGCTGTCCACCAACACCCAAATATAGATACTGATGATCACCGCTATGCTTCCAACGTATAGGTACATCAGGAACACTCCCTGGAAAATGATCCATCATTTTCATTCGAATGAAAAACTCGATGAAATTGTAAATGAAATAAGAGCGTAGATCTACGGTCTTGGTTCGTAATTCAGAATCACCACCAGGTGTACCAGATACTTGAATTACCTTGAAAATCGTAGCTTTGATTCCTGGAATTACTGTTACCGTGACCCAACAGCATCACGACTCAACTTGATCCATAATACCAGGGAAAATGTGGAGGCATAATTACGAATGCCGTTCGAGAGGAAGTGAAACGATCGGGATACCGTCAGCTGTTTGCTTTTCTTACCTTTCAGAGATCTTTCACGGTCAACGTTGATGTATCACTGTGTTTTAACATAATGGATGTTACACTCGCGACCATATGTCGCTTAATGGAACGAATGCAATTAGTTCTGAATTTTGTCTGATCGGTAGTGATGAGATTCGTGATTGAAGAGTTTACAGGAAAGATTATCGTATTTGCATACATTTTAACCATTTCACACTGTATAATCATAAAAATGATTATTAAAAGAAACTCGAATTAATCATCAGGCTGAAACTTCTTCGTGTTCCACATAAATCTTATTTTCCATTCGTATAATTTTAACATGCCACGAGCTACTTGGAAATCATCTGTGGTATATAAATTGAATATTATTGTTAGAAACTACTGAACATTTAATTTATAGTTCTGTTGCGAACGCACTTGTTCAAAGTGCAACCTAGGTGCATTCTCGGTCTGAATTGCGCATCTGTGAGTTCTTGTACCGTTATTTAACACGGAAATTTTGAAAAAAATGTACGACGATCGTAAAGTTCATCGTCACAGAGCGGAAAAGAAAATGATTTTTACGCTGGTCAGACGGAGCACGCGAAAATTAAAGAGCACGATGCACGTGCTACCTCTATGCATTTTGCAACGTTCAACTGATCGCGATAGCCGTTCCCCGACGAGTGCTCGATGAAATATTGCCGAACGTGTTACCAGACATCCTTTTGACTAGAATATTCGCAATGTTTTACAGGCCGAACACCTTCTGGCGTCATGTTTTTATCTCTGAAGAGAGAAACTTTTTAAGCTCGACAAATACGACTATGGTGAGTCAGCAAATTGAATTACTGATCTGTTTTTGTTGAAAGTAACGCAGAGAAAATTGTTTCGAAAAATTTTAGATCTAGAAGAAATTTGAAGATCTCTCGACTTACTTGCAAACTTAGAAGAGGAACAGGTGTATCCATCACCTCTGCCAAGCACAGAGCGATCATCATCACGATGATAAGTTGACCGTAGACATTCGATAGAACGATCCATAGCTGCGAACTGTAAGTAAAATCGTAAAAGTATATTACAAATTACTTTATCTAGAGATTCAGTCGACCAAAACAAAACAATTCTAGTTTTAATTTACGGAACACGCGAATTGAAAGCTCGCGCGATATCGTAATTCCGATTTCTCTTATAGATTTAACATGGGTATCGGTTTCTCCGATCATTGATCTCTGACCCTGTGATCGACTTGCAAAAAATGCTCAAAATTGATAATCTAGATTTTCAGTTAAAAGGTCAGAAAAATTCTTCGCTCTAATTACATAAATTAGCCAAAATTAGTCTTACAAGGGCTCAGAATGGTCCAGTAGATCGTTCGTAGAGCGTGTCTTAGATAAGATCCTAGAGACCAGAGACCTAGAAGGGACCGAGGTTCTCGTTGTCTCGACGGTAGTACCCTCGGTTTCAGGGTTTCTTTCACCCCTGTTAGGGGCACCCCCAGGTGCACCCTCCACCGTGCCACCCGTTGTGCTTCCCGTCTCGTTCAGGCTGTCCTTGTCGTTCTGTTCATTGCTGGCTGCAACATTTTTAAAGTCTTTCAAACGAATCATTTGCGAACAATTGTACATAGAAAAACAAAAAACTCGTCTTAATTAACTCCACTCTCTTTGGCCTTTTGGGTCAGTGGAGTGACACGCGTAACTTTCGCTACAAGAATTCGTACCTCCGCGGATTCGGTAGAAAGATTTCGATAATTTATAGCCAGCTTTAACGGAACAAATCGAAATTACGGGTGAAGAAAATGTTGGAGAAAACAAAGTTTAGAAAACGGGATTGCGATGGACCGAACGTATAATAAATCTCTCAGCAGAGATTCTTTTATTCAAAGACCATGATCCCTCAATTAGCGATTATGATCCCTCTAATAACAATAGGAGTAATTTCTTCGAAAGTCTATATGTATTCTTTTTATTTTTTTTTTTTCCGCCTACACGAGATACGAAGATGAGTTGAATAACTGATAATTAACGAGAGCGCGTTACCGTGTAATTAATTCCAGGGAAAATTTTACGTCTATCTCGACAGATAACAGTTCTACTTGATTAAATAAAATCAAACGATTCGGAATTAGCCTCGAGATGATTTAATTGAATGACGCACCGAAAATTAGATTAATCGTTCAATATTTTCACTTTCCTCCCGTTTCAATATTTATGAAAGGAACTCGAGAAACCTGCGCTCGATCGACGAGAATCGCTAATCTCGAACCTATTCAAATTCCTCGAAGATCTGAAAAATGATATTAAAGATGGACGTATCTGAAATCCCGTGAAATGAAAAACGATCCACGATGACTTTTCTCAACAAGGTTCGCGGTGATCCATTACAAATGGACAGCCATGGCTGCCGAGCGATGACCGGTTTTAATAAGCCTTTTCAAAGGGTAAAAGATGTTCCGTTATTTTCTAGTACCATCGCTTTGTGTCTGTCAAGGGGATATAATATTAATTGCAAAATCAATTCATGTGTCATTTTGAATATGAATTATGGGCGCATAATTTATAAAACGTCATTAATGATGCAAGAAGGGATGTTACGTGATTTGTTTAGCGATTTTAATATAAAATTGATATATATATTTCAAGTGAAATTTCTGATCCGGTTGGTAGGAAATTGGGTCGCGGCGAATTTCAGCTGTTGCGGTTTACCGTCATTACATCGTTGGAGAATTGCAGAAAAAGCAAGTAGAAACTCGTCTGTCAGCTGGTAGAAGGATTCGAGAGATTCACGTTCTTCCTGTTCTTGCAAAAAGATCAGTCTGAACTTTTATTCGTAATCGTGGCTATAAATCACACGCCAATTATTTATAACGAATCATCGACGATTCACGATTAATATTAAATTGTATATAAGAAATTGATCGTTTGGTATACGATAACGATATTCAAGGTTTACCTCGTTTATACGTTTTTTGTCAAAAGAAGACGATAGCGTTGACGGGTACCCTCGAAACACCGTCCATGATGAAGAATCGACAACTTTTCTGAAGAGATAACAAGGAAGAAACGCTCCGGACACTATCGCGAAACAGAATGCCAAGTAACCCAGAAGAGAACATCTTCCAGTGGATACAAAATGATGGTGGTGGCGATGATGGTGGTGGTGGTCACCATGATGTGCATGATTATGTCGATGATGATAATGAAGATGACCAGGAGGACGATGATGATGTTCGTTTCTTTTAGCTTCGTTCAGCTTACGTTGCTTTTATTTTCACGTCGAAGAAGACTGAAATCTTTTTTTTTTTTTTATGGAATTGGAAAACGACCTGGAAACCATTTTTTCTTTGAAATTTCAGAAGAAGTTAATTACTTTCCTAAAGTTAGATTGCAACTTTTATTTTATTGCAATGTAGGAATACTGGAGAAAATTAGCAATTTCGCAATTTCAGAGGACACTTTGCGATTTTGCAAATCGCAAAATCGCGATTAACACTAGATTGCCGGATAAATAGATTTTTGGAATGGGAAGGAAAGGAATTAGTTAAAAACCAACATGTTTTTAAAAAAAATAATTTAAGCAATAAAATCGTAAATGAGTCAAATTGACTCGCTCCGGCAATCTGGTGTTAATAGTTCGTCTCGTAGAGCGTGGCTAGGTAATTAGATAACTTATTACGGCATTATTATTAACCGAGCTACTCGTGCCACGCTACCAGAACGAGGGAAAAAAAATACACTGCAACCACCTGTCGCATCAATTATATCGTCCCTCTCTAATTCACGCTAATATGTCTGTGCGATAATTTTTCAAAGCCTGGCGAGTACCTTGTACGAGTACATCGCATAAATCTGCAAAATTAATAGCCAAGAGGAGACTTGAAATTAATGTATTGTAAATAAGTGTATAATGAAACATTAGAATTTAGAATTTAGAATTTCATCATAATGATAGATAGGGGTACTACATCATATCAAAGGTGATAAAGATAGATCATTACCACGATCCTAAAAAGTTTAAATCGGTCATTTAATCTTCATCTTCTCCAACGTGTTTATTTTTTTAGCTGATTTTAATCATTGCAGATTACGTTTGTTTTTTCTTGTTTTTTTTTTTTTTCCAAAAGGATAACGACAACTCTGTCCCTGCACAGCTGCATACTTCTTTTGATACTTCAGCCATGCGAGACTAATCGCCTCATTTTACGGCACATGAAACTAAACGGCTCCTTTACCGTAGCAGAAAATGATGACTGTAGTCTTCTAATTTGATATTCCTTCGATTAATCTTTGGAATCCCATCGAAAAATGATCATTTGATTTTCGGGGCAAAGTGGTTGTAGTTAGATAAGTAAAACTATCTCTTAAAAATGACAATGCTATCTCTAACATCTTTTATAGCGATCTGACGTTCATTCGAAATAGACACACGCCATATGGGCAGTGAGAAGTTGAACAAAATCCTGTGTAACATTTACCATGATATTAAACGGTATTCTTGATCTTGACAAGCATCGCGTATCAAATGCCAAACGTTTAACTGCGCTTTAAAGTGCAAACGATTATTAACGGAAAGAAAACAGACGTTAATCGCGATACAGAATTAAAGTCTTTTTATCTTTTCAACGAGCCTGGGTAAACATATGTTCGCGAAAAACTATCAACGCAAAATATACGTGAAAAAAAATGTATGTATACACCTCGTAAGAATTTCACGTGCGACTTGGTTAGAAACTCTTTATTGAATAATTCATTCGTACCTCTGTGTTCAACGATGCATCGATAACAAATCAATGTGTAATTTATAGTAGAAAGAATTCAACCGCTACTGGTTATTTCCGTGAAAAATGTACTTTCCTTCTTGTAGAAGAATTTCTCTTCAAAATTATCGCGACAGATAATTCATCTAACGCGGGACAATAAAAAAAGCAATCGTTAATTACGAAAGCCAAAACTTGATCTCAGATTGATCTCACTTCGATGATTAATGATTTCGTTGATAGCAGGTATGAAACGGAGTGCAAAGTGGAACGTGAAAGTAAAGGGTCATCGAAGACAAAACCTATGATATCGCGTTGAGGCACAGAGAACGGATTCAAAAGACCCGACGACTTTTCTCCACTTTCTTTTCCATGAAACGAAATGCGCGTCGTTCAGTTTTGCGTCATTAACGATATAAACGACACAGAAAGACATTTGCTCGTCATGCGAGATCGTGATCGTGATCCGTGACCCAGATCCATCGGTGAATCTTCATTTTTTTCAAACGGATCCACAAACTTGTACATATTATTTTCCTTGAAATACGAAAGAAATTCACGTGCTTGGAAAAGTTATCAACGATAAAATCTCACTTTTCTCGAAGTTATAAAAATTCTTGATTCCGCGTTTAAATTCAATAATAATACCGGAAGTAGTTATCTCATATTTTCCATGAAGAATCAAGAGATCTATGATACTGAACGTAAAGCTTTTACACCGTGAAAGAGAGGAAACAAAACGAGAGGCAGAAAAACAGCGAAAGTTGATGTCTATTCATTCCCACAAAATACGATAAAAAGTAATTGAGCTGTGAGATTCATGAGAGCCGTTTAACGTTTCCGTATACGATATTCATTCAACTAGCAACATTTCTACGTAAATCCTTGATCGTAAGATGTAATATAGATATATAAAATTAATTTTCCAAATTTTTAAGTAACTCCGAGGTAAGGAGGGCAGTGAACGTTCTCCACACCTTCGGACTAAATCCTGAACAGTCGGGCCAGCCAATTGCAATACCGTTATTCGATGAAACGAATTAGATATTAGCAGTGACTGCAGAGGAATATTGGTCAGTCGACTAATAAAGACACGTCGCACGTAGCCAGACAAAGGCTCGACAAAGCACACCACGTCGTATCTACCGCTAGGCTGCTTCTTTTCGTACGATACCGTACGATGGCTAACGAGCAACTTGCATACAAATTCCAGACGTCTTAATAAACGAAACCGTGTCGCGTGTGAAGGATATTTCATCATCCACTCCATAATGAAAATCTTTTATAGTAATTACTCTCTTTAATTAATAATCAAACGATCTCTCTCACCCTTCTTCTCCTTCACCAAAGATGTAGAAATAGTGGAAGTATCATCGGGCACATCAATCGCTCTCTCTTCTTTACCAGTGAGAATTTCACTGAAACTACCCTTAGATTCGTCCTTAGATTTCGATATCTCCTCAGTTTTATTATACTCGATGGTACTCTGATCGTCGACCTGTTTCCATTCGGACGTCTCCTTATTGTCTACCTCCCCGGTGAACTCTTCGAGGCCAGGAATGTCACGAATATCGGGTACCAAGGTCTCCTCGTCTTCCTCCCTGATCCTCCATTTCGCTCTCTGACGATGTTCCTTGGTATCGTTCTCCCGAGCAGCTATTTCACTCACGGAATCGACCACCTCTTCGACCAATTCCTCTTCCTGAAGCATGTACTCTCTTCTTTCGTTCGGATTCTGATAAACTCGGTAAGGTCCGACTAGACCAACGATTCCTCGAGGCATGGAAACGGATCGTGGTAATTGATCGTGATCTCCAGGATGATTCGTGTACATTTCACCGTGAGTAAATAATCGTCGTGGTTCCGGGAGCTGTTTCGAAGCGATTTGCAACCACTTTCTCAATTCCTCTTGTCGCGAACAAGTCTTCTCTTCGGAGGAGCCTTCCTTGATGGGATGAAGGCTTCTTCTCTCGAAGAAGCCGCCGGTTTCCGATGGTAAACGAACCTTCTTAGGCTTCCTTACCACGCTGTAAAGAGGATCTTCATCTTCTACCTCTTCAGCCGTCGGTTTATCTCCTCTTTTATCGCTCTTCACCGCGCTGATCACCACCACCTTCCTTTTTACACCTACGGGTAAATCGTACCTAGGTACCACACGTTCGTTGCTGTCCAGCACGCTGTAAATCGGCTCGCGAGTCGCCGTCTGGATCCACCTAGGTCGGTTCCTTCGCCTGGCAGAGGATCGAAGCTTCCCTGGGTCAACCGTAGGTGTTTTTCGTTCTACGCTCGCAATCGGTATGTCCGTCAGTTCGGCCACCATTGTCGGATGCGACGATTACGATCTAGGTGATTGGGTCCGCCGGATGTCACGATCAATGCGTGACGAACATATTCGAAGACGGTGGATCGGTAATTGGAAGATTTAGATACTAAACGTGTCGATAAGCTCTAACTTCAACCACGAGATTAATTTACATTGTTTCTTATTCCCAAGAGTTCCTCCACCGAACGGGTTGCACACCCGATCGACCACAAAAGGCAAATGTCGTTTCTTGGCTTTGGTTTAACCAGAAACAATTCTTCGTCGACGTGGAGGTGGCTGGAGGTCGATCGTATGGATCTGGCTCTCGTTCGTGACCAGGATGACGAAAAAGGTTTCACATCCATCGTGGCTTTTTACTTAAAATTTACTTCGATTTTCTTTTAAATTCCCAAAAAGATTTTCTCGTTTCATTTGCAAATGGTGAATAAAGTATCGAATCATCCGGTGCCTTATGTTTGTAATGTCGCTACGGTAATACTAATCTAAACGCAGAGATTTGTCTGTACGATTTACGTTTCATTATCAATGTTCATTCGTGGTCGTTTGACATATGCATCAGGAGGTGTTTCACCTTGGGCAAGAACCAACTGTTGTCATCGGAAAATTGCGGATAGTAGCAAAGGACCGTTAACTTTGAAGAAGGAAGATCGTAAAGGTGGAAGCATGCTTTTCTCTCGCGTGAGAACACCGTACGCTTCCAAGCCCTTTTATTATCCGAGACGAAGACGCGCGTCTCCAACAGGTGTTAGAGGTCGAAGCGTTCTGCTGCTCGATAATAATCGTTGCCTCGTACCATGGCAAATTCTTACACGTTTATCTTTAGGCGAATAGTTGAACACACGATATACCGCTAGAAAAATTGGTAAATGTCAACCTTTGGAGAAACTCGCGTCAGTTGCATAGGGGAAATTATAGTGCGTCAATTAGTTGATCGGAGGAAATTAGGGAGCCTATTGTTATATGTCGATCTTTATCCAAAAGTAAAGGCTAGAATAATTGGTAAACGTCAACCTTTGGAGAAACTCGCGTCAGTTAAATAGGAGGAATTATAGTGCGTCAATTAATTAACCACCTAGATCGGAGGAAATTAGGGAGCCTATTGTTATATATCGATCATTATCCAAAAGTAAACGCTAGAAAAATTGGTAAACGTCAACCTTTGGAGAAACTCGCGTCAGTTGCATAGGGGAAATTATAGTGCGTCAATTAGTTGATCGGAGGAAATTAGGGAGCCTATTGTTATATGTCGATCTTTATCCAAAAGTAAAGGCTAGAATAATTGGTAAACGTCAACCTTTGGAGAAACTCGCGTCAGTTGCATAGGGGGAATTATCGAGCGCCATTAGTAGATCGGAGGAAATTAGGGAGCGCGCTATTGTTATATGTCGATCTTTATCCAAAAGTAAAGGCTAGAAAAATTGGTAAACGTCAACCTTTGGAGAAACTCGCGTCAGTTACATAGGGGAATTATCGAGCGTCAATTAGTTAACCACCTAGATCAGAGGAAATTAGGGAGCCTATTGTTATACGTCGATCATTATCCAAAAGTAAACGCGTGTAATTCAATTAAAAACGTGTAACAGAGAGATTTAATCGCACGGTACTTACAACTATTGAAATCACACCGTGACTCTGAGCAAAGATTCGCTCTGTTAAAGACGTGGTAACTGTTATTCTCGTTTTCTATTTGATAACAAAAGCTTTTTTAGCCTCGAGATTCGGGTCGGAGTTTCTCTCTTTCTCTTTCGAATCCTCAGGAAGAAGAAAAGCGAAGAATCGGAGAATGATTCTTCGGGTAAGCGAGTACTTTAAACGAGAGTGAAGTTGAAGCATACGTATAAAAAGAACAGGAATAAAATCGTCACGATCGTAACGGATAGATCGGTGATCGAAGACGAATCGTTACAGGATCATTGACAAACGTGTTTTTTCATTTTAGTCGGTGAAACACCGAAGGAGAAACCTCTAACGATTGGGGACACTGTTGTACAAAATCCGAAAGACGACCTGTTAGAAACTGGACATTGAAAGACTTTCAGAAAATTCTGAGGAACGCGTATATCGTTTATGTTCTTCTCGAGGTAATTTTCATCCATTACTTTCGACGTTTACTTTCTCGATACTCTTCGTTTAAAGAGCAGTTTTTATCGTTAGCGAAGAAGCATTTCGAATATTGATAATATTCTTTTAATAGTTAGCGATGTATCAAGATTATTTCTATTCAGGGCCGGCTCCGAAAAGTAGCTCAAATAAAATTTATAATATTAACATTAAAGCTTGGATAACTAATTTAGATTTGCATTTACATCGATTAATATTCAAGAAAACTACTCTTCTTGCAGACGCAAAATGTTTCTATCCCAGCATTGAAATCTCCAGCAGTGCGTATTACATATAAATAGTAGCATTATACATATAATATTATAAATGTAAACTTTCTATTTCGTCTCCTTTCTATCTTAATAGAATATCTAATATCAATTTATCGGTTAGTTTAATGTTGAAATAAACAAGAAATTGAACGCGGTGATCAGCGGTAGATCGTTTCGGTAGATTTATTTGATAGAGGCGATCGATCGCGCGCGAGTAAGCAGAAATTTTGAAAACAAGAGTTAAAAGTTTAGAGTTTAAAGTATAATGGATAGAATTCACTCTAGCCCGATTATTTTCACTTCCGTGGAAAAGAAAAGGGAAAGTACCGAGTCGTTTCAGAACAAGAAACCGTGCTCTGCCGAACGCGTGCAACATGCGTAAAGAAATTCACGTGATTCGTTGAATTATACTCGGTAGACAATGTTTATTCGGTAGAAGATGACAATATTATTATTATTTGCAAATTTAACACCTTGATAATCTTCTACTTACTTGATTTTCCAGAATTACATTCCTGAATAGGTTGAAGATTTCGTGACATCGTTAAACTGATTGTTTTCCTTAAATCACAAGTTCACTAAACACCCCCGTTGAAGGCATACGTTAAGTTATTTCGATGTCCATCAAAAGTTTCTACCACAACGGATTCTGTCAGGATATCTTAATTTCTGACATTCTGACGAGATATCTTAAAACGTCACATTTTCCTTCAAACTTTTCTTCGTTTAAAACATGCATGAATTCTTAAGTTATCAATCTTTGATTCTCTTTAATCCCCCCGTTCCTTTCGTTATAAACTTTACAATACTCTAGCAGTAAATGATAAATTTGTAATGAAAAAAAAAAAGAAAAGGTATAGAATATTGAAACGTCAAATCGATGCACATCACTTGACGCACGTGCACTCTCGGTATAAAAGCAGAAATCACGTGCAAACTGGTTCACGGAGGAACGACCTCTAAAGTTAATACTTCCGATTCCCTAACTAATATAGATGGTTGACCTTCGGAAAAATGGCGGCACTCGTGGACTCTTCGTGGCCACGACTATACTGGACTACGATTCCAACGATGAACCGAGTTAACTCCCAGAACTTAAGTTCTGGGTAGGAAAAGCGTATACACGCTTGGTTGTTTCGATCTTCCTCGATACATTCTCTCCTCAACATCAGAAAGAAAGAAAGAGAGAGTGCACGTATACATGCAAAGAACGCGCTCCTGTGAGTGTGAGCTACGTCTCGCAGAACCCTCCTCTGGATTTATTTTCTCCTCCTTCTTCTCGGAGCCGAGTTAAAGAGCGAGAGATTAAAACTACAAGAGAGAAAGTCCTACAAATGATCATGATACAGCTACAGAAAACATTTAATAAGTGTTAATAATAACGCATTTGAGTTATAAAATCTTACACTTTTTTATTGACAAGTCAGGAAACATCGTTTAAATAATATTTCTTACATCAGTGGTCCAGAAAAACTGTAAATAGATATATTTTTGAAAGCTTGATTTGTAGCGTTGCGATTACTCTAAATTAGATTAACAATAAGTGATTGATCAGGCCAAAGCTACTTCCCATAACTTTCATAATAGCTCTGTCTTTATTATTTTCTAAATCAATATACTTTCATGATATTTAAAAAAGTATTATTTATCGTATCGAATACAAATACAAAAAGTATCCGTACTTTCAAAACATTGACCATACAAGAAAAAGGGAATAAATTAAATTATTGAACGTGTTATAAACATAAATATTTATATAAAAGATCAATGTTCCTATTAAGATCAGTCTTATTTATCCCTGATCTTGTAATGTTCAATGTTAATTGTCAAATGAAACGTTCTGCAAAAAAACGAATACCTAACACTGCAATCTTCTCTAAGAGTAAAGTTTCAAAAGGCATTGTTTTATAGATAATCCGATAATATTTCACTGTCACTTCTTTTTAGAACCAAAACCTGAGAAACCCATTATTGCTGCCATTTCATCAGAAGGTCCACCATTGTCATCACTGATTTCTTCAATTTTTCTTTTTTTATCTTTTCTCTTCTCTTTTCTGTATTCTTTAATTTTTTCTTCCTATAAATAATACGAATAATCCTGTTAACTAATTGAACATGTTTATAAAAAGCTACATGCAAAAAACAAAACAAACCTCTTCCTTCAATTCTTTTACTCTTTGCTCTAAATCATAATCTTTCTTTTTTTCTTCCAGTTTCTTTTTATTCATTGCAAATCGGGCTTTAACTTGCTCCAATGTAGATCTTTCGATCTTCATTGACATGCCCAAATTACGCTGATCTAAAAATACAATATAACAATTTAACATCATTAAAATATTGCTTATAACTCTAAGCATAATTGATTACGTTTTGTTCCATTGATGTGGTCTAAGAAATTAATTGAATCCTTCACAACACAATCGCAAACATTACAATAGTATCTGCAAACATAATAATTGTATATTATAATCTTTATGTTCATATCATTTTGCTTAAAGAGTTTTAAATTTATCTTTACCCTCCAGTCTGAGAAGATGGTGTGTTTTTATTAATAACAACACTTTTCCCTAATTTAGATTCAAGGTCAACTTTATAATCTCGTTGTTTGAGCAATTCCCTTTTTACGGCTGGTTGTTTGGGAATGCCCAATTCTTCTTCAGCAATTTCATCCTGGAGACGCTGAAGTGCTATTCTTTCGTACTCTTCTCTGTTCCATTTTCTTCTATGATCATCTGGACGCTAAAAATAAATTAATTAAAGTAGAAATACAAAATGTACAAATTCCTATCAGTTAGCATTAAAAATTTCAGAAGTTTCTCTTTATAATATTAAAACTTCCTAAATAATATATATTATAAATTATATTTGTAACCTATTGATACATTTTTTAATCTTTCTAATCATTCTAATTTTTCTAAATCTTGTACAATTAAAATATCTGTATTAATATTATTCCAATCAGGAACTAGGGTTAGAAAATGTGTCAAATGATACTTTTAATAATTATTATCTTCATTAGTGTTATAGCAAAAACAAATGTTAATGTAAAATTCATGTAAATATAAATCACTTCAATTCTTACCATAGACATTGTTGAAGTTTTTAGTTTCAATCAAGTTTCTTACGCGTAAAAAACAAACTGCCCTCTCTTCTTTGCTTACAGTAGTAAGGTAAGAGCATGCTCATATTACGTGTTTCAAATGTTCATAAATTTACTTAAATATTATTAAAAATTTATTTATAAATATGAAATATGGCAATGGTTATTATAACGCTATATTATTATGTAGTATTTACTATACTATAATAACCATTTACAAATTATAATTCGTCGTATGACAGTTATGGTCTCTCAGTGAATGAATAATAGGAATTTGTATTTAATCTTTAAAATATGAAAGAAATTGTACTAATTTATTTACAAATTTATAGATAAGTATATTAGAGATAGTAAAATCAAAATGAAATAATTTCCAAAGTAATATGTATTCTATATTCAAAAATACATTTGTACAATTTTTATATACCAACATTGTTAATCTTATATGCATAACATCTTTTATTCATCAATTTAAAAATTGATAACAGATAACTTAACATCAAGATCCATATCTTTCTAAAGTTAAAACTGAACTGATCTACACATATAATAAAGTAGAATATTCAAACATTTTTCCTATTTTATTAAAGCTTCATTGAATGACTGAATAATTAAAAAATTTTGAAAACAGAACTTCATTAGCACCATGTTACTTATGTCCATTTACTAATATATAAATTCTATAAGATAAATACATAACATCATTTATATCAGAAAAACAGTAATCACTAATAGATTTCACAAATAGAACATTTATATAACGTCAAATAAACTAAAAATTTCTCTGCAACATTGACATAAAACTATCATATAACTATATATAAACATAAATACATTTCTATTATCACAATAAGTTTTTCTTTTTTTTAATAAAACTCTGAGTAAAAATTACTCATAGAATTTTACACGAGGCAAATAAGTAACAGATAATAACAAACTATATCTAAATATTAAGTCATTAACATTATTGTAATAAATCTGGTGGAACATTTGTTGGTAATATGACTCCAAGTCTTGTTACCATAAAGGATGCTACTTTGCAACCATATTCCAAACAATCTTTTGGTTCCCAGCCAGCTAAAACACCTGCTAAAAAACCAGCTACTAAAGAATCACCAGCACCTGTTGTATCTACAACTGGAGTTTTCGGTTTAAATGGTTGTACCTAAATAAAATATAGTACAATCATTAGTCAACCCTTTAATCTACAGATTGATCTTTGTAAATGGTTGAACAAATTGACCTACTTGAACTGAATAACCTTTCCCATAAACAGCAATTGCTGGTGCAGATCCACCTTGGGTCATAACAAATACTCCACCGCGAGACCACCAATTTGTATACACACTGTAAACATTAACTGCTATTCTTTTAAGACTATTTAGTAAAAATGGTATGTCAGTTACATCGTCGTATGTAATGTTTAATGCTTGAGCCAAAGCTTCCATTTCTCTTGAATTTCCAAACACAATGTTTGCATGTCCAACCATTTCACATATTGCTACATGATGATCCTATAAAAATCAATATAATACTGTTGTTAACATCATGTTCGTTATATCTGTATTAGTGTATCAATTTAGAATCAAAAAATATTTATATACATTAAATATATATACTCCACTCAGGTTAAAAGCTACAATTATATTCCTTTGTTGTGCCTGTGTAACAAGTTCTTTTGCTACAGAAAAACTGTGAGTTATAAAAAATCCTTCAATATAAATTATTTTTATTTTATCTAATGACAGATTGCATCTTTTGAAGTCATCTGTAGTATATACACCAGCAGCACCTATATTTGCAACAAGGCTACGAGATGATTCATTTATCAGTGCTATACACTGTCCAGTAGGTAAAGTTGAATGAATTGCATATCTGGAAAAAGATGTATTTACAAAGATCTATTGTATGAAAATTAAAAAAAAAAATTGAGAACATTGCAAACCTTGTATCCACACCTGCTGATCTCACTAAGTTCTTCAATGTTGTTCCCTTTGAATCATTTCCAAGTCCTCCAGAATAAATACCATACCGCTTTTTAAAAGTTTCATCACAAAGCCATTCTAAAATTCGCATTGTGTTTTGTGCTGATCCTCCTGCACTAATTGTAGGTTCTGATCTATTTCATATATCATTAATGACATCATTAATATTTGTAATATTATTTAGAATAATAATGAATCAAGGTAATCAAGAACATTTGCAAATAAATATTAGTATAATAATGTTTACATTGTATATACCTTTTACACAAAATATACAGTTGTAATTCTATATTTGTTTTAAACTAATGAAATAAAGTAAATGATACATACATTTGTATAAACTATATACAATGTAAACACTTCATAATTATTAACAAATATACTTATTAACTCTAGTTGTAAGTCTGCCATTAATTCCTGCATTTTTTCTTCTGTAAGTTCAGTTTCTCCATCTATTGTAAGATTATGTTTTTTTAGTAAATCCTTGTTTTTCAGAAATACAAAAGCATCCAGCAAAGGATTGCCAAGAGCTACAACTGCAGGAACATCCAACTTCGCAATAGCTTCCCTCAGTGGAATTTTTTCAAACATTTTTATTTGTACTTTAAATATACTGTAATATAAAAAAGTTTAAAATAATTTTTAAAGTATATATACATTACTTTATAATTATAAAGATTTCGCTTATGATGTACTCTACCTTTATACATTAGACAAAAAAGGTAACAGTAGAATTGTAGAACAAATAATTATGACAAGCAAATATTACAGATGACTAAATCATTTATTGCTTAAAAATGCTGTAAATAAATATTAATAAATATTAATATATTTCTTCAATATTTACATTATAGTGGTATGAATTTTAAAAAGACTTTTAGGTAACAATGTTCATTTTACACTAAAAAAATATAATCATGAAAAAAATCAATATATTTTATACATTTTGTATACTTTAACCACAAACAAGGTGTAGAAAAGACCTTTCACGTGATGCATGTTGTGTTTGTTCAAGGAATTTCTTATCATTTTCATGTCACATTCTACTGTACCGATTTAGACAGAATTACATTACAGTACTGTAGCCCAATTGGAGTCAATTTTCATATTTGAATGTATTTATCTTCCTTCTTTCTAAACCTGTCTTATAAACTTGTATAACGTTGTAAAAATGAATAATTTCTTATTTGTATTTCTTTTCAGGTATAGTTTTGAAGCAATTAAACTATCTACTAAAAATGTAATTATCGTTGCACGTGGAATATCACATTAACCTTACAAAGTAGACGCACAACCTAACACAACAAGATTGTGTTGAAATTAAAATTTAAAAAGGAAAAAGAATATTTTACTACTTAAAGATGGTGCGTAAGAAGATAGATAACCGCATTCGCGTTTTAATAGAGAATGGTGTTAATACAGGACACAGAACACTGTTCATTGTTATTGGAGAAAAAGCAAGGGATCAGGTTGGTGAAAGTTATTATATAGGTTTGTGAATTGTGATTGAGAACAAAAAATATAATTAAATTGTTTTCAGATTGTTCTGCTACATCATATGTTATCAAAATCTGTTGTAAAAGCCAGACCTTCTGTACTTTGGTGTTATAAAAAAGATCTAGGATTTAGTAGCCACAGAAAGAAACGAATGAAGTCTATACAAAAGAAAGTTAAATCAGGGAAATTGGATGTTAATGAAGATGATCCATTTGAATTATTTGTTGTCTCTACTAATATACGATATTGTTATTATCATGAAACACACAAAATATTGGGAAATACATATGGAATGTGTGTTTTACAAGTAAGATTCTTAGTTTTCCTCTTTATTACATTTCTTCTAAAATAGTAATCTAAATAAGAAATTACTTCTTTTAGGATTTTGAAGCAATTACACCAAATTTATTAGCGCGTACTATTGAAACTATCGAAGGAGGAGGACTTATTGTATTTCTTTTACAATCTGTGAATTCTTTAAAACAATTATACACAATGAACATGGATGTTCATCAGAGATTTCGCACAGAAGCACATCAAGTATATTATTAATCTTTATCTTTTTAACTTAAAGATAGTTTTAAATATTGCATTAATACTTTTCTATATTTTTTACTTTTCAGAATGTTGTTGGTCGTTTTAATGAAAGATTTTTATTATCTCTTGCTTCGTGTAAAAGATGTTTAGTTGTTGATGATCAGTTAAATGTATTACCTATATCATCGCATAATTTAAAAATCGAACCTGTGCAGAAATTAACTTCTTCTGAAGAGCAATCAGAATTAGATATCCTGAAAGAAAGTTTAAAAGATACACAACCTGTTTCTTCTCTTGTTAATTGCTGTAAAACAATTGATCAGGTTTGTATAGAAACTAATTCTAATAATACGTGTATATAAAAAAGATTAATAATAAATAAAATACGTAATAACAATTATGGCATTAAAATATTTTTAGGCTAAAGCACTGTTAAAGTTTATTGAATGCATATCAGAGAAAACATTAAGGTCTACTGTCTCTTTAACTGCAGCTAGAGGACGTGGAAAATCTGCAGCTTTAGGTTTAGCTATTGCTGGAGCTATAACATTTGGTTACTCAAACATTTATGTTTCAAGTCCAAGTCCTGAGAATTTAAATACTTTGTTTGAATTCGTCTTTAAAGGTAAATTATATATTGGAATATTCTGTTTTCAAATATTAAGTTTCAATGTGATTTTTAGGCTTTGATGGTTTGGGATACCAAGAACATCTTGATTATGGTCTTGTACAGTCTACAAATCCTGAATTTAATAAAGCTACTGTACGTGTAAACGTCTTCCGAGATCACAGACAGACAATTCAGGTAAAATACATTTAATATGTATGAAAATACAAACATAAATGTTATGAAACAAAGCCATTTTTTTCTTTTTAGTACATTCATCCTACTGATGCATATAAATTAAATCAAGCTGAATTACTTGTAATTGATGAAGCTGCTGCAATACCACTTCCTTATGTGAAAGCCATGCTTGGGCCTTATTTAATATTTCTTTCATCAACTATTAATGGGTAATTATAATATATTTCATATTTTCACCACCTTGAATCTTTTTATTCTTATTCAATCTTTTTAATAGATACGAAGGAACAGGTAGATCTTTATCATTAAAATTATTACAACAATTGAGAAGTCAGACTGTTGGTTCAAACAGTCATGAAAAGAGTGAAAAACAACAGAATGAAAAGACAGTTATTGGAAGGCAGTTGCATGAACTCACTTTAGAAGAATCTATTCGTTATAAGCCAGGAGATTCTATTGAACAATGGCTGTGTGATTTATTATGTTTAAATGCTACACATACACTTATATTATCTGGATGCCCGCCTCCTGATATGTGCCAGTTATATTATATAAACAGGTGATTTATTCGTTTATGTTAACTATAAATACTTGATAACATTTTATTCAACATGATAATATTTTGTCTTTACAGAGATACATTATTTTCTTATCATAAAGCGTCTGAATTATTTTTACAAAGATTAGTAGCTCTTTATGTTGCTTCACATTACAAAGTAAGTATTTTGATATAATACTTGAGAAATTTAAGATTATTTACACCTGGATAATGCTTTAGAATAGTCCAAATGATTTACAAATGATGTCTGATGCACCAGCACATCATCTTTTTTGCCTCTTGGGACCAATAGATTCAAACAAAAAATCATTACCTGAAATATTAGCTGTCATTCAAGTAAGTTTACATGACATAGAGATTACTGTAAATATAAACGTAAATTTAATTCTGTAGTTGTAATGTTTTTTCATAATATATAGATTTGCTTAGAAGGTGAAATGAGTAAAAATGCAGTGAATGATGGTCTTGTCCGAGGGCGCAAAGCAGCTGGTGATCTCATACCATGGGCTATGGCACAACAATATCAAGATCAAGATTTTCCAATGTTAGCCGGGGCACGCATTGTTCGCATTGCAACACATCCCGATTATCACGGAGTAAATTTATTTTATTATAATAGGTAAGGTGAAGGTTGACTTATATTTAATTAACAATTGTGTTATAGATGGGGTATGGCAGTCGAGCATTAGAATTATTGAAACAGTATTATGAAATGAAAATACTTAATATTAGCGAAGCACCCTTAGAAACATGCAACACAGAAATATCTAAAGTTGAAGATGAGAAAGTGAATTTGTTAGAAGAACAAATTGGTAATTACATTTTTTACACCATATCTCAAACTTGTGATTTTATTCTTATAATAAGAACCTTTCAGAACCTCGAGCCTCTCTTCCACCGCTTCTTTTAAAATTAACTGAAAGACGTCCAGAAAATTTGGATTATATTGGAGTATCTTTCGGTGTTACTGAACAATTAATGAAATTTTGGAAACGGGCTAATTTCGTACCTGTATATTTGAGGTGAATATTATTATTATTCATTATTATTATTTTCATAAATGAAATATCAATATGTTTATTGTCATCTTTTAGACAAACACCAAATGATATAACAGGAGAGTATTCGTGTATAATGTTGTATAAGCTAAATTTTGAACAAGAAGATAGTAAGTGGTTGCAAGCATATTGGAATGATTTTCGACGACGATTTATAAATTTACTTTCTTTCTCATTTAATTCGTATTCATCTTCGTTGGCATTGAGCATATTAATCAATAAAACGGTTAAGCCAGAGACTACAAGTTAGTATTTTTGTACATATTTTTCGATACAATTAACTTGATACTAATATAAGAGTTGTGTTGTTTCTTTTAGCACTAACAAAAGAGATTTTAGATGTATATTTTACATCTTATGATTTAAAACGTTTATCCATGTATAGCAATAATATGGCAGATTATCATTTAATAATGGATTTATTGCCATCATTAGCTCATTTGTACTTTTTAAATATGATGAGCGATACTCATCTATCAGCTGTACAATCGGTAATAATTATTACTTTAATGTAATTAATAACTTTTGACGGGTATCTATTTACAAAGTAATATTTTTATTTACAGGCCATTTTATTAGGGTTAGGTTTACAACACAAAACTGTTGATAAATTAGCAGAAGAATTAGATTTACCATCATCACAATTACTTGCATTATTTAATCGCATTATACGGAAATGTGTACAGTATCTTAATGGAATAGCGGAGAACTTTATTGAGAGTACTATGATGAAAATCCAAACGAGCAATGAAGATGTCAAATTAAATCCTATCAATGGGAAAAGTTTGCATGATGAATTAGAAACTGCAGCAAAGGTTTCCTAATCTTTAAAAAAACTTGATAGTATTTTTTGAATATAAACGTAAAATTATGTACTTATTATTTTATTTGCAGGAATTGAAAGCAAAACAAAAGGCTGAATTAGAAAAATTGAAAAGAGAAAATTTAGAACAGTATGCCATCAAGGGATCAGAAACTGAATGGAGTAATGTACTTTCTGGAAAGAAAGCTAAGAATCTTATATCTATAAAAAGTGGTGAGAAAAGAATATCAGAAGATGACAGTGCTTTGGAACGTCCAAAGAAGCAGTACAAAAAAAAGATAAGACGTTCTTTTAAAACTTAATGAACGTAAAATGTTTTTACATATATATAACAAAATAAACAAGAAATAAATATTGTTGTATTATTTATTTTTCTTTATCAAATATCATTATAGAACATTAGTTATTGTCAATCAAAAAAATTATTATCTACTATGTATTTTACACACTGACAAATTAAATTCCTTTCGTGCTGTATAGATCGTGAAAGTAGTTTTTGTAACAATTGTGAGGTATATGGTTGTTTCTTGTTTATCTCACATTTTTGTTTTTTATTTTTTAAATCCCGATTTGATTCAATATTTTGTTTCTTTTTAGATTTAAAATCTTTAGACATCAATTTTTCTGACGACTGAGGAGCAGGTCGTTCTTGTATATTTACACTTGATTGCGTATTATGGATAATTTCATTTTCATTTTTTTTAATATCATTTTCTTCTACTGTCAAATTATCCAATTTTTCTCTCTTAATTGGTACTTCTAGAGGGCCATTGCCTATAAATAAATACAGTAATAATAATACATGAGATTACTTAATATAAGTAACAAATTAATTGTAAATACTTAAAACTTACTTTCTTCAGAACTACTTTCATAATTTGCTACTAAATTAGGTATGTTCAAAGTAGTAGTCACAGATTCTGATGATGTAGTAGGTATTTCTTCTTCATCAGAGATATAGTTGATATTTTCCTCAGGTACATTTTCAATAGTTTCATCAGTCTTACTTTCTATCTGCAAGTTAGTATCCCGTAAATTCGCTGAAAATTTTATTCATATAAGAAGCATATTTCAAAAATTAAACTGTAGATAATTTACTGCTTGAATGCTTACACGTTCCACAGAATTCAGGTAAACCTCTATATGTTTCCTTTTGTTGAATGGTATTGCTAATTTCAGTAGGTTGTTTTTGTACTGTTCTTTTTCGATTGCGAGAGCGTAACAACTTTTTTCTTTTATGCTGCTTGGTAATATCTTGCTTTTGTTTTATTATTTCTCCCCTTTGTGTTTTTTCCAATTTTTCCGCATTTCGTAATTCAATGTTAACTTTTGTAGGATATCTCCTGTAATACAATTAAAAATTATATGTTATAATTTCCAGTTGTTTTTTCTTCTGTTTATTTCTGTTATAACTTACTTTTTCCGTTCCATTATCCATTTTTCAATATCTTCTGGAGTTGATATATTTTTTATTTTATGATACAAACCAGTACTATGCTGCATTGCTATATGTTTTTCAACAAGCAATGGATAAGCAGAAAAAGTACATCCATCGATACCACAAAATTTATGTTCTTGTTTATGTTTAGAAAGAGCATCCTCTGATGAAAAGTCTTTATCGCATACTTCGCAATAAAACGATTCATCATCCTCTGAACTGGTATCATTTATATCTCTCTGATCATAAGGTTCCCCATCACTTGGATAAAGATGAGCCTAAAAACGGTTACTTCAAATATCTTTTATACACTATTTATACCGAAATTCAATGTAAAAATACTTCTTAGTAATTATTATTTATAAGTAACAATGATTGGTATTTTACTACTTTTAGATGATTTTTGTTCCGTACCTTCATTTTTCAATTTTACCAATTCTTGTTAATATTATACAATGAATTGTCTATTTGAAAATTGAAAAATAATGTATCTTTTAAGTAATTTCTTAAGGTATAATAACTTATACATTTTCTTATACTTTACATATACAGAAATTGTACATTAAGTACTTTATCACCGGAGTATTTAAACTTACATGAAAAATGTAACAAATTAATAAAAATGATTGACTATGTGCATTGTATTTATAATATTATAGAAGTATTTTTTCACGATCTTTTAAACAAAACTGTTACTTGATATACACATCAAATATGTTTAAAAAATATAATTACTTATGTTAGATAAAAATAATTGTTTCATTTTAAGATGTTTTCCAGGGTATTCAGAAATTCATTTTCCAAGTGTATTAAAATACTAGAAACAAAAATGTCTTATCAATGTTTTTTAAGTCAATTACTAGCATCAATTAAGATTTTGTTTATAATTGCCCAAATAAAATATTTTGTGATAAACACAATATACTATATACAATACACGATACAACTTAAATAGCATATAAAAGTTTTCAAATGTAGAGTTTGATTGGATATATATACGTTATGATACTGAAATTTAGAAGACATACTAAATTTCTATTGTGAACCGCTCAAAATAATATATTTAATATGTAAATAGTATATAATCTTCTTACATGGCAATATAAAATATGTGCAATTGATAAACAATTTTAGAAAAATAATATCTACACAAAAGTTACTTGCAAAAAATGGAGGAACATCAGTTTCATATTTCAGAACGATTATTCAACGCATATGCAATAGTAATTGCCTTTCTTTCAGTGGTTCACAAAGTAATTGGAAACACCAGATTTAGAACTTATAGAAATACGATTTATTCTTACAATACGCATCTTAATTACAAATTTATGTCCTTTTTGAATTTATATTTTGTGGAAGTCGTGTATCATTGAAATTAATAAAATGTATTCAGTACTACGACACATAATAACAAAACAATTACAAAAATTGACATATACTAATACAGAGCCACAAGCTATCTAAACATTTTATTCTGGTTTATTATATAAATTTTACTTACATATCCAATAGAACATAGATCATTTTATCATATAACTTTTAATTCAGAATGTTATAGCTTACAGCACTGTACTGGCCAAAGAGCAATTAAAGAGCTTGATATAATTATTTCAAGGCCAGTCCTTATTTAACTTGAGAAAAGAAATAGATATTTAATATTTCTACCATGGAAAATATGCACGAAATATACAAAATCTTACATTCATAAGCATGTAATTAAGTATGAAAAAAAAAATTTTCTTTATATAAGTATTACACGAAATAAGACAATATCTATTATTTAAATATCTTTAACTATATAAACTCTATTCTTCCCGAATTTGTCTTGTTGTAATAGTTTAACAGCATGCACTTATATTATAAATGCTAATGAACTTATATTGCAAAATAATGATAATCTACAAATGATGGAAAGTGGAAATATGAAAAATTAAGAATGATACAGATATCTTAATAGCAGTATTTTCAACATACTGCATGTTAGAATAAGGAATCAAATCGTTCTGAAGTTTGAAAACAGAATACTTGTGTAATTTGACTGTTCAATTCTTTATAGGAGGAGTAGCCTGAAGCTTAAGACTGTGCCTGTTTGCTGGAAGGCTGCGTCTCCTCCTTTAGCTCCATTTGCTCTGATTGCTCAGTCGCATTCTCAGTTTTCTGAACACCCTCGGATTCAATCGTATTCTTATCATCTGTTTTTTGACCACCCTGTAAGCAAAGCAATTTATCAACTTCGATTGAAATAAAATAAAATTAAGTACATAGTGTACTAGTTAATGAAGCATTGTAAATGATGCTTACTTTGAATATAAGTAATATTATTAATTTTATTTCAGTAAAACAATTTAACAATATTTCTTATATTCTAGATTTAAATTGATTAATTTGTATATTAACTATAAATTAAAAACAAAAAATCTGATTTTATATAAAGTATAAACATGTATATAAAAACCTTCTAAAGTTAGTTAAATGTTATGTGTTATAACATCTTCAGACCTAAAACATATTTTTAAATACTTACTATAAATGACTGGAAAGTAAAGTGAATGTTTTATTTTATCTACGATAAAGGATACACCAAATACAGTCCTTTAAGTATGTTTCATATGAATAGAGAAATTTAAGGTAAAAACACTAATTATATTTAAAACATAGCAAATTACTTATTTATACAGGGTGGTCTACTTTTTTTCCACATACAATATTTACAAAAAGATTTTAGTATATTACTTATTGATTCAATGAACCTAAAATTAATGTTTAGTACAATTCTTTTCATTATACAATAGTTAAATATTAAGAATACAAATTTTGTATGTATATTATAAAACTGTAAATGGTGTTATATTTTTCGCAGTATAACATGAGTATCATAAATCTTTACAGTTGTAGCACAATTATAAATAGAATGTTAAAGCTATTAACTTTTTTTATCACACTAACTGTAAATTTATTATCAATGAAAAACATCATTTTATATTATACATATCAAAATTAAATTGAAAAAATACCTGTTCTGGATGTTTTGCAAGATAATCATTTTTAGCATCTCTGATCATCCTGGTTACTTTGTTTCTCAAATCTTTAAATTCTTCCCATTCTTTTGCATCTTTATTCTTTTTTGCTTTAGCATACAGCTTATTTTTCTTTTGTATTTCACTACGAATTTCATCAGTCATCCATGGCTTCTTTAGTTCTAATTCCTGAATAATCATAATGGCTTTTGGTCAGAATTTAATAACAGTTTTTACATTTTAAATCTTAAGTTTTTCTACACTATATATTTAATTATTTTATGTTTACAAAATAATTGTTAAGTTCTTCCACCTTTTTAAAAAATCCATTTTATTTAAATGTGATATTTTAAATACAAAAGAAAAATGCAAGCAGTTTTTTACACAAGATAGATGTAGTCTTTAAAATGCTCCTTTTAACAACAATTAAAATTAAAATAAATTACTAACCATATGTTAGGTTTTATTCTACTCTAATAAAGTTGTATATTGCTATTAAATTTATACTTCATAAATATCAGATTTCATACTTACATCAAGTTTGCTAACTTTTTTCACATTGTTCAATGGTTTCCCTTTAGAATTGCCATTTCCTATGGAAAATCGTGGTCTCATATGAGACAAAATTTGAGGTGGTAGTGCTCTTCTATGCCAAGGTCTCATTAATGGTCCTCGAGGTCCTGCACCTCTTAAGCCCATTGGTAGAGCCATTGGGGCCATAGCTCTAACTCTTGGACCAAACAGTGGCATTGGACCACTGGGTCTGTTTACTCCACCTGGTCTTGGTGGTGGCGGTAATCTTTGTCGTATTGGGCCAAAAACTGGATTTATAGGTGGTGGTGCCATTCCTGGGGGGAAAGCAAGAGGTGGTAGTCTACCTCCAAATCTTGGAGGTGGAGGAGGCCGTATACCAGCCGGTGGAACTCGCGGTCCTAATAAAGGTCCCCGATTTAATGGACTCATTATCTTTGACGTAAACTTTCTTAAATCACTTTTAGATCCTTGACTGATCGACACCTAATATACCGCTTAATGCAAAGCGTTATTTACGAGGTTAAAACTCCAACTTCACACACTGTTTGCACGCGAAATACGTGACTGCGTGTTCAACCTTTACGCTTATTGATTCTCTCGCATTAAACTTTTATTGCAATATCAATCGAGATATTAATTGTTGCTGATATCGTAAAAACATTACAAACTTCTGTATAAATAAACTTTTGATATATCAAGCAAAACCAACCAACAACGATAAGCTTAATTTTAATCGTCACAAACTTGCAACAATATATTACCCACAAACAGATTTGGAATTTCGTACACTCAATCATGAGCAGATTGAAAAGATGACTTTAGGTATATTTTTAATAATAAACACCAAAATAATTTAAATAAATTTAATAATTAACTAAAATCATTTTATAACTTTTAATATTTAAATTTACAAACGATAGTAAGTGTATCTTAATTTATATTTAGTAGAAATTAATCAAAGAATTGTGTTTCGAAATTTGAAATTAATATATGTGCGTACGCATGTAAAACAGATACTATACGAGATAAATGTTTGAGAGATTTTTGTAAATTACTTATAAAAATAAAGAAAAATTTTTATTTATAAGTAAGATTATTTTCATTATCAAGTATAAGGAGAGAGGAACATGTTCCTCTCTGGTATAAATAATAATTTTCATTTTATATTTATTTATGCCGGTGGAATACTTTTAAGAACACAAATTTTCGTAATTTTATCTGATTGGTGTATTCGCGATTTGTAAGAGACATGCTGTTCTCATTGGTTTATTTGAGCAACGCTTTTAACGTATCACCAGCTGTTGAAGTTACGTTTGTTTGAAATCAAACGGCAACTGAAGTTTGTTGGGTTGCTTGGAGCTTCGAAATTTGACTGCCATGCATGGACGGTAAATACACTTCGTTAGAACAAAAAAAGAGCATGTGCAGTGTCTAAAAGATAATAATAACATACAAAAAAGAAATATTCGATTTATATATACGATATTAAGTAAAAAAACTAAATCTGAATAATGGCCACAATTCGTGTACATGAAGATCAAGAAAATCGTATCGTGGATGTTCGTCGTGGCAAAGAAAATATTACTGTGCCCCTTCAAAATCAAACGTTACAAGCACCAAAACGTGCAGTTCTAGGTGTACTTCACAATAATTGTAAACGTAATTCCAAACCAGTACGTATACATGCCTTTTTTACTTTTGCTCCCGCGTTTTTTTGTAGACTTGTAATATCGACAATTTACCTTATTTATTGCACTCAATAAATAAATGTAATGAATAATTTTTAACATTACATAATCTGGTAATCGACTGGTCTTATTCGTTCATTTATAGGAAATTTATAAAGATGAGAAATTTCCAAGAACAAAAGCAGTTATACCTACACAATTTGAGCCTTTTAAAATTTATGAGGAGAAGAAAGAAGAAGTTATATTTAAAATCTATGAAGATAAATTAGAAGAAGAAGCTTCTGTTGTACTTAGAGACACTAAGGATAAAAAAGAAATAAAAGATATACAAGATGTTAAGTTTGAAAGAGAGAAACCAAGGTTAGAGGTGAATCCTATCAATTCCTCAAATTTATTAACATTTTGTAATGCTACTCAAGACATAGATCAAAAGAAAGAAAATGAAATAATTTTCTCACAAGACAGTCTAATGTCTTTAGAAAAATCTGTTACTTATTCCTCTTCCAAAAAAGATCTTCAGAAACGAAGAGAGTCTATCAAGGAATTGAGAGCAAATTTTTATGATGTGGATGAATATAGAGCTGATATATATAACTATTTACGTATAGCAGAGGTATATATTTTCTCATTTATTTATAATAGATTCCAAGAGTAAAGTTTGTTTTTGATTTTGAAGTAGCTTATGTGAACACATTACTTCAAAATAAAAATCATTTTTTTTAGACACAGCACAGACCAAAACCAGGGTATATGAAGAAACAACCTGATATAACATATTCAATGAGATCAATACTGGTGGATTGGCTTGTTGAAGTAGCTGAAGAATATCGGTTACAAACTGAAACACTTTATTTAGCTGTTTCTTATATAGACCGTTTCTTATCATACATGAGTGTTGTAAGAGCAAAATTACAGCTGGTTGGCACAGCAGCTATGTTTATTGCTGCGTAAGTTTTTTAACATCTATATGTACATATATTGATAACTTGAGTTTCTTATATGTATTATTAATCTTGTAGAAAATATGAAGAAATTTATCCACCAGATGTAGGAGAATTTGTGTATATTACGGATGATACCTATACCAAGAAACATGTACTACGTATGGAACATTTAATTTTAAGGGTTTTATCCTTTGATCTGACTGTACCAACACCGCTTACTTTTCTTATGGAATATTGTATTAGTAATAATCTTTCAGAAAAAATAAAATTCTTAGCAATGGTAAGTGAATAACGGTTATTTGTTATATTATTAATGTATTACTCCAGTTCTTGAATATAATTTTACAGTATCTGTGCGAATTATCGATGCTTGAAGGAGATCCATATCTACAGTTTTTACCTAGTCATTTAGCTGCATCTGCAATCGCACTTGCACGATATACATTATTAGACGAGATGTGGCCGCATGAGATAGAATTATCAACAGGTTATAGTTTAAAGGATCTGAAGGAATGCGTTATTTGTCTAAACACGACCTTCTGTAATGCGTTAAATATTCAACAACAAGCTATACAAGAGAAATATAAGAGCAGCAAGTAAGTTCAAGCGTTTAACACTTCATTTAACTTTCTTATAAAGACTGGAACTGAGTATCAAATATATTTTTATTTAGATATGGACATGTAGCATTGTTGTTACCACGACGTATTGATAATGTGACATTAACTTCTGAAGATGAAGAAGAAAATGCCTAGTATTTAGCAGGCATTGAAAAAAATAGAAAAATCTGTAAATTTATGGAAATAACGAACCTCCCATTATGAATCCCATGTTATGAAAAACAAGGAGGGGATTAGGGCAAGACTGACCTATTGTTTCACAAATGAAATGTACGAGTTACTTCTTTATTAGCATGTTTGGTCAATATGTTTTGTCTAAACAAACATATTGATTTTACTTTTCATATTTCACCAGCACCTATACTTATTATAGGTTGTAGGTAAATTTTAATAACTATTTTTAGAGTTTCGTCATTATATTAACGTACGAAGCTCTAAATTATGTTATTTAGGAATTGTATTTTTATATGCATTTTTTAGATGATTGTTAACAGAACACTTGCTCTACATATATTAATGTCTAAATTTTGTTGCCAGTGATCTGTCATAATAATAGAACGTGTAAGAATAATAACTGTATTTATTATTGATATTGTACTAAAAATACATACACATTATTGTGGTGGAAACGCTGGTGTGTTAAAGTGATTAATAATAATTTAAATTTTTATTATGAGATCCACATATCAAACAATTTTCCCAAAAGGTTGGTAGTACTGATTTATACACATAACTACTACATTTAATTGTGCGCATGTGTGCGTTGTACTCCAAAGTAGTATTGACGTTGACAATTTGCAGTTGATATTTAATAAGAATCTAAGAACGGTTGGGGGTGTTTCCTAAGATTATTTCATTTCACAACATTATTAAGGTATAATATTTAATGTTACATTCATGGTATTTTTTAAAATCAAATAATTTGTTTCATTTTGTATACTATTCTTTATAAATACTTTCAATACCTTCGTTACTTGAACTTTCTTAAATAATTGTATGATTTTTAGGTTACTTTTAATTAAATTATTTAAATAACAGTAAAATTACACATAATACATGTATTTAACCTATAAAATGTATTATTATGAATTAAGAACACACTTGTTCTTCCCATAATTGTTTATAAAACAAATAATACATGTATGTAAGATTTGTTTAAAAAATATAATAAAGTTTGTCAATTTATTTGATGTTATTATTAGACAATATGGATGCATTTGGTGACAACTTTGTCATTGAACCAGAAGTGGATCCTGTAGCAGAATTTGTAGCAAGAGAACAGGATCAATTGGCAGGACTTGAGGATGAGATTCCTCCAGTTTCTATTACTGCACCTACAACAATATCAAATACAGATGGTAATGTTTGTTAAATTATAAAGAAGCATAATGACATATCTTTATTTAAATAGTATTTATTTCAAATATAACTAATGTACTTTCAAATTTTTTAAGTTGGCCCAGGTGGTGATGCTGAAGGTAGCTTTGAAATAATAGATGCAGTTGGACAGCCTACTGATCCACAAGCACCACCAGTAATAGGTAATCTGAATTTGTTATGAAACAGAAAAGATGGATTTACAAAAGAAAGATTACTTTTAGAAACTGCATCGAAACCTCCTCCAGTAAAAGAAGAACCTGAAAAAATACGAAAATGGAGAGAAGAACAAAAAGCTAGACTAGAAGAAAAAGGTATCATATTATTATACTAATTACTACACCTTTTTGTTGCAATTATGATTTACTATTTAGTTATTTATATGATTGTTTTCTTTAAATAGATGCTGAAGAAGAGAAAAAGAAAGAAGAATGGAGGGAAGCAGCAAGAAAAGAGCTAGAGGAATGGTATAAACATCATGCAGAAGCTATCAGTAAAACAAAAACTACAAACAGGTAATGTTTAAAATTACCATTCAATTAAATTTTATTTCGCATAATATTTTTGAAGAAATTTTTCGTCAATATAGCAATTTTTAATCGCATATTAATAGATGCAATTTAAAGTTTTATCTTATATAAGAGTAAATATTTTATTGAATTATTTTAAAACATGTACTACAATACTATTACATTATTTTCATTCTGCTTCTTAGGGAATCAGCCAAGTAAGTTACACTATATTTTTTTGCATGTATAATTGCATTGCATTGCTGTATAATATAGCTTGCTTATATACTTTATGAGAATACTTGCAAAACAGCACCAAAAACATTAGATATTCTCTTATATGTTAGCTGCTTTTTAGTGACAATTGGTATATGTACTTTGTGCTTGATGCAATTATACTTAAAATTTGTTTCTGATTATCTCATATGTGAGATAATGAAATTGGAAGAAGTATTAGAATGAACAGGTTACATTGAAAGTATGAATATGAAATACTTTATTATTAAAATTATTGATTGTTGTTTTACATATGTATTACATATAATTTATCTTATCATTTTTTTTTTTTTTTTTTTTTAAATTCCATAACATATAAAAAATATAAAGTTTTTTTGATTATATATTTTATGAGTTGAAATTAAAATGAGTATTAAAAATATTTGTATTAATTTTTGTTACATAAATAAGAATACCGTATCGTAAATAAAATATCACTCTTGTTATGGAAGTAGAAGTTGTTTTAACGAATTCTGAATTTTACGGTGCTATTTTCGGTATATGTAAGAAACAAACTTAGAAATTATAAAACATGTACTGCGCAATATCATTAATGCACACAGCATACAAGTATTGTCGCAAATTTTAATTGTTACATGTGTTGTACCTTAATTAATATAACGTCTTTATTCTTAGAAACGCAGAAAAACAATTTGTAGCGGAAGCTGATGAAGTGGAACCAGGAACTGAATGGGAACGCATCGCAAAACTTTGCGACTTTAACCCAAAATCTTCCCGTGCTTCTAAAGATGTGTCTCGAATGCGGTCAATTATTTTACAATTGAAACAAACTCCACCAGCTCCTGTCAGTCTTTGATTAAATTAATTTGGTATGAATTATAGATATTCATATACATATTCATATATATATATATATTAAACGTATTCAATGAAAGAACAGTATATACAAATTACGATATAATTGGAAAAAGATCATAAGTGATCAGTTGAAAAAAAATATAATGTTACTGTGAATAAATATTATTAATAGCAAGTATCTGCATAAATACTAAATTTAAAAAAGTTAAATGTGTAATGATTCTTTCGTTAAAAATAAAAATAAAATTTTAACATGTAAAATTTTGTAAATTATTTGAATTATTTTCTTTCATTGTTATATAAAATTTTCTGAAAATATACTATTTTTAATATATTTAATAAGTTTTGACGTATATTAGTGTTATTTAACGAATAACTCTTGTTGTGCATAATATAAAAATTTATACAGTTTTATTTTTATACACTGTTCAACACTTCGATATTTCACATACCTAGAAGGTCATAATCAATTTCTTTTTAACTATCCTCAGATTGTTCGTTCTGAAAAAAGAAACATGATTAACATATACAGAACAATACATTTATTGTAGGCGTTAAATACAAAATAAAAAAAATGTAGAATGTATCATTACCTATGCAAATCATGTTTCATAACAAGTTGCATGTCATGTTGCCAACGATAAATATTTGGATATGTAACGGGATTTATTGACGATGGTACTGCATTATAAACCGCATAATCAACTTTCATCGGTATATATCTAAAAAATATATAATATTACATAAAAGATTCTATCTAATAATAACTTATCTATATGTTATTACCCTTCAAGAAATATTCCAGGACCTTCTTCTGCAGTTTGCATTTCATCATCAGAACTATCTTCTGTTAATTCTGGTGATGATGGAGGTGTGAAAAATTCGAGTTCATCTTAAAATGAAAAGGTAACATTATATTAATAACTATTTTCGCAAAAAGGAAAAAATATTAATACCTACCAACATTGTTTTCATTGACTGTATTAAGCAATGAACATGATTGTAATTCATTGCATAAATGATCTATTTCCTGAACTAATTTCACTTCTGTTTCTGTATTTAAATTTGAATCTGTTACTCCGTTATTTGAGTTCTATAAAAAAAATTATTTTTTAAATATTACGATAGTTATTAAAAAGTTCTTTCTTAATTTTTTTTATACCTGGCTATAATATAGTAACTGAAATTTGTGTTCTAAATATTTCTCAAGCTTCGTTAAACCTTCTGTAGTACGAAAATCTGCGAAATCATTCAAAAATGGCCAATATTCTTTCCATGACACTTCGTATTCTTCTGCTAAGTCTCTAAAAATTATATACTGAATTTCAATTTTTATTTCATTCAAAAGACTTTTAAATATGTCATGGTTACAATATATCTGATAGAAAAATTTACAATTAAATATACCTTCCAACACGTTCAAGTCCCTTTTCCGTATCCTGTAGTCTTAAAGTTAAATTATTAATGGGACTATCTGTAGTATTATATTCAGCATCATTTACATTTCTAACTGAAGTAATACGAAGACGTGGAGGAGTTTTCCATTTTTTTCTAAATTCTACCGCACGAGACTTTGTCATTGGTCCAGCAAATGCACGTACTTCTAAACGTGGACTGATTGGATCTGTGTTTAAACTCTACAAGAAATAACATTTATAAAATTTCCTGCAACGTAAGTTGAAGAATTTTAACATACCAAAGGATTAGTTGGGGAGAAAGGTTCTCCAATAACAGGTTGCAATGAATTATCATCCGATCTTAATACAGGTACATAATACTGATCTTCCAATAATAAACGTATCTGTCTTTTTAATTCTGTGTCGTCATGGCAGGCTCTAGTACAAATTATCTGTAATATTAAAAATATAATGTTTTCTACAGAAAACCGAGCATTATTATATTTAGCAAACTACATAATATTTCGTTATTTTATCACGTACATCTATTGGTAGCTGTTTATATTTATTTGGCAATGTTTTTATACAACAAGGATATGAAACAAGAACTCGAACGCAATTTTTTAGACCAAATTTAACAGCAAAATGTAGTGGAGTTTCATTCAATCCCTTATCAGGTGTATTTAAATATAGATCTAGCATGATCTGTGCACGATCCACATAGCTTTTGCATTCATCACCATAAAATAGTTTTATAAATTCTGCATTTCCAACAGTGCTTAATATTAACTCACACATATCTGGTCTATCTGCTCTAACTGCAATATGCAATGCATTATAACGACATCCTTCCTATAATAGGTAAAGATAAAATTTAAATGTTTAGTTTATTTCAATATAATTATAAATATTACATTATCTTACTTGTAAAATTGCAGGAGTGTCACCACTACCAATTAAATATTTTGGATTTCCCCATATTGTAGTTTTTACAGCGTACAAATCTCCATCTTTAATTAAATTTCTAAAACATACAAGATCTTGAGACCTTGGAGTTTTAAAATCAGATGATTTTTCTTCTACTACAGGTACTATAGTAGATAATGTAGTATTATTAACACAATTTGTTTTTTCAAAACCAGTCTTTGCATATTCTTCAGCTTCTGATCTTTTCTTAAACGATTTCAGACGACCAGTTTTAAATTTTTGAATTACTTTTAAAGCCTCTGCTTTGTCTTGATAAACTCGATTATTTTCTGTGATATTCAAAACATAAAACATATCAAAACGTTAAAAATGAAAACTAATACATACAAATGATTAAATTATTATTGTACCTTTTGTATTGTTTTCTGGTAAATTATCAAGATTTTCTTCAGGTATATACACAGCATGATAAAGTGGTTCGTTTAATGAAGTAGAATTTCCATAAGTCACAAGTAATGTTTGTGACGTTTGTTCGTTTTCACCCATTTTAACTTCGTTTTATTTTATATTTCAACCTGTACAGACATTTATTGGTTATGTGTCAAATTAGAAAGTGTCAAAAAACATACGTTAAATTCTTCACTTCAACAATAATATTTAAAATCTTGTATTTAATATTTGTTTTCAATATAATTCTATATATTTTATATCTTTCTTTCTTGAAAAAAGTTGTTTCTTTAAACATCCGTTTTATAATTTACAATGTAATTGAAATTTGCGTCGTTTTCAAAAATTACTTTTTTAAGTATGAAATAATAATAATAATTATTATTATTATTTTCCAATCATTTTAACAAACTAGTTATATTAAACTGAAACAATTCAACAAATTTTTAAGAACAATAAATGTTTAAAAATGTGGCAAACCTATGCAATAAAATAAATGGTTTATTCAAGATTAAACTTGATTCTCAAAATAGTAAATGACTACGTGGCAACTTAAAAATTATATATAACTAATGTTATATTTATAAAATTGATTATTTATGATAAAAAATATGGCCTTTTATATTTTCAAAATAAATTATTTAAAGAACCTGTCGATTCATAAGTAACTGTCATTTACAAAAACAGCCAATCCTAAAGAGATTTCAAACTATTAACCAATAATATCAAATGTTTGTTTTTTGTGGAATATGTGTTCAAATTTATTATTGTAACACGAAACAAAATTATATTTTCCTTTCATTTCTTATTTGTTTATTAATTATTAGTAATACATTAATTAAATATAGAACTACCAATCGTCGTGGTTTTAATATTTTAACCAATTAATGTTGTTTGTTATAATTTAGCGACCATTCGGATAAAATCTGTTTCCTCATTGGTTATCAAAAATAATACAAATAAATTGGCGCGTATTCAATTAAAATTTTCCTATTTTGTAAATACACAATTGCAGAAGTTAAAATCGCGGAAATTAATATTTCCTTTACACTGCTTAGTTATTGTTTAAAATATTATATAATTGAAATCGAAGTTAGTTAAATTTAATTTTAAATGTACAGTTTAAATTTGATGTTTTCAACAAAAGTATTAAAAGTAGAAAACATTTACATGTAAAATAATATTGATTTTTATGAAAAATGTAATATGTTTTACTTACAGAATTAATTAATTATATCTTATAGGATATATTCTAATTAAAAATCATAGATAAATGTTAAAGACTTTATGATTTAATTAAAAAAAAAGTTCACCTGAAGGAATATTGCACAATGAATGAATGAGTTTAAGAACGCTGAAGTGGGCGGAGCGATCACCACACCATCATTGTTAACCAATGAGGGATCCAGTAAGTATTTACAAACCGCACGTCATCAAACGTGTATTATCTCACTGTTTGTAACATGTATTTTTTTCAATCATACTCAAGATTAGGCTTGAGAGTTTTGGAAGGCTGTTGTTGTCGGCGAAGGACGATTACAGACAGTTCGAACTTGGACGTCGCACGAAAACGTCGTATAGAGCGCTTTCGTTACGAGTGATGTTTAAAGTGTCGTAGAAAGGAAATCAGTATTTTTTTATCTATCATACAATTACTCTTGATAATCAATATAAACAGAGCAATAGCAAACGATATAACATTAAAGAGAATTCCGAAATGAATTTATCGTTTGCTGGATGTGGCTTCCTTGGTATTTACCACGTTGGTGTGGCAGTGTGCTTCAAGAAATACGCTCCACACATTCTTTTGGATAAGATTAGTGGTGCATCGGCTGGTGCTATCGCTGCTTGTTGTCTTCTTTGTGACTTACCCCTCGGTGAGTGAACTCCTTTGTTTATATATCTAACAGATATATATTATCTCGAACAATTAGTTTTTTCAATGTTATGCTTTGATTTTATGACTTCTGATATTATACATCTCACATTTTGTATCCATTGCGCGTATGTTGAACAAATTGTTTCAGCGTACCAATGATTTCGTGTTATAATTAAACTGTAAATATCTTTGTTTATTTACAATGTCACTTGTCGCGATTTTGTTATTTCGTATGTATTTATTTAAGGTTTACATTCGTCTCCGTCATGTGTATTTAGGATAAATGTATTATACACTCCACAATTCCTAGACCCTTTCAGCAATCGTGACAAATTATACATCGTTTGATTCGTCTTATTGAGTATATTAATAATTTCTATGTGATTATTTGCGGAAATTCATAGTTTCGTTGAAATTTTGCTGTAAAAGTTACAATAAAAAAGTAAGGTTAAGTAGGTTTTGATACGTTTATGGGCGAAAACAAGTGACTGTCATATTGACTTCTACCCACGCTCCAAATTGGCAAATTTAATCGAAAAATCTAATCTAGGCACCCTGATTTTTAAATAAAGATAGTACATGCTGTACTTGAAAAGGTGGATGAGGTTAGTTTGGTTATATATTTTTGCGGCCACCAACATATTCTATTCTTAACTTTTACAGCAAAATTTCCACAAATTATTACATATAGGAATATTTCAGAGTTTGTTATATTTTAGGCCTACTAATAGGTTATAATTGTTATTCCCATTATTTTTAAATTACTAATAAATTTGGTCATCTTGCAGATAAATCTCATAAGTAGGTCAAGCTTAGAAGAAGCAAATTGGAAGTAGTAGCAAGAACAGTTATCAAATGTTTTTCTTTGCAAGTAAGACTGGTAATAAATATGCAACACAATGCGCAACCAATTACAATAGACATATTAGCATGAGTTATATGACGCGCTACCCATCATTTTTTATTCTGATAAGAGTTTATCGCTTTGCACCAAAGAAAAGTATCCTTTGTTTTAATAACACTTTATCCAAATACTTTTCAATTTTCTTATTCAGATTATAAAGTTTTCATAAAATTATTAAGTTAACGTATGCATGCGTGAAACAAATAAATAGACTATAAATAGTAATGTGGTAAGCAGCGAATGAATCAGTCCAGAAATCTGGTTGCATTATAATTTTTATTAGAAAATTTATAAATACAGGAAGAGTAATATATAAAAAGTGAGCATAAATCTGTTTTATTACAAACACTTATGATTTACAAAAACGGAAGATAACGTGTCGAAACGTGCGATTGAAATATTCATGATCAAAACAGTGTATGTAGCAAGTTCTTCCGATTCCCGTTTAAACATGATTTTACCTTTTATCTACATTTTTGTTTACTTCCAAAACGAGAATATCATTTGACATATTTTCCGTGGCTTCGCTTCCGCAAGATGATGTGTAATACATATTATTAAGTACCACATATGCATATACGATAACAGATACGCATAATTTAGATGTATAATTCTTGTATAATACATGTGTAATGCTGCTGCTAGCAATTGCGTGTTGACGAAAGCGATGATTCAGATGTAGTATTGCGTGATGATTTATCTATATCGAGTTTTTTTTCTTTTTTTTTTTTAACATCTACACATGTACATACATATTTCGTATAACAAAGGAATTCAGTGATTCAATTGAAAAAGTAGCTCTTTCAATTAGTATCTAAAAGAAGATTAAAATGGTTAGCGGCATCTATTTAAACGACGTGTTTCATATACTATCTAATCGTTTTATTGCATACTGTAATGTTATTAGACGAATAACTTGTTGACATTTGTATCAATCAATTGAATATATATTGTATAATATATCCGTATTACATACTTGTGTAATAGACAATGAACAGAGCCGCTCTTATCGTTAATACAAGATAAACAGAGCATTTACTCTGGATCATATGCTTAAAAATTGTCATATTTTTTAAAAGGATTGAAAAATTACAGTTTAAATGTTGTTTAAAGTCATAGGGAAATCCATGAGAAACGTCTTCACTTCCGGAGTCGATAAACGCATCGCGTGATCCTTCATTCGATACCATTTAATTTTGCTTGATAATGCGAACACAATGTATACGCACGATATCTATTTGTGTAAAGTAAGCGTAACAGAAAACTGAAACGAAAATTTTTCTATATTGAAAGCCTTCCAATTCGCGCAGTCTTCAAAAACGGAGGACGAAAATAAGTTTACAGAAACTCTATTCCATCCAGAAAAACATAATTTGAATTAGTAAATGGTAATTAAGATTTCGCGACACAGAAGGTTCGTGTACGAAATAACAGAAGAAAGAAAAAAATATAAATATTGCTAATATACGTACGTCTTCTAAGAAGATTATTTATAAGACAACAAAACTGAAAAGTATTATCATAATTTGTTATTCTGTTTTGATTTCATGGATTTCTCGTTGTATTTTATAAATTGTGTAAATATTATGTAAGTACATATGTGCATACGTACATACATTCTTATCTATCGCTGCACGAGTCAGCATTGCCTTGCTACAAAACAAATATTCCTTTGTTTGCGTTAGATACAATTGCTTCCTTTATTGATGTTGTACACACCAGTAGAGAGTCGGAGTTTACTTTGTGATCGAAACACTTGATATATTTGTGTAACAAAGAAAAAGAATTTGTATTTATATTAATTCTTTGTTTGCTATTCTTTTCGATCATGAAAACGGTAGATATTACGGATTTAACATCACCAGACATTTAAAGATATTGTTTAAACTTTAACCGTATCATATCGACGATATCAGAGATAATATAAAATCTGATTGATATAAAAATAAATTGTTTTTACAACATATTTAAAAATCATCGAAATCGCAGCTGATGTTCGTAGTCTAAATAATTATAAATTGTTTGATCATCGTTTAAAAAAACACGATTTTGTTAACAAATAAAAGACAAAGGTGACTTTGAACTTCCGGTACCAACACGCTTATCGCGCGATGCTTAATGAAATTTTTAATAGGACATCTTTTATTCCTGAAAATGCTAGGCTTTATCTAACATTCTAAACGTATTCATTAGATTCGTATTACCTTCTTTAAGTAACATTCTTGGTAAATTAGGCAATTTAAACTTGCTTGCAGGCAAAATGTTCAAACCTACAAGATAATATCATAAAGCCTAGCATTTCCAGGACTAAAAAAAATGGCCTTCAGTTTGGCAAATGAATAATGCGTTTCCTCACGGTAACGTATTGACCATCAACGAGTCCTCTATTCGTATTTATTGCTGTGAATGTATTAAAAAATATCAACGAACGCATACTTCCAACGTGTAACGGAAGTTTAATGAAGCATAGCTCGTCAGGGATAAAAGTTCGATGTAGCGAATTGCGTCTTTTGCGTTTCACATTGAACACCGTACAATATCGTTTAGCTAATATACTCTCTAATTTAATAAATAAATATTGCTTTTTTATTGTTATAATATATCAAGTATAGGTAGAAATGAATTTTAAACATAAACGCCTTGATCTTGATAAAATCAAAATACATCAAGTATCTACTTTTGATAAGATAAACATATGAATGATTGCTTTTTCTTGACGCAATAATTATAAATACTCGAATATATCTTAAAAAGTACATGGAAAAATGAATTCAATTGTAATTTTTCTAATGAAATTATGTATTGAAATTCCATTTCTTTTTTTTCTCCAAAGTATAATCATTTATAGATTAAATAGTATTACCTTGATCAATTGAAATTACATACATACATGATTAACGAAAACAAGCATATTTGCAGTTTTTGATTTTTTTTCTCTTCATAATTCAAAATCAATCATAGTAATCTGTTTCATATTATAATTGATTATTTCCTTCGTATAATAATTGTAATGATTACAGGGGAAATTACAAGTAATGTTTTGCGCGTTGCGCGTGAAGCACGGCAGCGAACCCTCGGCCCATTTAGTCCATCGTTTAACGTTCAAGAAATATTGTTAGAAAGTTTACAAAAGGTACTTATTAATCATTTGGATCATACTAATAAGTGTGTTATTATTATTCTTTTTTTTTTTTTTGAAATATAAAAATATTAATAAGATACAGAAATATTTTAATTGTAATTAGTACGCGTTACTGAAATTTACATTTGTTATAGTTCCTTCCAAATGATGCCCACATTCGAGTAAGCGGTAAACTACATGTCTCCTTGACCAGAGTATACGATGGAAAAAATGTAATCGTGTCACAGTTTTCTTCTAGGGAAGATTTATTGCAGGTAAACTAATAACAATGTTTTATACTTGTAATATTTTAAGAAGAAAAGAAAAAATTTATAATCTGTAAAATGTATGTTTTCCAGGCTTTGTTAGCAAGTGCATTCATTCCCATCTTTTCTGGTCTCTTACCGCCACGATTTCACGGTATTAGGTATATGGATGGTGGTTTCAGTGACAATCTTCCCACTCTTGATGAAAATACAATTACTGTTAGTCCTTTCTGTGGTGAGAGCGATATTTGTCCAAGAGATGTTTCCTCTCAACTGTTCCATGTGAGTTACTTATTGTAAGAAAAAAAGTATTATTACATTATTTACGTGTGTGTAAAAAATAATAAACAAATGTTTATAATTTATAGGTGAATTTTGCAAATACAAGTATAGAGCTTTCAAGACAAAATATATACAGATTTGCAAGGATACTTTTTCCACCTAATCCAGAGGTAAGATTGCATCTATGATTCCATTATATCTCTTATGTGATTTTATATCCTTTGTAGGGTAGTATTATTCCTATACTAACATTCATGATAAGCTAAAGTAGTAATAATGTGTGCAGATAAAGTTATTGAAATACACAATAAAAATATGTATACATTACAGATCCTTTCAAACATGTGTAAACAAGGATTTGATGATGCATTAAGATTTCTTCATCGCAATAATTTACTTAATTGTACTCGATGTCTTGCAGTACAGTCCACGTTTGTTGTCTCAGAAACTCTTGATGATAATATGGATTATGATCCTGAATGTTTAGAATGTAAAATGCATAGACAGGTACATTTATATTTTCATTGATATCGATTGATATCAATTTTAAATTATGTTATTTCATGAAAGTGGTACGTTTATACAAATGTGTATAAAATGAAAATATGAAAATATGTTGTAGGAAGCATTGGTGTCAAATTTACCTGAGACAGTTATGACTATATTTCAAGATGCAATTGATTCTGCCAATAAGGGGTTGATTAATTGGTTATTCAAACATAAAAGTGTAAAACTTTTGTCATTGCTTAGCTTACCATACACCTTACCAGTAGATGTAGTATATGCAACTCTCACTAAGTAAGCATTTTATTATTATATTATGTGTTATAGTTTCCCAATTTCGAAATTTTATTAAACGTTGTTTTTAATGTTCATGAAATTTTATGTGTGTATTTTTAACGGTGATTAACAAAGCACGTAGTATGCATGAATTATTGCTTGTTTGAAATTGCACGCTATTAAACTAATAACTCAATTATTAAGTAATTATATCTTTTAAAATATATGCTTACTAACTTTTATGCAAAGTCGAGTATCACTTATTGTTAAAGTAATAATAATCAAAATTATTCAAAATAAAGAATTCATGTATGTAGTCCATTTATTTTTCATATAATTTTTTTTCTTTAATACTGTATATATATTTAACATTATGCATGTGGTCACGTAGTTTTATCGGTAACAAGATAGAAACTCGTTCGTTGGAATTCAAAGTAATTGGCCGTATTCTTCATACACATCCACAGATGATTTCTTGTACTAAACATATGACATCTTCTCGGTAAGCACATGCTTTTATGAAAAATAAAATTATATACATTCATTTTTATACGTGAAAATTTATCATACATGATCGAAATATGGCATAAAATTTAAATTTACCGAGCACTTTTAAAAATAATTATGTTTTTTTATTTATATATTGTCTTGATATGTGTATATGCTTATATTTATTATAAAAAAAGAATTTTATGTTTGTATAGTCATATCTCTCCATTTTACATAATAAATCATAAATATTTTATTTTCAGATTCATTTTGAACGTTCCCAAATTGAGAAGAAACTTGCTAGAATTAGGAACATTCTTTTTGGATCAATTAAGTATAATATTCCCCAAAATCCATGTGTATTATCAACAAATGCCACAAACTATTAAGTGTCAATTGGCTATAACAGAGTATGGATCAAGTACGTGTAATGCTTCACATGATTCATTATAATTATAAATATTAATATGCATATTAATAACGTGTCATTCATATGTTTCAGATATATACGATATGGAGGCAACAAAAAAGACTGACAATGTGTATAAAAATAAAAAAAATCTGAATTTAACATTACAATACAATGAATTGTAAGTTTTGATGGTTTCAAGTTTGTTTAATCAATAATTATTACAATGTATTATTTTGTTTTCTAGACAACCCTGGAAAGACCATAACAATAAATCAAACTGTGTTATAAATATGTCTGATCTTTCAACTGTTGATGATACGTTCGAAAATATTTTGCAAGTACGTGATATACGTATATTGTTAATTAATTTTGATATTAAACCTTATGTTGATACCTTTTTTTAATGTTACAGGTAACGTCTGAACAAGAAGCGGTGATGGCGTATTACTACATGGATGAAAATAACAAAGTGCAGGTGACAGAAATATTTGATGTCACAGATACAGAATCACATGCAGTGTTATCTGTAGACGAGGTAGAAAATAATACAAAATTACAATTTGATGAGTGGGATGAACCTACATGGTTATCTCAGCATACATTTAATGACGGTAATTTATTACATTTATTAATTATTGACGTCTTTGTTATACCGTTTGCCAAAAATTACATGTATAATTGTAAAAATTTATTATAGTTGTTACCGAATCTCTATATACAGACGGAAACCAACAAAGTATAGAAAATTTATCAGAAATATCTTTAGAGGATGACATTTTGGGTGGTTTAAATACCTCTTCTGATCCAGAAAGTGAATGGGAAATAAGCAAAGATTTACAAACTGCAAAAGCATTAAGTACACCAAATACTGAGATAGAAATGGATTAACCATTATTAAAGGTTTAAAATAAGATAATTTTTTATAATTATTGAAATGATGTATGAGTGCGTTTGTTGATTTATATTTATAATCAATATCATGAAGTGTATGTATACTTCTGTAGTCAATGATATTGATGACATTATAGTGAGAAGAGTTATTACCAATGCTCAATACTGATAAATTTTTATAACGCTTAAAGAACATTATTTGAAAAACACAAAAGATATAGATAGATATGTATATAAAACTGATTAGTTTTATAAAAGGAAAGTTGTAATTTATAATCTGTGTTATGCACTAATAAATGCAAGATACAGTACAAATAACCTATAAAGAAGCGATATGTATCTTCAGCAGAGCATGCACAGTATTTTATTATTAATGAAGTTTGATAGGCAAAGTCTAATATTGTTACTATATACTTGCAAAGCAGGTATTGGTAGATCTCCGATAAAGAGACTGATTATAGAAAAAATGTACATCATATAATACAGACAAATTTATCTCTACTCTAATTCCATGTTAATTTACGGTTTGCACATGTAAATATCAAGTGTTAATACGTTCGATGAAGAACGTACATACATTAAAAAAATTATGGCACTTATTGTTAACTAAGTTATTTTATGAATTTTTTTTGTTACATTTTATAAAGAAAAAGAGGAAATATTCTATGTAAATATTTTTATAAACAAATGGAATGTTCCCAAATTATTTATACAACTATATCTTGTGATAAATACTTAGTGGAATGATAAAATCAGTTATATAAATTAGAGTAGGGAAAATACAATTTTTGAATGCATACAGCTGGAACTGAATGCCAATTAACAAACAGAGCTTTTATATTGTTTATTACTGACATAATCATTGTTGAGGATAATTACACTAATTATAATAATTAGAGAATGGGTCGTTTCCTATATGTTAAAACCACCATAATGAGTCGAGTACTATTGTATGATAAAAGCTTTATATCAATAATTAAACAACACATATTTAATTTTGTACTAAATTATATCTAAATAATGTATAAAAAAAATTTTGACTAGTAAATACTTTTAAAGTGTTGCATTTATATGCATATGTATTATGTGATAAAATATTGATTTAATAGTTATGTAAAAAGGGCATGTTGCATCATAATATTTTACAAGTATGTTATACATTATTATTTGTTATCTGTTTAAGCAGAGACATGTTGATTATTATTTTATTTTTCGAAATTGATTATAAAAATTGTCAGTATCTAATTTATAACTATTAAGTTAATCAAAATAGTATGCTTATAAAATTTTAATTGATCGACTTCTTTTTCATTTCAAATTATAGAAAAATCATAAAAATAATTTCAGTATTTGTAATTATAAAAACTACTGGAAATAACTGTTTAAAATGGTTTGTACGTGTATTACATTATGGCATGTTTTAATTACGTACGTAATTAATAAAATTAGAATCCCGAAAGGAAGAAAATTCCTTACATATTCTATAATCAATATTTAGTACTTTTTAATTAAACAAATACATTTCTAATATAAGATTTGATCTAAATGAACAATTTGAAAAAGGGAAAAGATCAATAAAAAATGGAATATTTATTATATTTTTTAATATAAAACAAATCATGTCATATATATAAGTTATATGTACAATAATTGAAACCGCCATCAAAGTATATTCCGAGGTAAAATTTATTTTCAGGGAAATAATTTATTGCACATGGGCAGAAAAATATAAACTACGCTGGTTTTTATAAAATATGTCTTCATTGATAAATATCGGTTAATCGCGAATAAAAATTTCATAATTTACAATTATCACTGCGAGCATAATTAAAATTAATAAATGTCACGTTAACGTAATATACAAACACCCCGTTACATTCCTTCTAGGCAGGTTTCAATTATTTAAATGTAATGTGAAACATTATTAATTATTTGAACATATTCAGGCTGGATCTTCCCCAGGAGTAGATGTAGAAGTTCTCTGAGACTCGATTTGTGTTCTATTTTGCGCATTGCCGGTTGCAACCGCTACTTTGTGTTGTGCAGCTAAACATTGCAACTGTTGAAGCTGTACAGGTTTGACAAGAGTTCTCTGTAACTATAAAAGACGAAGTTTATAGTGTAAAACTAATGATAATTGTAAAATTGACATTAGTTACATATAGGACATACCTGTTGCTGTGATAATGTTGCCACTCCAAGACTTTGAGTTTGTTGACTACAGTGTCCTGTAGAAGCTCTAGCATGCAATGATTTTGTCAATAAAGTTTGTTTATTTGCAGGTACTACTTGGGAAGAAGGTGTTGTCTGGGATGCCATAAGCACTGGTTTCGTTGCTGCTATAAACAGAACATTTTTTAATTTCTTTATCTATTGAAAAAAAAATTTTATTTTTTTTTTCCCCCCTTAATTAAAATATTCTAAACGGTATACCCTTACATTATAATATGGTGTTTATAATAACTTACCCATTATAGGAGTTAACACCTGTTTGTTACCAGATAATATTAACTGACTTGCTGTAACCGTCTTAGCAACAGTTACTAACTGATTTGGTAAAACAGTCGACTTAACTTGATTTGGTTGTACTTGACGAGTCATATGATTAAGTCTTGGCCTTTGAGATCCAACAAGCTGAATTGCTTGTCCACCCTAAAAAGACAATATCTATCATTTTTTTGAAATTGTCAAACTTAAATTATTCACAAAGTTGTTTCTCAAAATGTATTTAAATACCTGTGAAAGAGTGACAGAATTACTGCTGCGTATATTTTGTTGCGATAATCCTTTTACTCCAGATGGTATTATCTGGGCTAAAATATTAATTTATTAAATAAAATAATTCAGCAGGAAAAAATGAAAGATGATATATTGTAAAGAATAATTCGTACCAATTGGTAATGATAAGTGAGTATTAGCAGGATTAGCTATTACTACAGTTGGTGTACTTCCAGCAATAGCTGTTGTAACAACTGTAGTAGCTACCATCTAAACAGAATCGTAATTTGTTTATTAACTTGATACATATCAATTGCGCGATATATGTATAGGTGTATGAAATGCAAAAAAAGAACTAACACTAGAAACCGTAGTGCAAGTATTGGTTGCAGAAGATATAGGTAGAGAAACAATGACTCCTGTAGGCGTAACAGAACCCGTCGTCGCTGATACATTTAGCGACATTGTAATGGGTTGTGATAATCCGGGAAATGATACCTGTTGCAGAAAGAATACGGTAGCAATTTATCTTTTGTATTATATGTATATAAAAATGAGCAATTTCTCACAACCTGAACATTCTGAAGACCGTTGATGGAATTTGATAGACTAGTAAGATTTACACCCTGCAAATTTACATTAGTAGATGGTGGGGTGGTCATTGAAGTCGCAGCCTGATTATTTTGACTGGAGGAAGCGGTTAATCGTTCGAGCAGAGAAGAACCAGAATTGATTCCTGGTATTGGATTATCTGCAGACGGCGTTCCTATTGTAATTAAGTAATAAATTTTAATAATTAACACGTACTGAATTATATAAAAATATTACAAACATAGCACACCCGCTAATAGAGCTGAAAGTCCCGGCATTGATAACCCAAGCGTCGAAGTAGGATCTTGTACACGAGCTAATCTGACAGCTGTGGCTTTTACCGGTTGCTGTTTACAACCTAATTGTCCTGTTAAAGTTGAACTTAAACTTACCCTTACCTAAAAAATATATTTTCATTATTATGATAATTTTAGAAATGCACAATCATAAGATCAATTTATTTACTTGTCCAGTAGTATTAGGGACATTAATAACGTTTCCATGACTACTAAGAACTCTAGATGGGATGGAAGCATTCAATGAGATCCTTCGTGGTTGAACCTTTTGCTGAGTCAAATTGGCAGGACTACTATTTAACAAACTAAGAATCGCAGCGTTATTTGATTTGTTTGGAGTCTGTGTATTACTATTCATAGCAGCAGCGGCAGCGTTTGCTAAAAGAATATTGAAATAAATTGCCTTTTTTTTTTGGGACACATCTTTCCCCTTTTTAATACAGTTTATATCAATTTCAGGACAAACCTGCAGCTTGCTGTTGAAATTGTTGAGCAGAATTCATGAGAGATGTTACAAGAGCAGTTATTGCTGGATTGGTAGAGTGCTTTTTAAATGGTATTTCATTTTGGTTCTGATTAACGGTTTCCGTAACACAATTCTGCGTTCCCGCTTGTAACTGAGCTTGCTATAGGTAAGAAAATATACATATATATACATGTAACATTACTTAAGTATTAAAATAAAACATATAGCTGTATATAATTCCTACCAAAACTGGAACATTTGTAGATGTAGCATTGTTAATATTATTGGTAGACTTTTGTTGAAAAACTAAAATTCCAGACCCATTACATGAACTACCATCAGTAACTGACATTGTAGAATTGTCAATTTGTACAGAGGTGGAAGCATTTGATCCACCATTAGTCAAAGATTGCCCTGGACTTAGCGACGAAGCGTCACTTTGGGCAATAACTTGTGGTATGTTCGATGAATCTACACATGTCAAATTATTTTGTGCAGAAGTGGTAGCTTCTGTTATAGTTTTTATTGAAGCCACCTGTCCAGCCAAAGTGTTTAACTGACCTTGAGCTCTTGATAAAATCTAAAACAATTATTATTAAATGTTAAATAATCCTAATAAAAGATTTTATAACCAATTGTTACTTCACCTGCTGTGCCACGTGCTGAGATTGAGCTTGTTGTAAATGCTGAGCAACTAATTGCGCGGCTTTTGCTTGTTGCGCCTAAAACAACATATTTATGTATAATTAGTAACATAGTAATGTAAAATTAAAGACTTTAATTTGAATTTTTTTAAGTAAACGCATACCTGTTGATGTGCTCGTTGCATACCAGGTGTACATGTTACACGAGGGACCTGCCCTGGTACAACATGTTTTATTCTAACATTTTTCCTACCCTCTTCAGTGAATATTTCCGTGAATTGTTGAATGTAATGATTTGCCAGAACTCTCGTACCTAATGTAAATCTATAAAAAAAATTAACTTTCAATTATTTATCTTCGAGATGTAGTAATTTTTATCAATAACTACATACCGGCATGCGGATCCATTTTTCTCTCCTTCACGATGATTCTTATCCATATAAAGCTCTCCCAGGTACTCGGAATTAGAAGGTCTTTGCAAAATTGAGAGCTTTATGTGATCTATTTCACCTTGACTTCCTCCAGTTTCTAATATATATTCTTCTATAACCTGTGGCAAACAGTCTTTTGTTTCTCGCGGGCGTTCGTATGCTTTCGCGAATCTATTTTATATGAAATATAACATTAGTACAATGTTTCTAAAGGAAAAATTATACATTAAAGTAATACATTACTAGAATGCACCTTAAAACATCGATGGGTGTATTTGGTGGAAGTAAAGGAGGATTCGTAAGAGAAGGTGGGGGGCAGGCAGTGGTTGTAACTACTCCTCTTTTTGCTTTTAGTTTCTGCATTAAATCTTGTATCGTTAATCCTTCTGGCTGAGCTAATTGCTCCAATTTTCTTTTGCGATTAACAGTAACCTGTATGAATATTATTATTAACAGTGTACCGAAGCTGATTAACAATTTAATTGAAATAGAAACTTACTTGAGAAAACTTTTTGGCTTGTCGTATGAGTTGGTGATCGGTAAGTAGAGATTTAGACTGCCGTAGTCGTGTTGTAGCTAAACTAGGAATAGGATTTGGATCCAAACATAAAGGTCCTTGGGTAGCCGCCACTAAGTGTGATTCTAACATTAATCGTTCTTCGTGACTCCAGTCGCCATCGCTAGTTAATGTTGATACATCTGAGAGTACACTCTAAAATATATTAAACGTTACATTAATTTATTAAATTATTTTTCAATTTTCTTGTACAATTGAAAAAAAAAACAAATTTCTCACTTGTGTTGTAGGTTTAAGAAGTACATGATGAACTTCAGCTTTAGTTTGAGGAAATGTTTTTCGATAATCTCGAACTTCAGCTATTATACAGCCATCATAAAATAAATGAGAATGATTGGTTTCTAGTTGTTCTGCTAACATTGCAGGCAACTGACCATTATCTATACATGAAAGCAATTCACCCTGTTCATAACCCATCAGTTGTGTTTCAGCTAATATTGAATTTTTATCATATTGATTTCCCTTATCACTGTTACAGAAAATCAATTAATTAGCGTGTACTTTATAAAGATTTGATAATCTAAAGACATGTGTATCTATTAAGAAACATAAAATGCTCACCTATTTCTTACAGCTAATGAGTATCCTTTATTACCAGCATAGAGATTAACAATTAATGTATGTAAACCTTCTCTTTGCACCAACCTTCCCAAAAGATCACATTCATTTTCAAGATTGTTCTGTGCATTTGAATAAATAAAGATATTGTTAGTTAGTTAGTTAAATACTTTTTGTTCATTAAATGTTTAAAAAAAACATTTCACATACCAATACAGAATCAGGTGTTGCATGAGGAACTTTAGTAAGTTCTTCAAAATATAATCTAGTTAATTTAGATTGAATGCTATGTTTAGAATGATTTTGCTCCTTCCTTTGAACTGATGGTTTATCAGATGTCAAGTTCAAAGAATTTTGCCCTTGAACATTTTTCCAACATTTGGACACTTGATTAATCATATCCTATATAAAAAATATATTGTATAAATATACTTGGTAATATTAATATTTCTAATATATTACAACTAGAATACACAATAAAAATTATTTGAAAACAATTTGCAAATAATACCTGAGCCTGCCGACAAGCATCTTCTAAACTACAGGCTGCACCAATCATTTTATTCTCTGATTACTAATATCACTTAATGTCATATCTGATACAATAATGAATCTTCACAGTCTGAAATAATCAAATTAACTTTTAATAAAATAAAAATCTCATTTAATGAAATGAATATAAAGTCATATTAAAATATTTAATTTCATTCAACTGCTGCTAAGTTATACAGTATTAAATACATATTTAAGGAAAAATTATCAACGATAACAACTTTGAAGACAGTTTTATTCAACATGGAAATATGATAACAAATAATAATATAATTTATTGCAATATATAACAAATACCAATGTTAAATGATTTATACATTAAACTTCACATATATTTTTTATTTACATATATTTGTTTACTGATGAGACTAATGTCTTTCATATCTCATCTTTCAAATACTGTAAGAAACATTTGAAATATAATATTGCATCAACATTTGAGAAAATTATAAATTAATGAATAACAATAACAATAAATGAAGTTTACCAAAATAAACAGTTATTAATAAACAGTAAGTTAGTGATAAATATACACAAATGCGTTTTAATCATAACGTGAACTCACCGAATGTCAAAACAAGCACGCTATATAAGAGGTTATGTAAATGTTTATGACCTAACATTGATTACAACTTAATAATTCAAGTAATACAAAAACAATAGGCTATTTACCTCCACGAGATCCAAAAAGTGATATTATGGTAAACATTGGACACAGGATGTAACTTAACTTAATTTTTTATCATAACCTCATATCACTTGATAAATAGTATATATACAAGTTTACAGATATCAAACATACGTGTCAACGAGACCTAATAACCAACAAAAATTATTTAATGTCAGATAAATAATATTTACAAGTTATAAACGTCATTTTAGGACACAACGTAACCTATTATACAAACACCACACAATCATAGACTGGAAAATTGTCCACATTTCGCTCTAGCGACATATTCACTTTACATTTCATAGACTCAAACTAACATCGGACAACCTAAAGGCAAAGTTAGTATTTTATATATATATATATAATACTGATCTTGTGTAAAAAGAGGATAAATACGTCAGGAAAATTATTAGTGGAAAAGAGAAGCAGCATTAACTAGTTCAACCAACTTCTGAAGAAATTTAGTTATGAAATAAATTGCAAATAGCTCAATCACTTTATTTGCATTTTCCAAAAAGAAAGTCTTTTTAAATTGAAAGACAATATTATCGTGTTATAATATTTTTGTAATCGAAAAGCGTCATCTTTATATGTATTAAATATCCTCATTTGTGGTACAACTGCACTGCTTAAGTTTTTATTACCAATACGATTCCATTCTTTAAATAAATTGTTCATGTTTATGTTTGAGATTATAATACGACTATGTTCAAGATGTAAATATTTTATATCGAAGATCGATATTTGTGTATAAAATTCAATAAATTTTGGTAACGTAATATTAATCCAAAAAAGTGTTTCATAGTTTGTGGGAAATACATGCATTCCAAGTTAATGAAAGAAGGCAGATTTCGCTTCAAGATTTTTACGAATGTTTGTAATCTTTGTAAGTAATATTTTAACAAATGTTATATCTTACGTAAAAATATTTATTATGATATTTTTTTTAATAATAGAAGTAAAAGGTTTACATCTCTTAATGATTTATAATCAACGTGTTGCAAATTTAAATACGAATTTTTGTAAATCTTCAGTTTAAGCATACTTTAATTTAGAAATTAGTAAAATCATCATTTTATTTTTAAAACATACTTCATGTTATTGTAGGTTATAAATTGTATTGTAAAGTAGCTTGAACAACCCGCCATTTAATACATAGTTGACATCTCTTACTCAAGAGGGTATACGTGATCATTAATCGACATCATAAAATTCCTATCTATATAATCGTACTAGTGATTTAACGAAAATTAAGAAAATGCATCGTTGTTCATGACTATCAATAAAGTAGAAAATTGTTACGAATTGATTTTGCTTTACGTTAAAGAACGTTTGTCGCACGAAGTATTTTAATACGTGTACTGTGATAAGACTGTGTCTTCGTTAAATAAATAATCGCAATTTCTAATAACTTATTATAAGTGTTGATTTGTCTATTCTGTTGTTTTGATTTATTAATGACATTTGAACTTTAATATACAATCAAGAATAATGGGTGTTGGCCTCAAACCATTAGAGTTTACGGATTGCTTAACTGATAGTCCCTACTTTCGAGAAAATCTTCATTATCATGAACGTGAATTGGAGAACACTAATCAACAGATTAAACGACTCATCAAGGAGGTCAAAGGGCTTTTATTAGCTGCCAAAAGTAAGTTTATTGTTCTCTCTATGCGCATGTAACAGCTGCTGTCATTTTATTCTGTTTTGCCATAATATTTCTTAACGATATTTTTCATAAAATTAAGGTATGTAACAATTTTGTATTTAACTGTGTGTTGTCACTAATTTTTCTTTTACAATTTTTTTATTTTTATTTTTATTTTTATTTAGGTTATTAATAAGTACCTTAATTTTTTTTTTAATTGCAAATAATTTTAATTGATTAAAATTTGATAAAATATGTAATTTTAATAATAAGTCAATAATGAATTATTTTTAGATTTATCCAAAGCCCAGAAAGCATTTTCTAAAACATTACAAAATTTTAGCTTTGAATGCATTGGGGAAACTCAAACCGAAGACGAAAGTCACATATCGCAAAGCCTTAAGAAATTTAGTGAACTTATTGCATCAATAGAGGATGAAAGGGATCGCATGGTATGCAATGTTTTTAGTAAATAAATGTGTTTTATATGTGTTGGAGAAGATGATTGTAGATAAAGATAATTTGTATAAAAATATCTAGGATATTTTAATTTATTATCAGTAAGCAATATAATATGTAAAAATTAAATCTTACACTTTGATACCAGCAAGTCAAGACAGTTTATGTACTGATGTATGTAATTATGTATTGCTATTATTTATAAAATGAACCATTTATATTTGAGTCATTAAGTAGATGTTTATGCAGGTTATTTTAAAATTATATTAATAAAGGTATTATCTGTTTGTTTCTAAAGATATCAAAAATATTATTATAGAAACTTCGTATTGTTGTAGAAGGAGCTGAACCTGGTTGATTAGGGGTATATATTTTGAGTCATATTTTCAAACAAAGTTCTTATGTTCTGTATATTAAATTGCATTTACTTGTTTTCAGTACTTTTTAAAATCAAGTAAATTAATATGTTCTAATGTACATAAATCTTTATATCTCTGATTGCACACAAATGTTTTTTTTTTTAAGCATATAACAGCTTCCAACACTTTGTTTAGTATCCTTTTCTAACAAATAGAAATTTCATATATTATTGCATGTATTTGTTATGTATATACACATCTTGGTACAATGTTTTTAAGCATTTTATACTTGTAAATGCAAAACAGATTATGTAATTTTAGTGTTATTTTAACATTTTACCAAATTACATACTTATACATCTGTAATACAGGGGTAAGCTATACATATTAGATATTTGATATGCAAAATAAATCTTTTTCTAAATAGTGAAATGAAGGTTGTTGTTTTTGCTTGTTTCATTATAGCAATACTAGTGCATTTGTGTGGACATAGGACACATACATACATCTATATTCTTTTCCTAAATGAGGAATGTGCTTAATAATGTTTACCATTTTGTACTGTTTCTGATATTTTCAATTACTTGCACACAATATTTAAAACATAAATAATTAAAATTTTTACACAATTTGTATGTATTAACAATTAGGACACTTCCTGTTTACATCATAAACTGATGTATCTATCTTTTGATACACAAATGTATTTATAATAAAAACAAATTACTGACTAAATAGTAACATTGTAATAATTTCATGTATAGCATTTCTTCATTTATGTATCAAATAAATGGAAGTAATTCTACCAATTTTTCAAGCAGCTGAAAGGCAGCATATTTTTCAAAATTTTTCTAAAAACTAGAATTACTAGATTATATCTAATTTAATATTTTTTAAAAATGATTTATTAACTCGTATTATAAATTTCATATTTAGTTTTGGATAAGTTTCGATAATTTTATTTATGTATACATTTATTTTAATGTCTAGGTTAAACTCATTTTTATATAAGTAGATTTATTTATTCGTCACGATTTTTTTTTTTTCTAATTCAGTGAATTTTTATTTTTAGCTTAAACGTGCAGATGATCAAATTATACTTCCACTGGAAAACTTTAGGAAAGAACATATTGGGGGAGTTAAGGTAATTTATTCAAATTTTTTGTATTTAATAATATATACAAAATATATAATTGTAATATACTTGCAGGAAGGAAAAAAGAAATTTGAGAAACAAACTATCAAATTTTGTCAAAGTCAAGAACGTTATTTAAATTTGTCTACAAAGAAACAAGACAATGTTTTGCAAGAGGTATAAATGTTACTTATATACAATACAGGTAAAAGATATATACTATCCAATCTAATCTAGTATATATTATGGTTAGGCTGACGCTACACTGGAAATGGCTGAAAGACATTTTTGTCAAGCCAGTTTAGAATATGTATTCTTACTTCAAGAAGTACAAGAACGAAAGAAGTTTGAATTTGTTGAAACTGTAAGTTATATTTTCTATGAATTATAAAAGAGTATTATGGATTAACAGTAATAATAATAATAATATTTTTTTCAGTTATTAGGTTTTATGTTTGGCTGGTTAACTTTCTATCATCAAGGCCATGAAGTTGCTAAAGACTTTAAACCTTACATGACCGAGTTACAATTAAAAATACAAAAGGTTGGTTTTCCTTATTATTCTAAGTTTCATTGCTTAAAGATATATGAAGGAAGCATTAGTATTTTAAAGAAGCACGATTCTAAAACGGATTACTTACATTAGCACTACTCAGAGGATAAAAGATTGCTTTGTACACTGTAACATCTATTTATATAATTATATTAAATGTGTAGGGAGACAAATATTTCTGAGCTTGAATTCGAATTAAAATCTTCCACTTACTAAACAGTTGCTTTAATCATTAAGCCATTCAGGCCGTTGACGAGTATTTTCTCCCTCGCTCTTAAAATTGAAATGGCTGATGCCTAAATAAGTACATTAAATATTGTTACTTTACACTTTGTTATCTATAAATTTTGTATTTACATTAGAAATTGCTGGTAAAGTAGGCGTTTTTATTTTGAATTGCAATGTGCACATTTTGTTTCACATACAGTTTTGCTTTACAAATAATGAACGCAATAATACATATTTTTATTTATTAAAAATAATACAAAATAGGATTATCAAATAGAAAAGTTATTACTAACAGTAATCAGAAAAGTAACAAAAAGAATTTCCTTGGGTTGTAATAATCATCATGGCCGGATTACAATATAATTTACTTATACATATATTATTAATATCATCATAAAAAAATGTGACACAACATACCCCAAATGTCTTAGAGATTATTAAGAGATATATAATTTGGGTATTTTTAAATGTCTTGTGTGGCACTTCAAAATACTTTTAATATTAGCAATTTTTTATAATTGAATTAGTTGTTAATATGAAACTACTTGTAGAAATATTTAAGAGTAACTTCCTTACTAAATTATTGTGTGGTGCAAATATTATTAGGATAACAGCATGACAATTAGCTTACTAATTTTTAATTTTATGTGTGTGTGTGTGTTTCACAAGACTAGAGACAATTTCCTTGCTACCCGGGATAAAACAGAATCGCTTATGAATAAAATGAAGGATATGAAAAAGGTATGTACTTTTGTTTTGTACAAATATCAATATCTATATTTAACGCAAATCTTCCTATTTGTAATATCCTGAAGGAAATATCCAAAATTATTATGTGTGTTATTTGTCTAAAAATATTAATTTTATGTCAATTTTAACCCTTTATGGTCGTATTTCGTTTATACGCGGATGCCGTGCTAGTGGCTAAGAGCAGACATACGACCGTTAAGGGTTAATAAGGTGCTACAAATATAGTAGTAATATTTTCAATTTATAGTCTGCTGTAGAAAGTGGAGTCAATAAACTGTACACCCGTGAAGGCTATTTATTTTTAATGGAAAAAAGTAAGTGCATAGATTTTAATAATAAATTTCATTAATGTGATTAATGTATATATATACATATATATATATATAGAGAGAGAGATATATATATAAATGTATTTAATTTTACAGAAGCATTTGGCACAACATGGACAAAACAGTATTGTACATATCAGAAAGACAAGAAAGAATTTACTATGATACCCTATAATCAGCTTACTGGGAAATTTGTAAGTGAAGCTTTTACTATATGGAATTTGTATTAATTTATTATTTAAAAAATTCATCTATATTATGTTTTAATAGAGCAGCAAAGAAGTTCTAACGCTAGCATCTTGTATACGTCGTATGTCAGATACAATTGAAAAACGTTTCTGTTTTGACATCACCACTGTTGATAAGTAAGTGTGCTCATAATATGTACCTTCAGTCATGATTGTCTTATGTATTTTTAACAGTAGAATCTGGAGCATAGTAGTTTACTTTAAATGATTTATCTAACCAGATACTATGTTTTATGTTTAAATGTCTATTCTTCAAAGTTTGATACGTTTTGCATTCTTGGGAATTTAAGGTAGGTGATAGATAACCTACTCTTACCTCATCTAAAATTAAACTTATTGTTAATAAAATGATGCCATTTTAATGCGAAGTAATTGTAAAAACAATTATAGTTTCAAACTAATGATTTATAAAATAATAAATGTTATTTGTGATATATTTTTTTTTTCTATTGATTGTATGTCACAGTTTTCTTTATTTTTTCAGGCCTAATGTAGTATACACATTCCAAGCACTATCTGAAGAAGATAGAAAGTTGTGGTTAGATGCCATGGATGGCAAAGAATCAGTAAGCATTAAGGTAGGCAGTTAAGTAAAATTAAGCAAGCAGTAAGGTAAAATCTATATAATATTATTCAATCCTAGAATTACGCTGCAGTAGGTGCATCAACAAAATCCGAAGAAAATGTTTTAGATGAAACAGGCTTTATGTTTGTATCAAAATGTATTGCAGCTCTCGAAGAAAGGGGTAAGATCAATATAGCCATTTGTAATGTACAATACTTTTTAATATTTTATTAGACTATTCTTTCATAAAATAATTTTAAATTTATCCACTACTTGTTTGTTAGGCCTTGAAGAGCAAGGTCTATATAGAGTTGTTGGTGTTGCTTCAAAAGTAAATAAGCTTTTAGCAATGGGATTAGATAGAAGGAAACTTGAAAAACTTAATCTTGAAGACCGCTTCGAATGGGAAAGTAAAACCATTACCAGTGCATTAAAAACTTACCTAAGGACGTTATCCGAACCGTTAATGACTTTTCGATACTATAACAGTTTCATTTCAGCTGCGAGTGCGTATAGGTATTCTCTATAATATTATTTTATTTAAAATCCTGATTAAGAGTGTTAATTCTACTATATAAATTCAATTTTTTCAACTTAAATTTTATTCATAATAATATATATGTATGTTGTTCAATATTATTATTGTTATTGCAACTTTTAACAGAACAAGAAGTGAAAGAAGCACGTATAAGTGATATTCATAATCTTGTTTATCGACTACCAAAAGCAAATTTTAATATGCTAGTTCTTCTTATTAGACATCTTTGTAGGTATGTATTTATATTTTATTGCATTAATAATTTACATTTCACGTAGTTTACTGTAAAAATATGTAAAATCAAATTATTTTTCCAGCGTCGCGAAAAAGAGTGATAAAAATCTAATGACTGTGGGAAATTTGGCTGTATGTTTTGGTCCGTCTTTATTAAGACCAGAAGAAGAAACAGTTGCTTCTATAATGGATATTAAATTTTATAATATTGTAGTTGAAATTTTAATTGAAAATTGTGAAAGAATAATTGCTGGTCCACCACAAGATACTATACGCTCAACACAAAACACTGCTCCTCCTAGGTCACAGCGTGTAAATACAGAGGACGGATCGGCGTCGTCTGGTAACGGTACTCCTTTTTTAAAATACCCAGTACATGTTATGTCTTCACCACATGGACATGTAAGTTACATATAAATTTATAATTTAAGATTTTTCGTTAGTTTTCCAATATAATAATTAAAATTAAATTATTTATGAAGCACATTACAAGGCCATACTACGACGGTCCATCAGCAGTTGTTACTAAAACACCTTCTATCGATGATCGAAAAAATGGAGATTATGAAGAAGTAGAGCATACAAGTCACAGAATACCGCCATATCTGGATAGTCGCAGCGGACGTGTCAAATTAAATAATGCAAATGTCATGTACCATTCTGCAGATAAAGGTTATAATTATATATATATATATATATATATATTCTATATGTCAGCATATTTCATAGTTTAACAAACATTAATATTGTATAAATATAGTATTAACAAGTGGCAACACAAGTAGTTCAAGTGAATCAATTGCACCCGATCCACACTCGTTTTCATCCGATTTACCGGTGAAACAAAAACGTGGTTCTATGATGCCTGTACATTATCCATCAGGTTACACTCAACGAAATAATCCACCAGTATCTGTGTAAGTCCTTTATTAATAGTTTTTAATTTTAAACAAAATTATAATTCGTACTTTAAATATACTTACATATCTTTTATAGAATTAACACATCACCCGGTAGTGGACGTTCAAGTCCTGGACAGGTACCTGGCATTTGGTAAATACAATTATTACTGAAATCGAGGTAAACCATATTGAACATTAACAAGTAAATATATATATATCTTTTTTTTTTTCAGGAGAGTCCGTACTTTATACGCTTGTGTAGCCGAAAGCGACGGAGAGTTATCGTTTGAACCAAATCAGATTATAACAAATGGTATAAAAAATAATTGGCTGTATTTTCAATTTCGTAAAGAAAGCAAATTTATTTTACAGAATATTAATATTAATTTTCAATTACAGTAAAGGCCTCTTTGGAACCTGGATGGTTAGAAGGTACATTAAATGGTAAAACAGGATTGGTCCCAAAGAACTATGTTGAACAATTACCTTAAATTTAAAACAGCCAAAGAGTGCCTAAATTGTTTTTACATTCCATAATTATAAGTTCTTTTAGCACTGTTGCTTGTTGAAGCATATGTTCATGAAAACAAAAAATAATGTTAACGACATATGTGAAACGCAATATTTTCTATTTAAATTCCTTTGGGTACAATTTACATAGTCAATTATATATACATTCGTATATACATTTTTTATTTATTAGGAGCCTCTTTGCTCAAAAGCGTCTATATTGTATATAATCTATTGTAGAAAAATTTATATATACTTATATACAAAAGCATATAACGCTAATATATTACATGATATTTAAATATATTTGTACTGAAAGATATTGCTCCATTATGCAGCTAGTAGAAAATCTCATAGGCAATAATATTTGTTTATACTGCGATAGTCTCTGCATATACGTTCACTCGAATACATACACATACACAATATAATATCAGAATGTGATATAAAATAAATAAATACCAAATATAATCAGAATTTTTAATAAAGACTTTATTGATGTGTAAATTTGATTTATTTAACTAAATACTATAAAACAGAAAACATATACATAATTTTTTTAAATAATTATTTCATATTGTATTTTTATGAGATTGAACAACTTCAATTTAAAAATTATTTTAAAAATATTAACAATAAGAATTTTTTACATTGTGGAATTATTTATAATGAAATGTATTAAATACAACAACAAAAATATTAAATACTTTATTTGCAATGAATATCGATTGTTTTGTTAGGAACTTATAATAAATACGATTTATGGAATCACATGGTTTGGAATAATAAAAATTAAGGAAACTATTAACTGACCAAAATGTTTTACATGTCGTCTATTCTTTCTACAAATGTAAGATATTTAAAATATTGTTTACTTTTATTAAATATGGAATGTAGTTTAAAATGTATTGTAATTGAAAATTATATGCAATTACTGATACATAGATAATTGTAATTCATAGAAAAGAGAAAACGATTTAATTTAATTATTGTCATAAAGATGATAGTAAAAACATTAATGCGTATATATATATATATAATATATATATTATATAAATGCTAAGATTTACTTATTAAATATGATGATATCCGATATTTTTAACCAAACAGTTAAAAAAGAAAATCATCATTTTCAGTTATGTAATTGTATAATTTATATAATTTCACTGTTTATATAAATTATTATTTAAATTTGTTAAATAAATTTCCATTCCTAGACATGCTGCTTTTAAAGCATTCTTTTCTATAATATTCCATATAGAACTCATAAATAAAGTATAACACAATACTGCAGTTAAAAAAAGACGACCTATATTAATTCCAATGACTGCACCATAAGATGCAATAGAACAATCCAATCCCATAGACCAAATAAGTGGTACAATTAATATAAAACCTAATAATAAATACCAATATCGTTGCCGCTGAACATTTTTTAGTGATCTTTCACATATTTTTATAGCCTCTTTCAATGAATCTTTAATATCTATATTTGTACACTGAGACTTGCTTCCTACAATAATGATAAAGTGTTAACAAGTATTCAATTTTGTACAGTATACATTATCTGATATATACTTATACTTATTAACTTACCAGAGGTAAATTTAAAACTTGCCATAATAGCCTCGTGATCAGAATAACTAAAATCTTTGTGAGGTATTCTTTTTGGAAAAGGATGTTGAAAATCTGTTACCTCTATCTATAAATAGCATAATAATTAATAAGTATTTGATAAATAATTTCTTATAATCAAAGTATTAAATACACAGGGATAATTTAACATACTTTAATATTTTTTGAACCTGAGAATAAAATGTGATCTATACGCTTTCCTTCAGGAAAAACTCTTGCAAGTTTTGAACTAGTGTAGCTATTATTGGCACATTCATTGGTCCCTAAATGACTAGAACTGTTTGAGCAAGCATCTGTTAAACCAGCAATGCCACACATAATTTTATAAGCTAAATCTTGAGATTCTGCATTGAGATCACCTCCCAATATTACAGAATCAGCGCTACCAGAAGTCAACCTAATAAACTGGGCAGTATCAAAAGCTTGTAAAACTCTATGTGCTTTATATTCATCATTGGATCTGCTATATTCTGCATGTAACTGAAACATTAAACACAGTTATTATTTATTGAAAATTCAAAGAATATATGAATAAAATATAAACACTTTAATAATTCATTACATGTGCAATATAAAAGTGAATATTTAAGTTATGAATTTTAAGTTTGCAAAGACCAACTCCTTTTCCACCAAACCAATCTCCATGATGTATTTTGTGTACATATCCATTTAGTGGCCATTTATGAAATATTATATCTTCAATAGGATATCGAGATAAGATACAAATACCTGATCCAGCAACTCCACTAAAATATAAATTACATTTTAATATTTAAAACATGTAAAAGGAACATTTCTACTGCAACAATCTTTATATAAATATTTACCTATGAAAATAATGTGAATACGGGAGTCGTTCTTGAGTTTTAGCCTTCATCATTTTAAAATCATCACTGGACCACACCTCTTGTAAACAAATAACATCATAATTTTCTGTAGCAAATTTTTCTGCAATTGCTGCCATGCGAGCTTTTCTATCTTTTGCAACATATGGAATTCCCCTATAATATAAGGGATATAAAAACAATCTTAACAATTGTAAACAATACAAAAAATGAATACTTAAGATACAAATACAACAAATACATATAAATTAGTGTTCATTATTTGTTCAATATTTATTTTAATTTAATTTTTATTCAATATTAATTAATGTTCAATAATTATTAGATATTTACTTACCAGCAATTCAAAGTTAAAACATTTATTGACACTTCGTTTACCATCTCTTATGAGCTAGTTAAAATCTTAATATGTATTTGTTTAAAAAGATTCGATATGTATTTCTACGTTTCACAGTTCTTTGAGGAATATATTGATACCACTCATTTATGCCTAAAATTATTAATGATTCTAGTGAACCTGTATTTGGTCGGTAAACTGATAAAAATGCTATCTTTACGCCATCTATGCGTAAATGGAGAAAAATACTTTACAGCTTACCGACAGGTCGGTCGGTAAGTTGCTGCGTAGCTTCCGCGACACCCGATAGATGGTACTATTTTTTTGGATACCGACATTATGGCATCCGGGGTATCAGAGACCCCGATGCACAGGTAACGCTCTTTCCGTACCAACATCTTGGCATCCGGGGTATCAAGGACCCCGATGCACAGGTGACGCTCCTTGTATACTGACATTATGGCATCTGGGGTATCAGGGACCCCGATGCAGGGCTGACGCTCCTTGCATACCGACATATGGCATCCGGGGTACTAGGGACCCCGGAGCACAGGCAACGCTCTTTGCATACCACCATTATGGCGTCCGGGGTGTTAGGGACCCCGCTGCATCGGTAGCGCTTTCTAAAATGCACCAAGTTGATTTGTTAGAAAATATGTTGCGCAGGATCCGCTATTATCTTATGAAAACTTTGACCCTTGCGCAGTCCTATTAGTTTTTATGTATTCCTTAAAAAGTGTCCCTTAATAAGGGTTTTACTTGTTTTCAGATGTCACTCACAGACATGTTTCCGCATTATTAAAAGGAAGAATTTGCTGTATTTATCTTCTTAGCTTATTGAATAAACTTTTTAGGAGCATGAACGTGTTGATTCTATGTATTACATCTGTGTGCCTCGCCGATTATTTTATCTTTTTATTTAATATTTTACCCCTATTTTCGGGCCTTGCGTGGACCACCCTCCCAAGTTATTTATTATTTTATCCCTCTTCATGGTCCTCGGCTCAACCTTCCCAGTTATTTATTATTTTTTTGTCTTTAAGGGCCTCACGAGGCCCAACCCTTTATCACTGCATCCCTCACATGTCTGCATCCTTAACATCCCTTATATGCCGGCATTCCTTATATCTCGGCATCCCTTATATTTTTGCACCCCTTACATCTCTGTACCCTTTATATCTCTGTATCCCTTACACTTCTGAATTCTCCCTGCATCTCTTGTATCCTTTCAACCCTTATAATAAATATATTATAAATAATATACTTACGGCCACTGGTTCGAGTAAAGGTAAGTAAAGGTAAGTAAAGGTAAGTAGTCTCGCGAAAAATAATTTTAAATTTAAATTTTTGTAAAATTTAGTTCCTTTTGTTACCGCCAGAGGGCGCTGATCCGACATCGAAAATTTAGTTCGCATTTTTGCCGTTAGAGGGCAAAAATTCCTGCATGATTTAGTTCCTTTTTCTGAAATCAGATGGCGCTGATTCGACATCGAAAATTTAGTTCGCATTTTTGGCGCTAGAGGGCCAAAATTTCTGCAAGCTTTAGTTTCTTTTTCTGAAACCAGATGGCGCTGATTCGACATCGAAAATTTAGTTCATATTTTTGGCGCTAGAGGGCCAAAATTTCGGCAAGCTTTAGTTTCTTTTTCTGAAACCAGATGGCGCTGATTCGACGTCGAAAATTTAGTTCACATTTTTGCCGCTAGAGGGCCAAAACTTCGGCAAGGTTTAGTTCCTTTTTCTGAAACCAGATGGCGCTGATTCGGCGTCGAAATCAAATATTTGCCGCCAGGGAGCTAAAGTTTTTGCAAAATAATGGGATGCTTGCGAAAGAGATGCAAGGATGTAAGGGATGTAGGGATGTAAGGAATGCATGGATGTACGGAATGCATGGATGTAAGGAATTCAGTGATGTAAGGGATGCAGGGATGTAAGGAATTCAGAGATGTAAGGGATGCAGGAATGTAAGGAAAGTAGTGATATAAGGGATGCAGAAATGTAAGGGATGCTGGGATGTAAGGGATGCAGGGATGTAAGGAGTGCAGGGATATAAGGAATGCAGGGATGTGAGGAATGTAGGGATGTAAAGGATTTTTTTTTTTTTTTTTTAACGTGGGGAAATCTTGCATAAGACCCCCCGCCAGCCCCTGGGGCAGGGCGGCGGGGGAGTGTCAGATTCTTACTGACTAAAACCCCACGGCGACCAACACTGGCGCTAATCAAGTGGTTATCATTCAACGAACGTCTTAAAGTTAATGCAAATAATGTTTACTTTGAATTTTTAACAAAAGTTTGATGCTCGATCGATACTGTGGTACTATGATTGCAAGAGTACACATTACTACACATACATATAACATTGTTTCTGCCTTGTTTTCGAGCATGCGTACAACGTCTTAGCGTCACTTACAGACATGTTTCCGTGTTATTAAAAGGAAGTTGGAAGGATAGACCATAATTCGGAATGATACTATTTATTTGATTTACCTTGTTGTATCCACATTCGAATAAGTTGTAACCAATTAAAGTATTATACCTTATCCTGTTCATTTTATTCATTTCTTGTTGGTAGATGTATTTAAAATTTGTATCATGTCGCCAAAATTATACAAAAAAATGCTATCAGGTTCAGTGAAAACCGTCGTAACATGACTAAGCTTAAATAGCATCAAATTTTATAATACTGATGCAAGTTAAAATGTTCACTTAACTATTAAAACAAGCTATTAAACATACAGTAATTAGTATTAGAAAATGTTTTTAGTGGGACTAACAGGTGGAATAGCTACCGGGAAAAGTAGTGTTGCTGCTATTTTTCGGGAATATGGAATACCTGTCATCGATGCTGATCAGATTGCAAGAAAAGGTTAAAAATGAAATTGAAATGTTTAGTAGTTATGTTTCCTTAAAACATTTTAATTTGTTTTTCAGTCATATTTCTTCATTTATATCTAAATTATTAAAACGGTTGTTGTTATATTTATCTGTATATAAATAAAATGAAATAAAATAAAATACGAATTTGTTTTATACATTATAGTTGTGGAAGCAGAAAAACCAGCTTGGCATAAAATAAAGAGAGAATTTGGCCCAGAAGTATTTTTAGATACAGGTGAATTGGACAGAGTTAAACTCGGTGATCTAATATTTAATGATATAGAAAAAAGAAAAAAATTAAATGCTATCACTCATCCAGACATATACAGAGAAATATATTGGCAAACGTTTAAACTTTTTCTGCAAGGTCACCAGTTTATAGTTATGGATTTACCATTGCTTTTTGAAACAGAGCATATGTTAAATTATTTATATAAAATAATCGTTGTAACTTGGTACGTTAAATAATAGAGATGCTTGGTATATAAAAATGAAAGATATTTTCAACAATTTTCTGTTTGATTTTAGCGAAGAAGATTTGCAGCTGCAAAGACTTATGGAAAGAACAGGTTTCACTGAAGCTAAAGCAAAATTAAGAGTTGCCGCGCAAATGTCATTGGAAAAGAAAGCAGAAATGGCAAACTTTGTTATTGAAAATTCTGGTAGCGAACGCGATACGAGAGAACAAACTATCAAAGTCATTAATGTTCTAAAAGCTTCCAAACATCATTGGAAATTACGTTTTATAGTTGGATTTTGTTGTACTGTTTTATTAGCAGGTGTATACTGGATAAGAAACAAAAATTTTCGACCTTTACCAATTACAGCATAACTATTTTTCATGTACAAATGATTATAAATATTGGTGTCCAACTATGTTTTGGTTTCAATAATGCATTTATCATACTTATGAATCAACTTATTTACCAAATTAGCAAGTATTTTTAACATGTACGCTTATTAACATAAAGTTATAAGTAAAAGATTATACATTTGTATGCATATATAAAATACACGAGTACTTATTGCTCAATTTCTTATACTAATTGCATAAAATATGTACATACAGCAAATATGCGCATGATAAGTTTGTGTACCTGCTTTTTCATTTATGGGTCAGGTTTAAATTCATTGTTTCTATTTTCCACCAGCTGAACCCAAAGCCATTTACAAGTAAATTATAAAAACTCAAAAGACCACGACAAGTAGTTAATTTATTAAAGTAATATTATTTTATAAGAATAATTAACTTATCTATTAAAAAATGTAAGTATAAAAATTGTTTTTGCAAAATATGAAAGCAACAGAGAATACTATTTACAGCATCGCCTACAGAACAGTCGCAAGGTTCACCGCTATTTTCAAAGTAGCGGTAAACCTTAACTTTTAACTTTTATCAGAATTCATTCTATTTTGTACTTATCTTAATATGTTAGCCTAAAAGAGTCGATTCTTATCTAAGTTCATTTACGACGTCAATTTTTACTCGTATCTATTATCTTTTTTAATAATACAAAAATTTACCTACAAAATTATTTTTCATCTCCTTCATATCAGCAGGATATTTCAAAAGGAATAGGAGAATATCATCTTTAACCACCTTACATAACTTTGGATCGATATATCCTTATTAGTCTTTTATACACAATTTGGACATGTATCGTGCTGCGTACACTATGTTAACGTAATGAAAAATTATCTTTTTACAAGGCAAATCAGTGAAAACGGGAACAAAAGTACATTTTACGTTTGAATGATTTCAATAAGAGACATTTCATTGAAAGTACATTGCTAAAAACAGACCTGTACGATAATTTCTATGAATTCCTACTTAAAGACCTAGGATGTTGTGTTATTCATTGAATACTTTCAACATTGTATTTCTCTAAAGAATATAATTTTCTTGTATTTATTTATTTATATGCTCTGCATTATTTATATTCACCATTCATATTTAAAGAAACAATATAAATAAAACGGTATTAGTTTGAAAGACTGGATGTACAGAACATCTCTTTATGTACTTGAGCTTTTCTTCTTCGTTATTTAATTAGATGTTTCTTTCTCATTTATTGCAACACGGGCCTAAGTTCTTGAGTCATAATAGGGTAAGAAACTAACGGTGCAGTGGCACCAGATATTGATAAAGGTAAACTGGCAGGTTGTTGCGTATTAGGTGGTTGTTGATTAGTTGCCTGTGGACCTGAACCGCTCATTGTAATTGTTTGTTGAGCCATCGTGACGATGGGTGGAGGTATAGATACTGGTGCCATTGAGACCGCTGCAATAGAAACAGGTGCGACTGTGGCTATACTTACAGGTACAGTCGCAACGCTTGCAGTAACTGTACGAAGAGTACCAGCAGCTACTGCTGCATTAACCATTTGCTGAGGAGTCGGAGCTTGCGACGGTGGAACGGTATTTGTAATAGTAACTGCAGGTACTGTAACAGCAGTTACATTTGCAGTTCGTTTTCCAGACATTCTTAACTGAGCATTTTGATCCAAAAGAAACTCGTTAGTCGCTGTTAAATCGCTAACCTGCGGAATAATAAATGAATGCAATATATATATACATATACACACACACACACACACACAGAAATGCACAGAAACGAGGCGTAGAAAACAAAATAGAAAAGAAGAAGTTATAACGATAGAATTATATTAAACTAACTTGCTTTTTCAACTCTTCTATTTTCTTCCTTAATAATACATTTTCATCTTCCAAAACGATTGCTCTAGCCTCGTTGCGCGGTATAATCGGATAATAGTAACCTGGAGTGACTGGTTGGGGGGCATGCTGTCCTACAAGCGGCGAGGCTTCAAAATGAACAACAGTTTCGCCAGAAACTATTCGCCTTTTTGGTTCAGGAGGTCCAATGTAATCAGGTGGATGCGATGATGCATTGTAACCATTGTTTGTGACTAAGTTATGTTGATCGTCCATTTGCCAGTGAAAACTATAAACACATGAAAGGAAATTATGAAAAAATAAAATTACATTGTCTGTAACAATGTTGAATAGAAAAATTCATTTGAACAATTTCGTAATATTATACTTACTTTCTATCCTCTTCGTATCTGCGGTTCTCACCGTTACTAGTACCATTAAAATTGTGCTGTGGCCTAGACACAGTATGATGAGAAGCTGTAATTAAATTATGTTGTTGTTCATCGTTTTTCCAATGTCTATACTTGCAGCTCGTCCTTTGACAGCTACCTTTAATGAAATCTTTGCACATAGGATATTCCGATTTCTCATTGTTATTTTTCAGCCTGGTCATTATATGAGCAGGCAGCTCTCCAGTCGCCCTGAATCTTTTCTCTTCGCCTTCTGTACAATGAAGGAATTTGCAACCGGGCCAATTGCACATACCATTTTGAAAATCATGACAAAACGTGTATTCCTCTACGGGATCGTCCTCGGAACGTTCGTGCAAATATTTGCAACGTTTCCCCCTATGGCATACGTTTCGTAAAAAATCTCTGCAGACACGGGTTGGCGATACATCTCCGTTTGCATTGGGTGCACCTGCAACTGCAACTGCTCCTGTCTTGCTCGGTTGCCCGCCTCTCACGCTATCCAACTTATTTTTCAGCTTCTTCATCGATGATACATTGCGCTCATACCTCGTAAGTAATTCTTAATCGATCCTTATTATTCGCACGTTACACGTGCGTGCTGTAATTATAAAACAGCTCATTGTAGCAGAAACATTAGTGAAAAGAATAGGAGAATAACTTTTCTGTGCTATTATCTGAACAAAGAAAACTTGTTATTAACATCTATCGATCGAATTCACTGTAAATCAATCTATCATTCAATTAAAATAATAAAGTTTAAGTGTCACATATGGATTAGTTCTTTCAATTGTTTATAAAGACATTTTAGTAGTAGACAAAGTGTCGTTCAAAATAACATTAATAATAATAAAATAATAATAATAATAATGTGATTCGCCGCGTAATTTTGTTTTATTAAAAAACTTTCATTCTTTTCACATTTCACAATATTACAAGCATCCTCATGAATAAACACAGGTTTCTGATGAAGGAGAGTAAAGAACTTCAGTTAATTTTTATTTCTTTTTTCTGTTTTATATATATAATATATGTATATGACTATTACATGAATAGTAAGATTATATCAACAATGTTATGTACAGTATCGCCTTATTATTTATATATAAACCTTCACGATCTTAATACAATTTCACTAAAGAGAGAAAAAGTAACACGTATAAAGCATGACAGAGCAGGAAATTCAAACGTTTCTTTTTATTGGAAGGGGAGGAAAAAATTGAATATATCTTTTTATTTTTCGATCGATCACGTGCCGTTTAACAAGGGCAGACATAGATCGGGTAATGGCACTGTAATTAAGCTATTAGTGAATTAAGAAAATACAGTTATAATTATATTCGTATAAAAAAGAATTGATAGAAAAAGTATAACTAGGAAGTATCCTCTTTTCTTTTTTTTTTTGTCTCTTTTTTTATTTCTTACTTTAGAAAACAGATAGATAGGCCATGATGTACGTGAATCCGCTAATAATACAATGATTAAATGAGAATCAATAGTGAAAAATCTCACACTGAAGAATTCGTATTGTTTTCCAAATTTTATTAGGTCGCATGAATAGATATGCCTCTATTGTCGTCAATGCTACTATTAACAAAAGAAAACGTACACATACAATGAAGTGAGAAAATACAAGAAACTATTATTCAAATGAAAATCGTTGCGTATTAACAAATTGTTGTTTCCATGTACAGAAAACGATTAACAGGGTGCAGCAATAATCCCTGGACAAAATTTCATTATCAGCGGTTTTTTCCTGCCTTTTACCATTCGTTTTATTGTTTTGAAATTGGAGCGAATTTAGAACGCGCTTCCAGCCATTCGTAGAATTCAAGACTGGCCAACGCCCACATCAAATTCTTCATGCTTCCTATCCCGTAATTCAAGTGGTCATCATTCAACTTACTTTGAATTTTATCTAAATTATGGAGAATTTCAATTGATTTGCAAAAAAAAACTGGAGATGCACACTTTTTTCCTTTATTTGTGAAATAGTTCAGTGAAAAGCTCAACTTTTACTCTAATCAATTTTGAAGAAAGAAATAATGATAGCTTGAAAGAGACAGAAGTCTCCTATCATTTGGTAAAACAGAAAATTTATTTTTTAATAAAATATTTATTCTAGAAAATAAAGCCAAGATCGTCGAAAAGTGATGTTAGAACCGCCGATAATATTGTAATTAGATCTAATAATTTGTTCACACCTGCTAAAAAGAAAAAAAATTTCTGTCCAAGAACTTTTGATACATTTTATTATATGTATACGTAAAAAAAAGAATGCAATTTATGATTGATTTATATTAACATGATATTGTTTCAACGAATTTACAGCTAAACCGTAAACAAATATAACTGTAATTATAATATATAATTATCAATCGAAAAGTATGGTAATTTGATTTCTTTAATCTTAGCTTCTCTTTTTTAATCTTTTTCCGATTTTGTAGGAATTTATAATATTAAAGAAAAAGGAAAAAAGAAAGAGAAACTTGAAAGAAATCAATATTGACTGATTGAACACAAATAATTTCCAATTAATTAAATATGTATCGAGTATTCCTCATCGAATACAAATCTAAATTCAATTGGACTAATTCTAAGAGAAATATTAGAAGAAAATTGATCAAGGTATTAGATATATCAACGAGCTCTTATAAAAATCGATTTTTGCATATAAACGTTATTTATAATCTATGTAATAATATATTTGAGTTTTGTTGGGCGTGCAGTGCTTGATATTTTTAAAGAAGATATGATATTCGGATTGGCAGCATGTTGAACATTTTACCTGGTATTGTCTATACGTTTTCTAATACATTTCTCCTAGCCTAAAATTTTTTTCTATTTACACATTTATTGCTACAAATCTGTCTTGTTCATTTGATTTTGGTTCCTCGTTTGAAATGGTAACACGATGAATCTTTGCTTTATCTCTTGTAATTTATTCTCAGAATTTTTCGAGATCGATGCTTCAACAACCGCGTATCGAAAAAATATATATTATGTAATGCAGTTCTCAATATTTTGTCCATATAAAAATTTATTTGTTGAAATTACACACCACTCGATTTCTTTTATTCCGTTTACTCAGAAGCTTTTTAACAAACTAGCGATAAAGAAAGAAATACAATATTAATATTAATTACAATACAATATTAATTAATCGTAAAAGGTATATACAAAAAGAGGAGAAAGAAAGATTAAAAAAACTTTTCTAGCAGCATCCATATTAACATAATGACAATGGGTGCTACATAGTGTATCGGTACTGTATAAGTTGTATTTAACAAATCACCACATTGTGCTTTTAGGGTTGTATACTTTTTAGAGAGGTCAGTTTTTTCTTCGATAAGTATATTATATTTCTCTTTTAAGATAACTAATTCTTCGTGGAGTTCTTGAATCCTTTGAGCTTCGTTTTTAGCACGATAATAAAGTTCTTTTAATTTTCCGATAACATCTTCGTGAGGTTCACAGATTAACCAATCCTTCAGACATTCCAACTCTTTCTTAATAACTTGTTGCGATTCAAAATCATCTTCAGCCTTTAAAGAATCCAATGAGCCTATTAATGTTTGTAATACGTATTCTCTCGTATGTATACTTTGACTACTATCATTTTTCGACAATGGTTTCAATGTTTTAACGTATTCTCCTTCCAAATGTTCTCCTTCACAGGAGAGCTCTTCATCCAATTCGTTATCATCTTTATCCGTTTCACCTTTTTTCTCACCTTCGGAAAGAAGCTCTTTCGTTTTTGAGACGGGTTCGTTCAAAATCTTAACGTTATTCATACTTTCGACGCTTCTTTCAACCGTTACTTCGCTTTCAATTAATTTTCCTACAATTTCGGAATAACGAAAAGCTGCTTGTTTGTCACTATCCTCGGATGAAAATTTAACTTCCGATATATAAGGTAGACAAATTTCTTCTCTTGCCTTAGCAGCTTCTTCTTCATCTTCTTCTTCTTCCTCTTCTTCTTTTTTAACTTCTATAACAGATTTTTCACTTGTATCGTCGCTAGTAATACTGCATGTATCATCCGTTGCATCTGAATTAGTATCAGATTCTAAATTGCTATCTGAATTATCTAGATTTATATTTACATTTCCATTTCCATTTCCATTAACCAACGTTCTTCGAGAGGATGGTAGTAAAATATATTCTGTTAAATTATCATTATCACTCAACGAGTCGTCCAACTGTTCTTTTGAAAAGATAAGATCAGAATTTTTCAACTGAACCGAATCATTATCTTGTGAATTAATTTGATTATCTTGTTCATCCTTTAAAGGATAAAGATTAGTTTCCGCATCGAGCTCGGCATTATCAATATGAATCGAATTCAACTCATTTAGGATAATATTAATAGGATTGTCTTCGTCCTTTGAATCCATCATGCTACTTGTTACTAATTTTGAATTCATGTCTTGTAAAATTTGCATGTAATTTTTTAGGGCAGTGATTTGTTTATATATATTAACAGAATCTAATCGAGAATCACGTAACCTTGCCTGCAAATTTTTCTCAATTTGAGCTTGATGTTCAAGTTTTTTTACAAGTTCACGTTTTTCTTGTTCCATATTTTGTACTGTATCCTTCATTTTATTCTCACATTCTTCCAACTTGTTTGTAGTTTCTTGAAGCTTTTTTTGCGCTTCTGTATATTTACTACATACTTCCTGCAATTCGCTTTGAGCAAATTTTGCTACGTTATGCAGACTTTGACACTCCCCTTCTGTTTTACTCAAACATGCTTGCGTTTGATATAACGTTACAGCTACCTCTAATTTTTCTAAAAATACTTTATGCAATGCCTCCTTTGCTGCATTTTGGTATTGTGCTTTTTCTTCCTGAAGTTTCACTAATTCGCTTCTGATCGCATCCTCTTTGTAATTTTCAGAATATACAGCCAACTGACTTTCAATAGTCTCTACCCAAGACAATAATCGATCCTCTGTTATTAACGCTTTCCAAGACTGATCAGCAGCTTTTCTAGTTTTTTCTACAAGCTGTTGAAGGTATTCTAACTTATAATGAAGCGCCTTCTCGCGTCTAGAAGCTTCTTGCATAACTTGATTTAACTTGTATAAATCCTCCAGAGAAACATTATTAACCGGCGATGTGACCGATGTACTAAGACTAGCTTTAGCCTCTATCCCATTTGGCAAATATAATTTTAATGTTGCAACTATACATCCGTGCGTAACTTTTTTTGTATTCTCTACCACATCTACTCCAAATTGCACTATATCGCCTGAACATACTTCTTTAGGTGCTGATTCTAAACCAGCCGGACTGAGTCTGTGATTATTAACAAATGTTCCATTACTACTACGTGTATCTTGCAAAAAAAACTTTCCACCAGCATACCATAATAACGCATGATTTCTAGATAATACTTTACAATCAAAAATTGCATTGTTCGGAGTAGCTCTGGCACGTGCTACGGAACGACCAATTTTAACAGCTTGTTCTAATGACAACATACGATCTTGAAAAGGATGAGAATTGTCACGGCAAATTAAGATACCTTTTGCTGTCATTTTGTTATTTTGCGCAGTGTTTACATTCAGGTTGGAATTATTCTGATTGGCAGGAATACTGGCATTTTGTACCCACCCACCACTGGCTACAACCATAGCCGATGTAAAATCCAAACGATAACAAATCCTTTTGAGCACACTTTAAAACATGTATAAAAAAAAACTTAATAATTAACAATTAACACACACCAAAGAAAGGGGAGTTCGGAAAGCAAAAATTACGCGTTTTAATGTCATTGAACATTGTCTGATGTATCAGTTTATTACGAAAGTTAGCATTCACACCCAATCCTACAATTTAATCACCAGGGCGGTACTTCGATGTTCTGGGAACGGAATATTTGTCAACTTCAACGAATCATCAGATACGAATTCACATGTTTCTGCAATTAAAGAAATTCCGTTGCTATTCCATCAGTCTTCTAGGTGTACTTTTTTCTTTTTTAATTTTTTTTTTAATATATATACATATGTATATATATATTTTTCATGAAATTTCTCGTACAATTGTTACAGTTCTGTGTTCATCAATCCAGAACATTCTTTGAAATTTTAATTAATCACGTCAGCTTTTTCTTCAACAAACAATTCAACTTAAATCTTTCGAATGCACTGAAAGTAGCCAACAGATATGTTTCTTTGCGCAAGTAGCGGTGAACGTACGCTTTCACACTTTCGTCCTTCGCACAAATTTCCTTGCACTTTAAAGTCTTCGTTGTTACATTCAAGGAAGTTTATTAGAAAAGTATACGACACGTGATACGTAATCGACAATACTTGAACGCAATGAATCGAATAATATTGCAATCAACTTGATAAAGACCAAAAATATTGTTCTCGAAGTATAGCATTACTGTATTGAGATACAAGTAGTCCACGTTCCTTTAACTCGGTGCTTTTCAGTTCCGCGTTTCGCTGTTTATCGACCGGCGGCAGTACAGTCATATACGAATACAACGGTGTATCAAATTCAAAGTTACTACATCATCATCAAAAATACTTGATAGATAGACATTTTTCGCTAGAGTTTTTATATAATTAAATAAATTCATCGTAACAAGAATTCATAATAAGCACTAATATTTTGATACGCGCATTTTCAAACGATCATGAAAACTACTATTTAATATTGGTGGAAACTCAATGTTTCAATATAAGAAAACAAAATGATTTAATACTTTTATGCGAACATAAAACTGACAGTAGCATTACTTTTTTTTGTTAAGTCTCGTTTCTAAGTAAAATGACTTTTTATACTTTTGTCTTCAAAATACAAGCATGCTATAAAAAATACATTTCCTCTCAGGTATTAATGGATATTGCTTTACACATCGTTTAACTCGGATAACTTACAAAAGAGGATAAAAATATCAACGTAAAAAGAAAACCTTCTAGAAATGACCCTGTATTAAAGATATAAAAGAAACATTCATCTATTTAAAAAATTTTTAACAATCTTAAATCTAAAATTGTATATTACTCAAGTATTGTTTAAAAATAGACTTTAATTATTTACTTAAAGAACGAAAATATTTCATAAATGGTACCAAAAAACGCAACGCGACGACGTGTTAAATCTATTTGAAATAAGGTAACTAAATTGCAATTAGTTGCCTGGCGCCCATTTTGTTTTTATATAAAATATGTATTATTTTTATTTATTAAATCTTGATTAATGTGATTATTTTAAAAATTCAATATTAATAATTGCATAGAATTTTCTAAAAATCAATATTTTAATAAAAAAAATAATGAATACCTTCAAACGTACACTCGTATCCAACGTAGACTTCCTTCGATTAAGGGGAAGTGTAGAGGAAATAGTCTCCCACCATTTGCTTGGATCACTCTTGTTTTCAACCTACGTTGGATAGAGGGGGTTTCCTTCTACTGTTACGCGTTCACTCCCAAGAGCAAATGCGAATGGTGGGAAACTCCTTCTCTGCTCTTCCCCTTAGGGAAGCGAACGCTGCACGCGAACCTATATGGTTCTCATTCTTACGTGAAAACATATGAAGGTCAATGTTTGTCAAATGACTTCTCTACATGGTAACATTGTGCAAATAACCTAAAAGGATGTAGTGAAGTGAAATTCCTATATTAAAACGTAGTTTACACAATATTTCGTTGAGTAAACAACCATAACTTCTGAACAATTATTTTTCTGTTTTTGTATTTTGTATTGTTGATTGGATAAAAATTACCTCCAATTTTAACAAGTTTATTTTAATATGTAATTTATGTATACATAAGTACTCGTGTCACATACATTATACGCACGCGTGCGCGCGCGCACGCACGCCTACACAAATACGCACTATGTATTATTAATAATAATTAGATATTAATAATAACTCATAATGTCAGACGAAGAAGATTATATGTCAGATAAATTTTTACAAGGATCTCAAAAAGATACTTCGTCGACTCTTCTATATCGGCATGCAGATAAAAGAAAATTTGAACTTATGAAAAAGAAAAGCGAAATTGAAGCAAAATTAAAAGAAAAAGGTTCTGCTAAATATATTGAAGAAGAAAAACGAGAAGCTGGTTTATCTTCTGCAATTACTAGTACCAACAAAGGTATATTTTTATTATTTTGCATATATAAATAGTTTTATAATATACAGTCACACATTAATATTGCTTCATTTTTAGGTTTTGAAATGCTTATGAAAATGGGATATAAACCTGGTCATGGAATAGGTAAAACAGAATCAGGAATGACCGAACCGCTTGGTGTTGAAGTAAAGTTAAACAGACACGGTCTAGGGAAAGAAGCTAAGAAAAAAGAAGTAAAAGTTAAAACCAATTCGATTAGCGATAAATTAGATAACAAAAATATGAAAGATTTTCGTGGTAGAATTGCACAAAAAAGAGCGGAACAATTATTAAAAGGAGACCTATACAAAAGTCAGAAAATCTGTGAACAATTGGATATGCAATTGAATCTAGAAAAGCCTAGAGAAATATGGTTTTGGTTACCTCAAGAAAACGACGAAAGCGATGATACCGATTCTGAGGAAGACGACGAGACTCTTCCTGTTAATGAAAAACTTGACATTCTTACGAAGTATTTAAGAGAAAAACACTTTTATTGTATTTGGTGTGGAACAACATTTCAGAATACAGAGGATCTGAGAGATAATTGCCCAGGAAATACGAGAGATGATCATTGAATGTAATAAGATTGATTAATGTTAATTTGATTCAAAGATTAAACAATAATAGAAAATAAATTATAAATTATATTCTTGTTTTTACTTACATCATGGAAACTATATTGTAAAAAAAATGTCACTGAAAGAATAAAAAGTTCAAGATCTAAACAACATCAGTTATGATTCTATGATACAAACACCCACAGTGTATTGAAACATAAAAAGCCCATTAGAGTCATAATGCAAAATACTGAAAAAGTACTGTCCCTATACTAGAAAAAATCTAACGGTATACAATGTAAAAGCTGGGAGAACTTATCCTGATTCAGTTAAGCTATTATATCATAGCAGGAGTTCAGCACCCCTAAGTTATTACATGTTGGAGGGGAAGCTACCTATAAAAGCATTTGTTTCATTTTCTGTTCTTTCATTTCAGTTAAGATCTTTGATCGTACCTTTACCATATTAAAAAAAAATTTCAAATAAAAAATCAACATTAAGTAAACGACACTTTGTTACAATGTTTGCGATATTTTTACTCATGAACGCACTAATTTTTACTAGCTGTATTATTGCTCAAGTAACAGACGATGAAAACTGTGAAACATTGCAATCAGAAGTACATATTACAAAGGGTACTAACTCTGTACTCTATGCTATTAGTTTATATAGAAAGAAGCAGATTAAAAATAAAGTATTTTATTTGTTTCAGACGAATACGATGAAATAGGACGTCTAAAAAGAACATGTAGCGGAGATGTATCTGTTACGAAATGCGAAGGATTTTGTAATTCACAGGTACAACCAAGTGTTGCAAGTACTACAGGATTTTCAAAGGTAAACATGAAATTATAATGTAGGGTGAGATGTCAGTTATGACAACAATAAAACAAGAATTCTTTTTAACAGGAATGCTACTGCTGCCGAGAAAGTTATTTAAAGGAAAGGCACATTACTTTACGTCATTGTTATGATGCAGATGGTATAAAATTAATGAATGAAGAAGATGGAATAATGGAAATCAAAATACGAGAACCAGCGGAATGTAGATGTATTAAATGCGGCGATACATCCCGATAAACACGAAAATTAATTAAACCAATGATATTATGAATTATCTTATTGAATAATGTAATAAAATTATTATCAGAAATAAAATTAATAATTCAGAACATATTATTTGAAGTAAATTTTTCCTCCCTCCTATCATACCGTTTTAGTTGGTTTAGGAATGATAAATTATTTGATATTGTATTTAAATAATTTCAAATATTAACATTTATGAATATTTTAAATATTAATAACAAACAATTGTTGAATAATTGAAAAAAAAAATGTGTTGGTCATTACTTTATGCCATTTTTTTTTTTTTTTTTATAAAGTAATCTAAACTTGAAAATCTTTAAATACAAAAAGTATTTATAAAAGATTTAGTATATAGAACATAATATAAATATGAACAGATTTCTAAATATAATATTTGTTTATACATATACATAACATTATTGTTAACAGATGAGTATGACTTTTGTACTAAATGGTATTCATAAATAAACATTTACAAAAAGAATAACATAATATAATCATACCTTTCACTAATTAAGGTACTAAAAGAAATACAGTTAACAACATTAAAATAGTAGCATTTATAATGATAAAATATATTATTGCATGCAATGTGAGATATAATAATTCTATTATTATTGATAACAACAAAATGTCAAAATTTATGCATTGTTTTACTGTTTCTCAATCATTATATTCATAAGTAAGAGCAACTATAATAAGCAAAATATTGATTGTAATAATATTTGGCTCAAATAAAATGTTCTTACTTGAAATATAATGCAAAATGAACTTTATATAATCGGTTCTATAACTTTTAATTTTTCTAAACTTTCATTATTTCCAGTATTTAAATTATCACAATGTTATTACATTATTAACAATGTTATGATGTGTATATAAAGGTAAATACATACATATTGGATGCTAAAAGTGATACAGCTATGAAATCTTGAAATACACCACTTCTATATTTTTGTATTAGAATTCTATTTAAATTGAACCATTTTGATAAAAGTTAACAAATATAAGATGCAAGCATTTGTCACTTGCAACATGAACCAGTTTTAGAGGTAGTTCTTTTAATACTGTTTTCATACAACCTAGTTTATTCCCTAATGCTACTAACACAAATATCAGAAGGGAAGGGAGAAAACATGGACACCTACAGAGTATAAAAGGGTACAACACGAAATCTTTAAGCACAGTAAAGTCCTAGACCTAGCAGAAAATGCTTCGTGCAAAAAGTATGTTCCTGTACTATGTTGGTAAGTACAATATTTGAATATGAATTGTATGTATCTTAATGTATGTATATATATATAATTCATAGATGTGTTCACTGCAATATAACTTAGGATAATATTGTTACTTACCGTACAGTTGGTGCTAGTTTATTGATATGCCTGCTGACTGGAACCACAAGAGCAATTATCGGTGTTGATGAATGCCAAGCGACTCCAGTCATTCACTTTTTACAATATCCAGGATGTATTCCTAAACCAATTCCTAGTTATGCATGTAGGGGTCGCTGCAGCAGCTACCTACAGGTAAAATAATAATATGTGAGCATAATTGGAATTTGAAGATGTGATTTGTTCATAGGTTCTTAATTTATGGAATTCTAACTTTACTTGAAATTTTAGAATTTTGAATAATAATAAAACAAAAATCATTACGACCTCGATATACAAAAATAATAATGATAACATAAGTCATTAGAAATATTTTCTACGGTTTGTTATCTATAATTTTTACTAACATACAATCATAGTTATTAGATGCTATTATTTGTTCTCCGATGATGCTTTAAAATATATAATTTGCATAAAATTAAAAGTATAAGAGAAAGAAATACTTATTCGCTCGTACCTGTTTCTACAGGTGTCTGGATCAAAAATTTGGCAAATGGAGAGGAGCTGCATGTGTTGTCAAGAAAGCGGCGAGAGGGAGGCCAGTGTATCCTTATTTTGTCCAAGGGCCAAACCAGGCGAAAAAAAGTTCCGAAAGGTTAGGTTACTGTTCCAAACGAATCATGAAATCTTGTAGATTTCAAACAAATATAGAAAATCAGCGGAGCGTCGGCTGATTGATCACTTTCACAATAAAATCAGGAGCAAAGCTGCTGATACCACGAGTTTTTCACAGCCATATTGTTTTCGTCTGTCCTACCAATAAAAAGCGCGTAATAAATGAATATCGCGCGCGATTCAAATTAGATTACTTCATAAAAGCTCAAATAAGAAGATTTTATTTAATGAATTTATTTATATATGCCATACTTAATTATTGTGCGCAGGTAATTACCAAAGCACCCTTGGAATGTATGTGTAGACCATGCACCAGTGTGGAAGAATATGCAATTATTCCTCAAGAAATCGCTGGATTTGCTGACGAAGGTCCGTTTACAACTTCTGCACATTTTAGAAGATCCTCTGATTTACAATAACTATATCATCTAATTTCATGTTAAATACATTAAATAAAAAAAAATTATAAACATGAAGTTGCTTAATTTGTGAACATGATAAAAGTATAAATAAATTAAGAACATAAAATTTTATATTTTATAAGCATCATTGCAATAATAGCAAAATATATTATTTTATTTTCTACTTTTTGCAGGCAATCTTTCTATATAATAACTATTTAATGAACATATTTATTTATTTATTATTTATTTGACAATTTTCAATAAGAAAAACTTAAAGATAATTTGAAAAAGAATTGTAAAAATTTGTAATTAATATTTTGGTGGATGCATATCAGAGAAGTCTTATTTGTTTGTTATAAATAATTTCAGTTATATTACATACATATAAAATAACTACATTGTAATAAATGTACAATATAGGATATTACACGTTTAGTGTTTTAAAAATGCGTATTTATGCAATACGTTACAGTATGATTATAATTATTGCATCTTAAAGTAATATTGTAAATCATTACATCCTGTCAAGTATACATTATCTACACTTCCTTTTCTCTTTTTTCTTGTTAGTACTTATCAGATATTAACGTTCAAATTTGAGTAAATTTCTTTCGAAATCGTGTATATGTAACTCATTTATTACTGCACGTATTTCATTTATAATTACGCGAAAACAATATTACACAAAAATATATATGTAGATAACCGATTTACTGTTTTTCTTCACCATTGTGACCTATGCATCTAGACAGGCATATATTCAAGAAAATAATCAACAACAGTTTCACATGGAGTTCTTTTTTATTTTTTTATTTTTTTTTTATTTTTTTAAATTTTTTTTTAATTTTTCGTATAGATATGATTTATCATAGAAGTGTACGTGTGTATCTGTGTATGGTGTATTGGAGCTTTCGGTGATATTTTATTTATATTATGTATATGTATATTAATGTATTACGTAAGTACACGCAGATATATGTATAAATTAGCAATATACATGCGTGTCCATACGTGAACTATGAGCACGATGCGTCGCATGCACGTGCAACATTTCAAGAAGACAGCATCGTAACAAAGCTATCTTCCTGTTTCTATCTTTGCAACTCATCCAATTTTCACTTACAATATTTATTTATTAAATATTTACAGTGATAATCCTTTTACTAACTCGGTTATCGACATGTTTCCAACAACGTTCTTTTCAATTTTATTCATATATAAATTATGGTACTTTATTTACTGCGCTTTGAATACATTATATGTTCCATCTCTCGTCGAATGATATATTCTACTATTAGAGTAGAATGGTATCCTTCAAAGAGACTAGTGTTATAGGTCATTGTTCTCAATTCGTTCACTTATCTTTTGCATATCCTTTACTCTATGTGTATTTTATTTTTACAGTGTGAAAAAAGCAATAGCGATGGTCATGTATGTATATATTTTTCTTCTTTGCTCTTCTTTCTTAGTTTTCTTTAAAAAGAAAAAATGTATGCAGTTTTTTTATTCTTCAACATTTCGTGACATAATTGATCAAAAAATTATTTTATAAGCCATCTTCAATTAATTTTGGATTTTCGAATATTAAAACGTGCATTTGGAATGCAAGCAAGTTGTATATTAGAAGTATATGATATGATAAAAAAGAAAGTAAGAAATATTTTAATCGACTGAAGAAACCGCGCCAGTGAAGGGTGTGTTGTATGAAAATTTAAGAATGAAGATTCTTCTATCATAAGCAAGAAGGTATACTTTTATAATATCGTGTGCGTGCTTGCGCGCGCGCGCGTGTGTATACATGCGTGTAGATGCATATGTACACGGTACATGCATGTATGTTTTAGCAAAGTCAAATTTGAATGCATGGTAACCTTATGTCCCTTCAACAACGCATATTTCACAAAAATAAAAAATATCGTTTGTATATCTAATATAACCGAATATAAATTTGTATCTCAGTATTACCAATTAATAATTACGGTTTTTTAAATAAAGAAAGTATATATTTAACATGAGAAATATTAGCCAAAAAATAATGTAGAATTGTCTCGTAGACTTAAATAAAAATAATCTTTCGTAACTGCACTCAATTTCCTATTTCCTCCTTGTGTGTGTATATATATATATATATATATATATGTATATATATATTATATATAATAGTATATCCAAAAGAAACATATTTTTCACACTGTACTTTAAATTAGTATAACAATTTTATACAATTTGCTACGGCACCTGCCACCTGAATACATATGCAGTCATTCCATCCCACGCACTATAATCTGTTCTCTCAATGTTCATAAATAACTAGTGTTAAAAAATAGTAGCGCCTTAATATGCACACCATTTGTATCCTTCCATCTCCTAATTTCAACATATCCTACACTACGAACCTTAGTTTCGTAATGTTGTATCATTTTTCACTCTCATTCTTCCTTAATTACGACATTTTTTTTTCTTACAGTAGAATACATCATAAGTTCGCAAAGATATAAATTAGTAATTCTGTTATATTTGTTATAATAATAGGAAGAACCGTCGCCCTTCAATCAGACTTGGTTATTAATAGTTTCTTTCTGTATAATTTTTTTTTCAAATTTATTTTACTTAAAATTGACCTACTTATACACACCTGCGGTCTGTAATTTGTTATCTAAGTCATACGGCAAACACCGGCTGTTTTACGATATCGCTTGGTAAAATGCAAATAGCATTTATGATTTGCCAATATTAAGCCACAAATGAGAACTGATAAATTTCAATTTTATTTGGCGATTGACAAGTTGCAGTGACATTTCAAAAGACATAAGAAATACGATTAATGTTCTCGTGTTGGTTTTTGTTTTGCTTTATTTAAACTTTAAACCATTTCAATGAATTATATATAATAATTATCTCGCATTTACTTTTGTATCATAATTAATAATTAATCTTTATCTTCATTATGTATAGCGGTCTCAGCCATTGTGTCTGTTTTTATATGACAACCTTCTTTATTATCTTCCACTTCATGTTCTTCGAAGTTCTAGATTATATTATACATACACCCGCGCACTACTATCACTCCATTGTTTTTTTTTAACATATACGACGTTTTACTTTAAAAAACTGCAATTTGATCTCACTTCGCGTATCTTCTTTTGTTTAACGAGGGAACGTATATTTAAGTCTTTTTAATAGACGATAATGAATTCAATCACGGTATCGTCAACAACGTTCTTGGGGCGCGCTAGTCGATACGTCTTCTACACTGGAAGCATCATCGGCTTCTTGTAAACCAGTGAAAAACGATGTTAGCAACATCGTTGCAACACCATGCCATTCACGCTGGGCTGGTTCGGGGCACCTTTTCCACGTCAGGAACGCGTCGCTTGAAATCATATTATTTTCCGACAAGCTTGCCATGATATCGAAGAGAATTCCTGGAGAAAAAAATAATGCAATTATAAGTTTTCCTTTTTTTAACAACGCAATTCATTCATTCATACTTCTCTATCTTACCAGGTGGATATTGCAAACGATGCAAATGTAATTGAATTGCATAAAGGCATTGCAATTCCAGGAATTCATTTGCATCAACGAACCGGCGAATCAATTGTTGCAAATTAATGAAAACATCAGTGTTCAAAGTCCACTTGTTGTTAGCTGTCTCTGAAAGAGCAAAGAAAAGAAGGATAAAATAAGTTGATAGTTTCAAAAGTATATTTCAAAATATTATAATATTATAATATTAAAATATACCCATGGACGTCTCTATAATGGCAGTCGTTAATACTCGGATAAATTCAGGCTCTTTCACTCGGTTACCTATATTTGCCTGTAACGATTAATGAATTTAATTAGTATTGATATTTATTATAAGATATACAAACAATTAAATAAAAAATACTTACAATTATCCAATCACAAATTACATCGAAATTACTATCCTTCATGAGTCTTCTAAGTTCATTATGACTTTGCTGTAACGTGGGCTGATTACTAGTTGAGCTTTTGGCACTATTATAATCACCAGTGCAGAACTCTATGTTCTAAAAAATAATCACATTATTATTAGTTTTATTATTATTATTATTGTTTAAAAATCGAAATTTCAATAAATATAACTTTAACATAATCTTACGTAATCATTAACAATTTTATCAACTTCTTCACGTTCTGGATCAATTAGATTGCTCAACTGAAGTCCACTTTGGTCCCATTTATCTGCAACCCATTTGGGTCCTTTATCTCGGGATACTTTTGATAGCAGTTCTCCAAGAAATCTGCCTACAAAACCTCGACTTCGTAAACTATCGAATATAGGTTTCAATTCTGATAGAGGAAGTATGTCATCTTCTATAGGATGTGCTGTAAGAAATAGAAGCATGATACTAGTTTTCTTTTGCTCTTTCTGAAGAACACACTTATGTTGGTATTTTCAGGCCTGTTGAGCAAAAAATTCCCGCATGGAAATGTACTATGGTGGAAAATAATCATCAAAAGAAAGTTTTACAGTAACGAATACAGCAACAAGTATAAATAATATTACGATAAAGAATTTAATATTTACCTAATACCTCTGCCAAATATGACCAAACTTTGGGTATATCAAGTACAAGTTCATCAACTATTTCCAGTATCTCAATGAACCTAAAAAATTAATCATATTTAATTTATCTGCAAACAATTATACTCTTAAAATGTTCATATTAAAATGTTATTCAGTATCCTTTTGGCTTAATATTTGATAATCAACACAATGATCTTTTTTTCTGTATAAACAGTTCATCAGTTTTTTATCTCAAAAAATAATATCTATTTAACACACCTTAATTAAGGACTTACCCATTTCTAAGATGTTGTAAAGGCAAAATTTTCTGACTGATTAAATGCGACATGAGATGTGAAACATGTTCTCTGTCAATAGGGGATTTCTCGAGAACAAAATTAATTAATTCACGTATAAATTTGGTTAGCGTACTATCGAAGTTCTGTTGTATAGCTGATGCAGCTTTCTGTAAAATAAATTATTTACCAACTAATTTATAAACTGATTTTAACTAATACTTACAAAATAATTAATACACAAATATACTCTATCTTGCAAAAATAAATGTAACTATCAAAATAAAAAAATAAATAAAAAATGTCCTCTCGTTGGTCGTACAAACCGTAATTAACATGAATTTAGCATAACAGCTAAAAATCATAGTACTATTTGCTAAGACCAAAAAGAAGATTTTACATAATATAGCACATCAATGACTCAAGCATCTCCTAAGAAACAACAGAGATGGATCTAAGGAATGTGCAATCACTGTTTATGTACTTAATACAAATAAAACTGCAAGTAATATCGAAGAAAAAAAAACTAATAATGATTTTGTATAAACTAACCTCAATATTAAGATTTTTGAAATAATCTTTAAATATCTTGTTCAACACTTTCATAAATTCTTCATCATTCATTGGAGGTTTATGACTATTAGAGGTAGTAGACTGTGAGGATTTCAATGGTGGTGGCATGGAAACACTTTGACTTTGTGTACTATCTAATAACGAGCTTTCTCTACTCGACGACGAACTGCTTAATTGATGACTACCATTACGTGAACCCCTACCATCTGCAACAACAACAGTTTGCAATTTATATCAAAACAATAAAAAAAATATGTAATAAGCAATTCTGGTTTAAAATATCAGAATCCTTTTGGCAAACAACACCAAGTTCTACTTTTCAAAAATAAATAAATGTTCTCATCATACTTAACACAGTACGAAACAAAATGAATTATATTATAATAATTTATGCATACCATAGGAAGGTTTGTAGTCACGACCATACTCTCTTGGACCAGTGGATCTCGACCTAAAATAAACAGATTTATAACATCAATAAAAAATGAATACTACTTTTTCATAAATGTTATTCATTCGTATGATTACTAAAACCAATCAGATTATTTTTATGATCATAACAAAAAAGCATCAGAAACTCTAGCCTAGTCAAATAAATTTCATCATATTTATTTTAAGATACAAACAATAAAAGGGAAATGTAATTATCAGAATGAGCTTACCCAGAGAGTTGTGGAGATGGCATTCGTTTATCTTGATCTAATGTTGATACATTGTCTAAGCATGCAAACTTATTCGAATTGATTGCTGTTGAACCACAATTTGAAAGCGTTTTCCACATATACATATTTCTGCTTCCTAATTGTAGATCATCCATTGGGGGCTAAAATACAAATAATTACTGATCATTTATTCTGCATCTTAATTACTAAGACTTACATTTTATGATTTTAAGAACTATTTCTGAAAACATATTAATTCCAAGTTACTTACAGGTTTATTTTTAAGCTTGGCTGTTTCAACAGAGTATGTCTGTCTTGTTCTTATTGGCTGACTCCAACCACTTTCATCAGTTTGACCAATACCACCTGAATTATAAAACCAAGACTGTGAGTATTTAAGTGCTTACTTGTAGAAGATATACTAATAAGAAAGTAAATATAACATCAGAATAAATTGTATAATCATTTTTTGTTTTTCAGAAACTCTAGTCTGTTAAATATATCATCATGTACTACGTATAGGATTTTATAAAATAATAATTTGTAATTTTCTTGATAACATCAAAGAACTTACGATTCCTTTTTCTATCATTAGTACGATCATCTTTTCGAGGTGTATTCAAGGGAGTGTTACTTAATTGGCTATCTAATCTTTCAGACTCTGCTTCCCTTTGAATTTGATCAATTGTTTTGGGATTACTTTCATCTCTTCTTGGAACCCACTTATTTGCTCTCAAGTCTATCACATCTTGCAGCATAAATCGAATTCTGGAGCTAATTTTTCCTTGGTTTCGTCGTGAAACTATATCTTGCATTTTGTTAAAATAATCTTGCATTTCCTAATGAAATAAAAAGGGGACGGGGGGAATAATAAATGCTATCTTTAGAAACTGTTTATCTTTATCCAAGTCCTTTTTATGTGATAAAAATGTACTCACATCAGCAGCTCCTTTTCTTTCCAAATTTTTTCCAATAGTGGTTAACAATTTGCACAAACACTCAAGACTATCTTCATCATTCTGATTTAATAACTCTTTTATGCAACGACGCATGATTGTAGTTGTTAACATTCCTTGTTTGTAAAGTTCACCAATAAATCTACAGGGAAATAAACAATATGTAGCATAAAAATAGAAACAAAAAAAAAAATAAAAATCAGCTCAGCTTTCGGAACTTGATAAGAAATAATAATTAGGAGCATGTATATTTTTATAATTAAATTTAGATTACTTACCGTATATTTCCTACGGATTTTATACGTATGCGACGTTCTTCTTCCTCAAGTTGCACCTGCAAATCTTTTTTCCTTTCCTATTGTACAAACAATTATTTTATTAACAATACTTGCAAATATCTGAAATGTAAACAACAAATATATGAAAAATTTATCAAAATCACTTACAGGATCCGAACATTCGTCGATTTCTTTAAGTTTCGCAGCTCTTGCCACTTCATTCACCGGATTTTTTTCAAATTCATTTTGACAACGATTAATAATGAGCTTTTTGAAACTAAATGAGTATTCTTGTCTCTCATAAGTGTCTCTTTTTTCCGAACCTCCGCCTCCGCCCCCGCCGCTGCCTCCGGTTCCTCCTGCTCCTGGTCCTGCTCCAGCTCCAGCTCCTCCTCCTCCACCACCTCCACCTCCTCCTCCTCCTCCTGCTCCTCCACCGGTGCCACCTCCTCCTGACACTTCCATCATAGCAAGTTCTTTACACATTAATGCATATGCTACAGAAAAACTTGGTTCATCGACAGCCTAAAAAGTTATATAATCATGTATGTATATATGAATACATTTACATTATTTAGGAAGTACTGTAAAAAGAAATTAAAGCAAAAAAAATATACCTTTTCAAAAACTAAATTGATAACACCTTGCAAACGTTCTGGAGTATCGATATTTAACGCCCGTACTTGATCGACTAAGGTATTAAATTTCTGAGGTGTAAGTTTATTTAAAACACTTCTGACTCTTTTATACAGAGCTTCTGTCTTTGCTTCTTCCTCGGTAAGACTAATGGGTTTTAATCTTGTTGGTCTCCATGCATTTTCAGTTTCCCTCAATTTTACATCTTCCCTGAGAGATAACGACATGTGAATAACATTTGGTTTCGTTGGCTTTGACGATTTTCCTGGATGGCTCTTACGATTCGTTGGTGGCTAAATAAAAATAAATATATTATATTAAAACATAAACATTTATGATTTAATGTGAAAAATTTTGAAGGCATAATTATTGTCAGAAGAAAGGTTCTCTATCAAAAAATTTCAGTCCACTACTTTCATTTTTTAATAATAATAATCATCATACTTTGATTCATTAAAATAATTATATATATTATTTCAAATCTGTTTCTTTTTAACCTACCACTCGTGCGTTAGGAAGTACTTTGATAAACATAGGGAACAAAACATCCGGTCTATTCATATTTGTATCCTTATACGGTCTAAGATCAACAGTCGAACGTGCCTGGAAAAATTGTACTCGTAATATTATTTCTATCATACTCATGCATATAACATTAATGTATATTAAACGAAAGAAAGTTTATACAATACCTTTGAGTTGTCTTTCAATACAACATCTAAGTCTGGTAGATTCGATGGTTTAATTCTACTACTTGGATCGTTTTGTAATTTCATTAAAAATTCACGGTCATAAACTTTTTTACCAGTTTTATTTATGGGGCTCCATTGATAGTCATTGTATTTATATTTTAATGTTATTTGATTTGATACTGGTGTTGTTGCTGCTGATGTTGTTGTTGTGGTAGTAGCAGTGGTGGCGGCGACTGAGCTGGTTGTTTCAATTTGAGTCAAAGTTTCGTTTTCCACTGATTTTTCAATAACCGGAGCAGATGCTTCCAGTGGTTTTTCCTCGGTAGGTATTCGAGCTGCCGATACCTTTGAATTTTCTTCGTTCTTTTGTGCTACTATTGCTTCTACCTCAGACTCCTCTTTAACTATCGCATGATCAACAACATCGTTAGGAACTGATTTTATTACTTGCACGTTGCATGCATTTGATTTATTGGTGTCCTCAATTTTTGGCGAAGATTCTTTCATTGTTTCGTTGTTACCCGACAGTTTTTCCAAAACAGGTGCTTGCGCAGGAGTAGTACTTTCTTTAGGAATTTCAGGTGTCGAAGGAGTTACTTGTTTCTCCGTCTTCGTATGAACAGACGAGGAAATTTCTTTCTCCTTCTTCGATTCATAATTATCTTTTTCCTTAATATCTTTCGTTATTTCACGACTGGTTTCTTCCTTATTGCTGTCCTTCACCGGCAAAGGTTCCTTAATGTCTTGTTTCGCCTCGGTTTTCGCTGGAGGTACCGTGTTTACGAAAGCATCCATATCTGTGCCTTCTTTCTCCGCTCCTTTGCGATTAAGTTCACGAGGTTTAAGTTTATTTTTACTTTTTTGTTTCTGCATGGCTTTACCTTTAACACAAAAAGACGTTATAATTATCATAAAGAAATGAAGAAGGAATGGAAATGTTTATTAAAAAAGATATATCGTTTCTTTAACATTGATTTATGTCCTGTAATTTAAATATTAACGATGAAAAAAAAAAATCTGTTAATTTGTACTGCTACGACCATGGACGAGTACATATTAGAGAAACATTATTACGTTGATATCGCTACAGAGAGATGCAAGCTGTGAAGAAAAGTGAGTATTTCGGCTACAAGCCAAGGATAATTATAGTCTCAGATCACAGTACATTTCGTACTGTGACATTTCACTTTTTTCCTCCTATATTAATATATAAACAAATTCATAGGCCTGTAAAAGCTCATTGCGATTGTTCAATGTCCGTATCGACATGCAAAAAATGATGATTTATTTTCATTACAATGCAATTAAAAAAAATCTTCTTTTGCAAAGATTAAATATATATTATACATGTGTGTATGTGCGTGTGTGGTGTGTGTGCGCGCGCATATAATTAACGCTATATCGTGTCCCCGCTTAAATAAACAATTTCAATACCGGTCGCCTGAACTAGTAACAATCGACATAGCGTTATATAAGATATTTAAGGTACATATTTCCTTGTAAACAGGATCGTTTCATCAGAAGGAGATAATAAATTTTTCTTGGGGAATAAAGTTTAATGTTAGTTATTTATCACGCGCCAACATTAAAATAATGAATAATCCACGCGTTTAAATTCGAATAGACATTAAGTACGTTGTTAGCATTTTGAAAGGAAAAGTAGAAAAAATATAATATATATCGTTGTGTTTTCTCCTGTTAACGTGTGCTGTTACCAAAGCATTGTTTGACGTTCTACAAGAGGAAATATGACGGCATATATACCATGGTCTCTGGAACCTCGTCGGTTACGACTTCTTGATCGGGAACTACTGCTGACACGACCGCCACCATTAACCTTACGGTCACCCATCTTTCCGATTGTTTCGATAATTCAGTGTCTGGACAGTGTTATTCACACGTGTTCAAGCCACGGTAATCCTGTACGTCTCGTATCAAAATCATATCGTATATTACAAGTCACATTCTCGTTAGACAAAACTCTTTGGTGGCTCGAATTTCAACAGTCTGTATTACTGCTCCTCCTGCTGCTGCTGCTGCTAATGTTACTGTTACTTCTGCTGCTGCTACTGCTGCAGCACTGAATCAGTATTTATTTATAAAACTGCCAAAAGCTTGCCAAAGCTGGGGTAGATGAATTCACGTTTATACGCGCAACAATGCGCAACAATGAAATTTGCATTTTAAACTCTTTTTCCTTTCGCAAGATAATAAATTATTGAGGAAAATCGACGAACGTAATCATCGGATAGGAATTCTCGCAAACGACAACGAAAGCGTACACACGAGCCAACAACGTTGAACGATCAACTCTTTTTTTTTTTTTAAGAAATAGTTCCTTCTTTATTCGATTTATCCAAAAACTGTAACGGTATCTCGAAAAGTCTCCTCCGAAGATTTTCTTACACGACTCGCGCATCTATTTTAACCTGTGAACTGGTGCAAACCAACAGACACGACACAGGATTTCTTAAATTAGTTCTGTTCGCCGGTTGCGCGCCGGAGCACGCGCATTACCGACTTTTCTGATAACCTAACCTAATACGAGCTGCTCTAATCGAAATTTATCGAAAGCATGGAATTTTCGTGCCTCCCGAGTATAATGAAAAAAAAAAAGGCAAAAAAAAAAGAAACGAATAAAAAAGTAAGAATCTTTCTGTACTCGACGAGTGAACATTTTAAAGGAACAGTAATATCAAAAAACAATCTAATTCTTACGATAAAATGTATACGATATAAAATAGAAATAGTAATATGACTATTCGCAATACAGTCCATTATGATCCTATTACGTTTTAATATGAACCTCTAGAATAAAATGTTTTGCTCTGAGAATATAAATATTTAATTTGATGCATGAAAGTAGCTCGCGTAGGATTTTATAAAAGCAGGTCGAGGTAATAATCTAAAAAGAACATTGAACGATTGCTAAACGTATACGCAATATTTCTTCCTTCGATTTTACTGTTTGATCTTATTTTTCTAATAAATATATATATATAGTACTACTGGAAATCCAAGTCACCTTTCTAACACATAAAACAGAACCTCTAGTTCCGATCATCAAGTGGAAATATGCGCGACAATAAAATAAAAATAGATTTCCACCTTACAAAAATCAAATTAACATTCCATTTATCCGTAAAATCAAACAAAGCATAAGTAATTTATCGCTTGTTATGTCCCCATATGGAAAATGTATGTAAGCCGTTTATACAATCATTTTCCAACTAGTGGGAACCTTTCACCCGATTGGTGAGCGCGCCCAAGGTTGCCGCCACTGACGCCGAAAGTCTTAAGATATTTTTTGCACACGCACGACATGTGCTCTTGTGAAATGACATTAACAGAGACATCTCAACTATGTACACGCACGTGCATAGTAGAGGCTTTTCTCGATTAAGGGGAACAATAAAAGAACAAGCCTCCCACTTATGTACCGATTGCTGGTTAGGAGTTCTGCACTTGCTGGCAGGAGTCTACCATCTCTCCTGCCCGTACAAATAAGGAACAAGAGTGAGTCAGACAAGTGGTGGGAAACTCCTTCCTATACATTTCCCCTTAACCAAAAGAAGCATCCTATACACACACTCACATATATACACAGTAGCTCCACACTGTACACGGGCCGGCCGTGACCCCTATATATTTTACTAAAATATGAGATAATTTCTATGGCGATTCAAAAAATTATATAGTCTATTTCTATGTTACATCAAACTGTGAAGTACAGAGAATTTATTTTCCACAAGAAAATAATGGAATTTTTCATAAAAAAAATAATAAGATACTATAAAATGTTACAATTAATTAAGAAATAAATCTCTTTAAAATATAACAATGATAATAATTAAAGATTTCAACTTTATAACTATAAAATCCAACAAATGTACATATAAAAAAAGAAACGGTAAATTAGTAGACGATGGCACGCCCATTAAACCCGTTTATGGTCACGTTTCTATTTTCAGACGCCTTGCCTTTCTGAATTTATCATTAAAATACACAAAAAAATATATAGAAGAATAATGCAGTTGCTAAATTAATTCTTTCCCGCATTATTATAATTAAATTTAACTGGATCATAAATAATATACGAAACAGTAACTAGAAGGAGAAAGAATAAAAAGAAAAAAAATGTAGTAAACCAGTTTCACTTAATACACATAGAAACTGGCGATCAAATATGGAGTAGTATTTCTCTTTTCTGGCCGTTCACAAAATGGCTACATGCTTGGATATAGATAATATATGTATAATATTAGTATCAAATAAATATGATAAGATATTCAAAAATACTATATTATAAAATTGGTAATAAATTAAAAACACAGGTATCATTGTTTAAACTAAATGATTAAACATATTTTTTCACGTTAGATCGTTCAGCAAACACGTGTTCGGAACATGATGGATAATATTTTATCATAGATACCAAATAATGAAAATAATTTCATGCTAAAATGAATACTCTAATTTTATTACATAAAAGTTCATACTAATTTCCAGTTTAAATACACGTTACTGTTTTAAAGATACAAGAAAAAAGCAGCCATTCGAATCTACTTGGAAGCAGCCATTTTTTAATACACTCGTGGCTCGATCTTCGAAACATATTTCATAATTTACGAACTGTATTTTCCAATGATAAATCAGAAATACCTTGGGAGAGAAATACGAAAGATATTAATTTCTTGTAATTGTTAGAATCTAGGTGTAATAGAAATACAAGTGTTGTAATAAATTTTACACGTGTCCAAGATGTGAATACAAAATGTCGGATTCACGTTGGGTGAGGTGGATATTTCCAGCTACACTCATAGACAAACCGATTTAAGATGGATAATAACACGATGTATACATACATTTTTAATCAATATTGTTCCCAACCGTCTTCGTTGCATCCGTTTGATCACTTTGTCACAGTAATAACAATTTTTTTTTTAAAATCGAAGGGAATAGAACTTTGATTTCTTCAAGACGATACTTAAAACTTTAAAATTCAGTAAAAAAAGACGTATTTTTACAAAAAAAGAAAAAAGGAAAGAACAAAAAATATAGCAATAAACGATGCGTGTAAAGGGCGCTCGTTGCGATTGAATAAAAGAATATATGTACAAATCTTGGACATAAAACAAGATAAAAATCTTATAGGAACGGAATACAGTAAGATGCGATTTAATAAGCGTATTCGTTACTTATGGTGTAAAAATTAAATAGTACAAATTTAAATGTACATTTATGTATATACAATTCTTGTTAACAAAAAATTATAAAAGGAAAAGGGAAATAGGGAAAACGGAGTAAAAATGTACGCCCGGCTAGCACAGCACGTGCTGGCTACTGCAGGAACTCCGTTGTTCGATGGGGAAAGGAACCGGGAACCTCCCTCCAGTAATACAATCACCGACGTTCGTGTGCTTTCGGTATATTTCGTGCCCTTCCGCCGTATGATGATGTCACCGTTTAGCATGAAGCTCTTTCGAAGTTTCATGCCTTATGTTTCGATCATTGGATAAAGACCCGTTCACATTGAAAACATATATATGTACAAGTATCGATTAAACCAAGTTTAGTTTTTGTTTTACTAATTTCTATAAAAATACACAAAATAAAAGTAAAGAGTTGTAACCTTTACAAAGTGATTCAATTAAAATTAAGAAACGAATCGAATTTAAGAAAGAAAAATTTGTATGGAACAAACACTTGTCTTTCTACACTTTCATCCTATCATATGAGATATCAAAAACGTATTTTTCTCCCATAATTACAATATTTTACACATAATATCATTCTGAAACTATTACTTTTTATGTAAATAGCAATAAACTTACCCTTCTTTTTGTTCCCCATTTTGTCAAATATGTATCTACACTCTAAATTAGATTTCGAAAGCTTACACTTTTATTTAATTTGAATTGTATTATTGCAAGATCCTTTCAATATTTTACGAAATAAATATAAAACAACTTCATCATTTCCACTTCAATCACAATCACGATCAAAATATCTTCGTCTTTGAAAAATTTTAGTTCGCCATATAACGAAGGAATATTTAACCATTTCAAATTAAAAACTTGAAAGTCGCACTTCACTTGCTTCAATATCTATGTGTTTACCAATATTAATAATATACACACTCAAGTGCGCCATATACACGTTTCACAAAAGTACGTTACTTTGAATTATTTTTAGAAATGTTTAAAATACTACTTTGTATAAATATACAAGTAATACAGTTACACGATCATAATTTAGTATCTGTTGAAATCAAAACAGAATTGAGAATCACAGATGAATGGATTATTTAAAAAAAATTTGCATCACAGTTCGAAAGTATAAAAACTGTAGGAACTGTAAAACTTTTAGGTTAGGATTAAGACAAATAATGTTGCAACACCACGGTACATACAATGTTCCTTGTCATTGATAATATGTTTAACCAGATAACTATGCGAAGTTACTTGCCCGAATGCTTTGTATAATACTATATAAAAAAACTGTTCAAAAATATTCCGATCTATCTGCACGTGCGTAAGGTAGAGACACGTCTTTTATGCGTTCGTACACATGTGCCTATATAAAGGCACCTTCGTGGATGAACACACTATACAGTGATTTCCAACGATTTCGATATTCGTACAAACTGCTCGAAACGCAAGAAAAAAATGCAATAACTGAATTAGTAGGACATAACTATTTATGTATACATATAGAAATATGGACAATGACGACTATTATAGATATCATGAAAGCAAAGTTCAAGCTATAGTAAATAAGAAAGAAAAGGAAACCATCAAGGTTCTAACCTATAACACAATTTTTCGGAAAAAAATAACGTTTAATTTATTCTGGGGAAAAAAACACGAATGGTAACACAATGAACAGAAAGACAAATATTAACAACAATGATGCAAATTAAATGGCAAAAATATTAAATAATATTTTCTTTAACATTGCATTATATAATTCAAATAAATGTTATTCCCAATATGAAAATAATAGTTTCTTTATATTTATTGCATTTAGCAAAAACATCAAAATTTTATTCATCGACTACTGTATTAGTTTCAGTATTAAATATTAAAAATTATTGAAATACTTTGCATTATGGTATTTATATTAGTACAAATTATACAGTAGGCGGTGTGTGAATAACACATATACGATATGCGAAAAAATTATACCTAATTGTAAAAGAAATGTGTAAACACTTACCATCAGATGATTTTTGTTGCTGCACTTCAGTTCGCGCTGCTTCAGGTTCTGGCTTATCGGCAGTCGCGTCACCATTGCTTTTCACATGATGATCTGTTTGATTGTGAGCTGGTGTAGGGGTAGTGCCTCTAGAACTAAGACTCTTTTCCCTCGTTTTCTTTTCTTTCTGTTCTTTGGCACTGGAAGGCAGCTCTGCTGCAGTAGCAGGTTGATTATGAGTGTAAGTTTGAGATTTTCTTCTGGGTGGTGAACTCGATGAATTTTTATTGGATAAATTAGGGAACAGTTCTCTGGCAGGAACGGGATTAGTACTTGGGGCAGTGGTGGACGGTTTTGGAATCTCCGGAACGTTTGTACTTGGTAACGTAGTCACAGGGGGAACTGATGTCTGTGTTGCGATAGATGGGACACTCGTACTCTTCATCTCAACTTCAGTTGCCGTTGTGGAAAGTAGCTGCGCAGAAATATCATCCTTATTTACATTACGTGGTACAGGCGGTGGTGGATCCTCAATCACCACAGTTTTTATTTCGCCACGAGGTTGAAATTCCTTCACGGGAATTTGTAACGGTTTAGACTCCGTTTTCACTACACAAGAGTCTATTTGAGTCACGTTATTAGTAGTACCTAACGACTGACTACACAATGCGGTTACGTTAGGTATGTTTTGCGCTGCAGTTGAAGTGGTACTACACTGGCTGTTCACGTCGTTATTAGAATTTGTTTGAGAATTCGACAAACTTTGTGTTACATTTTGAGTTGTCGATGTGTTTGTGTTTGTGATTGGTACACAGGTCGGTACCGTAGAGTCAGAAGTAGACTCTTCGGTCGCGACTTTTGCAAGAGTTTTTGCAACCTGGGCTGCAAAGTCGGCTTGCACCTCAGCATCATTGTTCTGTAACAATCACCAATTCTGCGTGATAGACAATGATACATAGCAATCAACATAAAAAGTATGCTTGATAACTAAAAACTGGCTCCAAACTCAAATCATAGGATGAAAAATAAAACTAAATATACTAAGAAACAAAATAAATACTCAATATAGTTTATGTTTCTGCCACCCTTTAGCCATGGCTTTAAATATTATATACAAGTAACGTGTTATAATGTTAATTCTGTTTTAACATTTATTTGTTAGTAAAAAAAAAAAATATTACCCCCTTCAATAATAATAATATCGAGATTGTGAATACAGATAGAAAATAATTAAAATTTTAAACCTCTAGCTAAACTATATATATCCTACGATGAGAAATTAAAATTAAGACAAGAATACTTTAATAATCATTGCCATGGCTTTTGGGTACAGATATCATTAATATAAACAATTGACTAGAAGAGTATTATATATTGTACATTAACTATACCTTCAAATACGTTTGATTTAAAATAAGAATATTTTAATGATAATGTTTTATTAATCTTTTATGTAATACTTAAAAAAATATAAAACTCTTATAGCCAATTGCTAATAAATTAATATTCCAGTATTACTCACTTGTAGCTGAGGTGTTTCGCGATTGCTAGATTCACTACTTTGAATTGTTTCGTTATCCTTGTAAATTTCATGGCTTATATTTTTACCAGTTGACGGATCTACGATATCGGTAATAGCATTTTGCCCTCTTGGTTTCCGAGATTTTGTCGTACTATTCGTCGTACTTGCACCACCGTTATGGCCTGAGTACACATCTTTAATACACACATAAATTCACTTCTTAAGCGGCGTGATTTTACATATAAAAAAATATTTTACAAACGTTACATATTTTTTGTAAAATTTTGTACATCTTAAATCACTCACCTCTATACAATTTATATGTATTATTTACAACGTACATTGTCAAGTATTTCAATAACTAGCTAACTAATAAATTTAACAATTTATCTTCATTTAATTGTAAAAAGAAAGTCAAAGACGATCCTAAAATTTTACAAACTTATCCCTTCGCTCGTCTCGGACGAACTAACGAAGGAGTTGTCGAAAGCTATTACTAAGGGGCTAGAATACAGGTGATGTACCTGCATCTTTACCTGAATGCAAAGGTCCAGTGGACCAATGGTCAGATCTAATAGTTGAAAGGATTCTAAGATTTTAACCTTCCATTGTCGCGGAAACGTCAAGTCATAAATAACGTTTCTTCTAACGTTTACAAGAATTTTAAGGGAGGAACGCGTGAAAGGAAGATTTATGTTTCCTCTTTTACTCAAACATCTATTCTCGAAACATTTCGAGGTATTGTATATTTTTAAAGTTAGTTTTATTAAATTTTCATTAGATTTTAATTTGTAAAAAATGAAATAAATGTTATTTTATACTTCAAAGATCTGCTTGTTATACATTATACATTATGAATTATATATAACTTACCAGTCTGAGAAAGAGATATACCTATTGGAGGTAAAGGCTGAGCTTGTTGCGTAGGTTGCTGAAGTGTACCCTGAGGTACTACTGGAGCCCCTTGGGCACTGGCCAGCGGGCCTGCAACATGTTGTGCCCCACCAGTGACAGCACTTGCACCTGGTCTACTTAAACTTAGTGGCGTATTTGTTGGTTGACCAGTGGGCCAAAAATCTATCAAATGAAATACAATATTAATCAATGGTATTTCTTATGTTAAAAATATAACTATGTTACTTACAAGGTTGTGGAGTTGGTGCAGGAGCACCATATCCAAACATATTTTGTGCCGTTATAATGGCAGAGTGTTGAAATGGTGGAAAATATGACTGATTTTGATGCGTTTGATGTCTTTGAGGTGGACCACCAAACTAGAATTACAAAATATTTATTACACTTACAATCAATCGATATCGTTAAAAATGATAAAAATGAGAATATATTTGACAATTAAATGATATTTCATTCAGAAGAAAAAAAAAAAGATAAATATAAAGTTAAAGAAAATTTGTGCGTGACCAACGTTATAGAGTATAACAAGCTTTTCTTGGCAAGCATTCGTATCTTATTAAATATATAAAATCAACAGTACTTAACTACTACCTGAAGGGGTATTTGACTGTTCATTGCGAATACGGACTGCTGATGAGGACTAGGATGAAGATTAGGGACTTGATACATTGCTCCAGTTTGAACTGGTAAACCACCTGGATGATAAATCGCAGTTGGTTGACCTCCACCTCCACCAACACCAGACATCCCCACTACCTGTGCACCAGTACCTCCTTGACCACCTCTGTGACTAATACCTCTTGGTTGTTGCGGTCTCGGACCGGGGTAATAACCCTGAAATAAATGAACAAGTTAATTAGCAAAGTTGACAAATTAATTCTCGATGATCGCAACGATTGTTTTAGTTAATGTTTATAACCAAAATTTTGAAAAATTATATTTACTTGTGACGTCGGCCTCGTTTGTGTTGGCCCATATACTTGTGACAGAGGTTGGGGTTGGGGTTGTAAATGAGCTTGTTTTCCCATTTCCTGTGGCGAGGGGGTATGTACGGGGGGCGTTGTAGTAGGTGCCGGACCTTGCGGCTGTTGCGACTGTACCCCGGGTGCCGAGGTTTGAGGCGGTGCTTGTCCTCCAGCAGGACCTCCTGGCGGTATTCCTGCTCCTGATTGTCCTATCGACTGTAACCCGCCGAGGGGTGGAGGTCCTCTGCCCCCAGGTACTCCTACGCTACCCCCTCCCCCACCCACCTGGCCCCCTGGTTGGGTGCCGTAATTTTGTCCAGATACATGAAAGTCTGATCCTGAAAATACAAATAGCACCGATCGTTTACATACTATATTTTAAACAGATTTAACAAAAAGAATTAACAAAAATGATAAAACGTTAATTTTAAAGTAGTTACATGTACAAAATAATAAACATTTTATTTGGATAATATTAAATACATTTTTGAAGAAATATATCTATCAAATATATTTTCAATAACCGAATTGGTTTTATTTAATCTGCAATTAAGGACCAAAAATGACATATTATATAGTTTGTTAAAATAATTATGATAACGTCATAATAAATTATTTATTTATTTATTTATTTATTTATTTATTTATTAAGTACGAACTTGACGCTTCTTTTATCATGTACATATTCGAATAATCATCATTGGAGCAAGTATATAGATAGTGATTATCAAATATATTGAAGTAACACAGGGAAGAACTCCCATCCTGTAATTATCATTATCAATCATAAAACACATTTTATTTTACAGTTAAAAAGAAAAACAGAAGAAAAAAAATGATTTTTCTCGAGTATTCAAGTTCGCATATGGGCGATGTTGTCCTGTTGTATGTACTGTGCTCGCCATTCTATCGTTAAACGAATTTATTCGTGAAAGCGATTATGCGTGGAATTGCATGACATCGCTTGACACGTCGTCGTCGTCGTCGTCACCGTCATCGTCATCGCTGTCGTCGTCGTCGTCGTCTAAAAGATGCAGTGCATTTAATCAGATGTATTATCTAAACATTCTACAGATTAGAATCGCCTTCAAAAGAAACTATAAATTTAATAGAATAATAATACGTAGCAAACGTGGAATTTTGATAAACCGTGTAAAATGTTTTTCACCTCATGCTACGAACTTATCATGACAAAATACATTAAGGATACCAGATAATGGAAGAAAAAAAAAAAATAGATACTCGTTGCTCACCGTTACAGATCAGTACAAAGCTGGATATTGTGCTTAGTCAAGTTAAGAGTTATACTTATTTGCGCAAATATATGTTTACAATGAAAGAACAATGAAGTGACAGCAAGGATCGTACGTGAGCAAAGAAACCGAGAAGACGGCCTCGCAAACGGCCATCTTTGCACATGTGGGCAGGGGCCGGAGCAGTGCTGCCATCTGTGATCCCGTGAGTGCATTGATTGCTATGAAAGGGGGGCGAGGCCGAACTCCATCGTCAGGATCGTATCAAGTGCCATAAATATTTCCAAGTATGAAGTATTCAAACATTTTTACTTCTATAGATTGCAAATACTTGGATGAAAAATAAATAAAATTGAAAAGAATGCTAAGAAAAATTATTTATGCCACAGTTTTGTAATTTGAACGATAACACAATTTCTTTCTATCTAATTTTTATTTTACTTTATTAAAACCTGTCATTTTTTAATGAAATTTCTATTAATGACATATATACTTTGAATAACACTGTCACTTCGTTCTATCCTGTTTATACAATTAAGAACTTGTAATATTATTATTTCAATCTATGTATTTATTGTATACCACTTACTAATGAATATTATAATGGACCGTTTAAGACGCACACGTTTATTGTATTAACGAAGTGAAAGAACGTGGCCTGAAAAATACAATCCAGAATGCAACACGTCATTTCCGGTGTCATTTCCCTCCTTCTATCCTTTCCTCTCCCCTACTTCCACTAATAAAGTTGCACATAACGCGGGCATGATAAGAATTAAATTTCATGAATTGATTTTAGCAAATATCAATATATCATTTGAAAATAATTTGGAGACTAAATATAAGGGGAAAGTAGCACTCTGCGTAAAAAGATAATACGTATGAAAGTAGAAGTGAGGTTAGAACGATCACGCTTCAGCCACGTGGCTTGGCCAATCCGAGAGAACAATGAATGCTAAAGCGATAAACTTGGCAATAAGAGCTTTTGATGTGGTAGTAATATAATTAGAAGATAAAACCTTATCGTAATGAGTCTTTTGACTTTTAATTATTACTTATACTGGTAATTTTATTTTTTTAAATATTAAAACTTACGAAGAAAAATATTACTATCAACAAGTAGTCTAGAGCGATAACCAAAAAGTCTAGTGTAAATCATATCCAACGCGTTGGAAAGAAATACCCATTACACTTTTAAAATTAGTATTCACAGATTATCAACTTCATTATAAAAAATTATTTTTTTCATCTACAAATATATTTGTTTACCTATATTAAGAAAATTTGACCAATTTGACCAATTCGAAACAAGGAAAAAAGTTGTCATGAAAAATCGATGAATAAGTAAATAAATAATACAATTATCTAATGACAATCTAATTCCAAATATTTTTCTAATAAACGAAAGTATATGAACGTTACCGTTAATGTACTAAACTAAATCCAACACCTAACTCTAAAGAGCAATATTTGTTGAATGAATATAATGCAAGATGATTCTTTGAATAAAGAATTCTTGAAATAGCAGAACGTAGGGAAGGATGGCGTCATCGTGTCGAGACATATCATGTAAAAGGAAAGAATCGAACGTACCTTTGCGACTGTACAAGGTAGAAAGCATTTTATCGATTGACCTATATCATGAATTGTCTACAATGCCGCCCAGGGGCGCTAAGGACTAACCTAAATACTAAGCCATCCAATATATGTATCTATCGATACGGTAACTAAACGTAGATTACCAGTATTTATCAATCAGGACTTTCTTCTCATTGAAATTTATTCTTGAGTAAAAAAATAAATTTTTTAACAAGAAAAATACCTACATTATACTAAGCAAAAATTCATATGAAATCTATACGATGGTATTCGTATAACGGTAATTTTTCTTGATTAAATTTCATGAAAATATCAACAACTTACTCGATATTACTCTAAGTGGAATATCGTGAAATTTATTTTCGCTATAATTATTCGGTACAATCCGAGCTTGGCCGTGTATCCGCAAATAGATGCAAACGATTCAACTTCTGACAGATAGGGCACCAGGTCAAATTGTAACTACCTCCAGTGTGCTCGAAAATAACGGGCTTCATGTATATACGTATCTTCTCTATGCGTACAAATACACGACACTTTGGTAACTGTCATAAAGAACAGCAAGTCTTCTGTGAGATAGCATACTACTACAAATCGTATCGTATCGTATCGTATCGTATCGTGTCATGTAAGGTTAAGATTAAGGTAAGTCGAGGAATTTTCAAGATACGAGTTACGCTAATCTTGAGAAACTATGAAAAATGAATTGATCGAATTATTAAAATAAATGAAGTAATTTTGAAGCAAATGAAATCTAAATTCGGGACAATGCTTCCATTGGTCACGAAAATATGTCCATGATGGAGCAAATTAAAACTGAACGCATGCAATGATAACTGCAGCATATATATATATATATATATTAAAGGTTTCACTTTTAGTTTTTTTTCTCTATATAAAAGTCATCAATATTGAATAATTAAAAATACATATTACATCGAATCGAATATGAATTTCAATAGGTATTCGAAACTTGAAATGCTGCATGTTGGAATTAAATGCAAGCCATCTAATTTTCCAGTTGCTACCATAAGATAAAGAGATTAATACTTGGAAAATTTAGATGACATTATTGATTACATTAATGATATTCAACACATATCTTCGTTGGAATAAATTCATGTCTAACACTTTGGTTGTGCGTTTAATGAGTGCGTTCTATAGCCTCTTTAACTAGTAACAAGTGTTTGATTTAAGAATGAGAAAGCGGGGGCGAGAGTGAGAACGAGAAAAAGAAAGAGAAAAGTGGTGCAATGAGAAGGAAAAATATTACGATTCCTTATTAAAATCTTGAATATAGAAGTCGGGTCGTCATCATTGTTTTGTCGCACTCCATCGATTATCTTCTACTTACTGGCGTTTGCAGTGACGACTCGATATTGCGGCGGTGCTTGCTGATGCTGAGTTTGTTGCTGTTGTTGCTGTTGATGACTCAGGTGGTTAATATTGACAGTCAATTGATGATGGCTCAGCTGATGATTCAAGTGGGGACTCGGCGAGGGTGATGGTTGATGGGCCGGATGCACGTGGTGATTGTGACCTGGCTGTGGATTTTGGGGATGAGGGGCCGAAAGATGGTGATGGTGATGGGGCCCTCCGCAATGTGGTAGGGGACAATGCATAGGTCCTACACCTACGGCAACACCCACTGCGCCCTCCTTTGAGACGCCATATCTCGAAACCATTCTTCCTGATGTAAATTTTTCTTCTTTTTCCAACGTTACTGGCACGCCTTGGCCGAAATGGTCAGTTTAAAAGAGAAAAAAAAATGCCGATCAAAAAAATGCCTCTTCGATAGTTTTTAGAATTATTTCAAATGACGGACGCATCGGGTATTCCACGAGTCGTTATTCGTAAATACGATCATTAGAAACGAACGTTGCGTAAGTGTCGAAGAATTTTGGTAGCAGGCTAGGGTGATTGAAAGAATTTCAATTCCCTTCACGTATTTGTTCGTTCATATTTTTCAACGACCACGCGACTGCTTTTTATAAGCGGACACTGTTATTTCATAAAATTAGATATTTCTTCTCGTTATTTTTTCCTCTTTCTTATTTTCTTTGTTCCTTTTTGTTGGTTAGCTCAAAACTATTGACAGGTTTGATGCGTTGAAAAAATGGACAACGATGTCAAGTGCAAAGGTCTCATCGATATACAATCAAGAGCAGTTTCGTTACCCATAGATGATCTCTCAATCGGCAATGCTCTGTCATATAATGTCGTCATCGTCCACTTGATCGGCAATGTAACAAAGGGCTTTACAAACGAAGCTCATCTATTATTATAAAATAGTTGAGTTATGCCCTGTAAGTTCCAGTCACGGGAGGCCTCCTCTCTTAAGTTACTGGCAGTTTCGTTTTTATTTGTTTATTTTTATTAATATTGTTATTATTAGTTTTAATGGATTCTTAATATTTGTTATATATACGGTGTCGTTTTCAACTTTTTTACGCTTGATTGAATAATAATTTTATTCTCTTTTCCTA